AGAATTTGTTGAGTTTCTAAAGTCAAAAGGTAGATCCAAATTTTTCCTGTTGTGTCTGAAGAGAATCACGGGATTTAGAAGCCTACTGGTAATCTATTAGGTCCATTGCCAAAGTATACTGGTCCATATTCAAAACTATACCAGAAGATTAGAAGTGTTTCAAATTCTTTTATGTGGTACCATGTCTGTTTGCTGATGCTCATGAGCAACAATAAATGACCAGTTTACCTTCTGGAGTTTTCATTGTTATAACCTAATTCAATTACTGGAAAGTGAAAACCACCTTCCGGTCAGACAGCAGGGTACGGAAATAAACGTGTTGTTACCAGCACTGCCTGTTCTCTTTGTATTTCATGCACAAAAGGTTACAGAGCTCTACTTTGAGCAGATGCCGTGTAAACCGCTGCCATCTCTGGAAGCAGGAGAGTCTGTTTCACATGTCACTTGAGTCCTCACAGCTGCCCGTGAAGCAGGTTTTTCTCTGGTTAAGTAAGCACCGGGTCTACAACGTTGTACAAGTAAATGCCTAAGTGGGATTTGAACCCAGACCTACCTGCCTCCAAAGCTTCTGTACTCCCTGCTACACTACCCTAGACTCTGAAATAGCTGGGAGCTATGAGACTAGATCACGTTAATTCTCAGCTTAGCGATAAACATACAGGTGAACATTCCCTACGGTCCATTGGAAGCAGTCAATGCCCGAACCCCTCATGTCAAGACTAACGTGGAACTGAAAATCAGGAAGAGGCTGGCCTTGGAGGACGCCATGGATTCACCCCGGGCACAGAGGTAGAAAACTTTGTGCTGGCTTCGAGAACCTATACTCTCACGTAGGAGGCAACCCCAGCAGGAGATGTGGTCCGAGGCCACGGCAGGTCCGCAGTCGCTTCACTGTATGATGGCAACCAATGCAAAATTTGTGCTGCAGGGTGCAGGTGACAGGTGATGCCCACTGTCCCAGCATCATTTCTTCATTCCTGTCACACGCACATCACAGAAAGAGGAGGGGAAAGGCTCCCGCCAGCTCTCCCAGGCCTCAGAAAGTGGGTCAGGGTGGAACTCTAGTTCTATGGCCTTCGGGTGGCTCAGTTGCCACATGACATTCACAGTGCCAGGAGAGCCAGGATCTTTACCGATAATATTATTTTTTTTAATCAAATGTCTCCTTTATTTATAAACTTCCCCTGTTAATTTCTGAAACAATTCTTACGGGACCTATTAACGATTGTTCTGTCCAGAAAAGTATGTCTCAACTTGCCTGTATACATCCCTTTGGTTTTGGTGAGTCATTTCCTCAAAGCAAAATTGTAGGGAATTGTGAGGGGAGAAAACAACTGGAGTGGTGGATGTTTGGGCAAAAACTACAAATGATGATTAGAAAGGAAATACGAACCAAGAATGAACTTCCTGAAACTCAGTAAGTTCTGTTCATAGGACTACAATCAACTGAATAGCTTTCAACCTTCCCACCTTTCGTGTTTTCTTTAAATTCTCTTCCCCCCTTTCTCTTTCGATTGCACAAAAGCCAGTTTCTCATTCAAATGTGAAGCAGCAGTGTAAACAGTCTAAGTGAGTCTGGGAAGGAAGGGAAGGCTCAAGTATTTGTCCTTCCTTTGGAGGGCCGGAGTGAGCTTACGAGAAGGGCTTCAGCTCTGCAGATAACCAACTTCTACGCGCCCAGGTGCTGCCTGAGAAGCTGCCCTCCAGTCCCCAAGGCAGCAGTGAAAGGCAGCTTGTGTCATCTAGGGAAGATGACAATCAAGGGATGCATGTCAAAGGGTTTAATACAGAACCCAAAGCACAGGGAGCAGAGAGTAAATAATAGTGGTGATACATAGAAATATACACACAACACCAAAGAAACAGAGATGGATTGTTATGCATATGAGTGTACACACACACACACACACACACATACACACACACACACGCTTAAATCGGGGGACTAAGAAAATACATTCAGTCAATGCCTCATACAAGGTCTGTCTGGAAAAAGTCCAGACATTGTTATTAAAATGAGAACAGTTTGCACGACATCAGTGTAACCCGGCAGCCAAGGACAGTGGACTGGAAGGTGCATGCATAAGCAATGATGACTTCACTGTCCCAGTCCGTGGGGGCAGTAAACACTGAGTATGTGTACTGTGTGGCCATCACATTCAAAATGACTGAGAGAATAGAGCAACAAATCTGCATCAAATCTTGCGTTAAGCCTGGACATTCCTCTGTGGAAACCACTCGGGTGATTCAGAAGGGCACAGCTGTGGGCAACCAGTGACTGACAGCTTCATCACAACAACGTGTCCTCTCATGCATTATTACTTGCGCAGTTTTTGGTGAAATATCAAATCACCCAGGTGACTCAGCACCCCCTACAGCCCAGATTTGGTGCCCTGAGACTTCTGGCTTTTCCCAGAAAGGGAAGAGATTTCAGACCATGGATGAGATTTGAGAAAATATGATGGGGTGGATGGTGGCGATGGGGAGGACTGTGGGAGGTCCCAAGGTGCTACTTTGAAGGGGACTGAGGAGTCATTGTCCTATGTACAGTGTTTCTTATATCTTTTTCAGTAAATATCTCTACTTCTTGTAGTACATGGCTGGATACATTCTAGACAGGCCTTGTATGTATATATCTTTAATTTTTATTTATTTATTTATTTATTTTGAGAGAGATGGAAAAAAGGAGAGAGAAAGAAAGGGAAAGAAACATCAGTATGTGAGAGATACACCCATTGGTTGCCTCTCATACTCCCGGCCGGGGACCTGGCCTACAACCCGGGCATGTGTCCTGACCAGAAATCAAACGACAACCTTTTGGTTCACAGCTGGCACTCAAGCCACTGAGCCACACCAGCCAGGGCTACATATTATTTTCTTTTTAAGGCACATAAAACAGCTTGTGTACTCTTAAAGGCCTTCTAGCTTCTTGGAGGAATTTACTTTCAATCAACGTTAGTTTTTGGCATCTCTTAGAATGCTAGAACAAAAAGAGACCTTGGAGATGGTTGAAGGTAACACCTTTTCCATTACTGGGGTAACTGTGAATTGCACAGGCAACACACCTTGAAAATGGCAGCTCTGGGCCACCGAAATCTCTCCTAAGGTTCACAGGACAGGCACCTAAGAACAGAATCCCAAAATACATGAAGCAGAACTGACGGAACTCAGCAGTAATAGCTGGGGCCTTCAATACCCCATTTCAGTAATGAATAGAACCGGACAGATGATCCACAAGGGAACAGAAGACTTGATGACATCATATACTCTCTAGACCTAAAAAGAGTACCTGTAGAACATTCTACACAGAAACAGCAGAACACACCTTCTTTTCAAGTGCACATGGAACTACGCCTATGATACACCCCATTTTAGGCCATAAAATAATTCTCAAAAAACTTAAAGGGTTTCAGTCAGATAAAGTGTGTTTGGTGACCCCAACAGAATTGAGTTAAAAGTAAAAATAGGACAATATTTGGAAGATTCACATATGTTCTGGATCTTAATTCTTTGTACAACATATCATTTGCAAATATTTACTCCCATTCTGTGGGTGGCTCTTTAACTCAATAATGTCTTCTGATCCACACAATATTTTCACTTTCATAAAGTCCAATTTGTCTGGATTTTTTCCTTTTGTTACCCAAGAAATCATTGCCAGGTTCCAAAGTCATGCAGGTTTTGCCTATGCTTTCCTGTAAGTTTTAGATTTTACAGTTAGGTCATGGACCCATTTTGAGTTAGTTTTTGTGTATCATCTTAGGTAAGGGTCCAGCTTCCATTCATTGAAAAGAATATTTTCCCCATTAAATGCTCTTGGCACGCTTGTCAAGATTCACTAACCAAATATGCAAGGGTTTACATCTGGACTTTCGGTTTTGTTCTATTGGTCTATGTTTGTTTTTATGGCAGTACCACACTGTTTTGACCACCGTAGCTTTGTAGTAGGTTTTTTAAAAAACGATTTTACTTATTTATTTTTAGAGAGAGGAGAGGAGAAGGAGAAAGAGAGGGAGAGAAACATCACTTGGTTGCCTCTCATACACGTTCCAACTGGGAACCAGCTCCACAACCCAGACATGTACCTGAACTAGAGACCTTTCTCTTTCCTGGATGGCACCCAACCAACTGAGCTGCACTGGTCAGGGTGCTTTGTAGTAAATTTTAAAATCTGGAAATGTTGTCCTTTTTCAGGATTGTTTTTGGCTATCAGGGGTTCCTTGAGAATCCCTAATGAGTCTTAGGAAGTTTTAATCACAGCAGCAAGAGTTCGGCAGATGAAATAAAAGCCATCCAGACCAGCAAGGAAAAGCTAAAACTATCTCATTTAAATATACATGACATGATCTTGTATATGAAAAATCCTAAAGAACCTACTAAAAAAAAATTAAAACAAGCAAATGAGTTGAGCGAGGCTGCAGGAGTCCAGGGGAGACAGGTCCAGTGTGTACGATACCCCCAGACTGGCCGGCACCAGATACACGGAGTGAAGCCAGCAGACCAGAGGACAGAACAGGCAAGGTGTAGTTTTATTCCCAACACACTGTCAGCTTTAGTTCCAGACACACATGGGGACTGTTCTGCCCATTTATAGGTGCTAGTTTTCTAATTAAATAACACATTTTAAAATAAGACAAGATATTTATTGGCAATTAACTACTGATGAGAAGAGTTGTCTTCTATTTGGTGTCAAGGACTAGATGACATAAAGTTGTTGTTATTATTATGATTAAGGTGTGTTGGAAGTGAATAAAGAATGCCTTTTGTAATTACTGTTCTATGATTTAAAGTTAGCAAAGCTACCCACAGGCTTTCAACACCATTACTAGAACTTAGCTATGTCATTACCAAAATAGTATTCACAATGGATTGCCCATTCAATTATTAAACAAATGGAAAATGAAAAATTGGTGTGGAAGGAGACCTTGATTGCAAAAGTATGATCTGAAAATTACCTCACCTGCAATTTCCTCATGGCATCAGGAACTGCAGGGACTCACCTGAGCATTTCACAGTAGACTGGATAGTGTCTTTCTAGAATAACTGGTATGATTGCCTGAAGACAAATCACCTGGCAAGAGTAAGGAAAAGATATGAAAGCTAGATAATGCATTAAGAACTTTTAGAAGTCTTAACTAAAGAAATATGTGTATGTGTAATCAAACTATTTGTCAATCTTCATAACCACACTGGAGCCAAATTTTTTCCTTCTCTTCATTTAAAAAAATATTTATCTTTGTAGGGAAAGGGAAGGAGAGAAGGAGAGAAATATCAATGTATGGTTGCTTCTCGTGCATCCCCTGCTGGGAACTGGCCTGCACCCCAGGCATGTGCCCTGACTGGGAATCAAACCGTGATCCTTTGGTTCGCAGGCCCGCACGCCATCATCACTTTAGAATGTCAAAATCCACATTCCCTTAGACTCCCACTTACTGTCCTACAATGTAATCATTTTGGGTGTCTTTTGAAATATATGTTATGCATATCCAAGGAATTGTATATTAGTTATACACTGCCCCCAAACCTGATGTTTTGCATTTAATAGTACATCTTGGAAATCAATTCATATCAACACAAAGAACTTCCTCTTTTTTTTGACTGGTGCTATAGTATCACATGTGTGGTGAATTGCATGTACAGTCAGCCCTCCATATCCGAAGGTTCTGCACCTGAGGATTCAACCAAGGATTAAAAATACTTGGGGGAGCCCTGGCTGGCATAGCTCAGTGGATTGAGCACGGGCCTGTGAACCAGAGTATCACAGCTCGATTCCCAGTCAGGCCACATGCCTGGGTTGCAGGCCGGTTCCCTGCAGGGGACGCATGAGAGGCAACCATACATTGATATTTCTCTCCCACTCTTTCTCCTTACCTTCCCCTCTCTCGAAAAACAAATAAATAAAATATTTTTAAAAATACTTGGGGGAAAAATGCTATGTTGGCAGGCCTATGGTGGTTGCAGCTACACTGACTGAATATGGACATTTTTCTCTTGTGATTATTCCTTAAACAATACATTAACTATTTATGTTGGATTGTAATAGGTATCATAATAATGTAGAGATTAAAGTATATAGGAGGTTTATGTAGGCTACGAGTAAATACTGCACAATTTTATATAAGGCACTTGATATATATACAGCATCCAAAGTGGTCCCAGGACCAGTGAGGTTACTGAGGGCTGACTGTACCATAATTTATTGGTTTGTGAGATTTATACCCCTGTTAAGAATCTCTAAAAGATATGGACCCTAAAGAAAACTATAACCATAATACTATTACACTAAAGAAATGAACAATAATTTCTTCATACTGCCACATATCCAAGCAATATTTGAATTATCTCCTGTCAAGTTTTTCAAGAAATTTTGACCGTTTTAATCCATTAAAAGGTCAGTACATTGCAATTGGCCGAAAGGTCGTTTAAGCATCTTTTAATCGATAGGTTCCCCTTTTCTTGTTTCCCCCATTGCATTTTATTTCTTAAAGAACCTAGAGTGTCCCACCGTCAGATCTTGCTGATGCACCTCTGCTGCGTAGCTGAACATTTCCCCCTGCCCTGTCGATTTCCTAGTCCTACACATTAGCGGTGGAGGCAAGGTTTTGATCGGGTTTCGGGCCTGTACGTGCGTTTTACTGGGAGGTGCACTATGGCTGTTTCTCTTCCTTTTCGTAACTTCAGTGAGTCTTTTTTAATAGAGAAGTGGTAACTCATTTCGAAACAAAATGTTTCCTCCCTCCGGAAGAGGCTGTGCTTCAAACGACCTGCGACACATGTCAAGTGGGGAATCATCTGGTACGACAAACGGTCACAGTAGAATTATTCAGACAAGAGAGCACATTCCTTATCATTTTTCCCTCACGTTTTTGCCACACACTCCGCATTTCTTCCTGAGGCATGATTTCCAGGAGGCAGCCTTTTGGGGCTCAATGAAGCATTTGCTTTTCACCATTAAAACGTGGGGCGTTGCCACTTTGTCACTTACTAATAATGACCAAGGATCCTCGTGGCCGAGCACAGACCTTCTCCAAAACGCTAAAACGGAGCCGGGTTTCCTTCCTTATCCACCTTCTGGCGCGGGGTCGGGCACGGGGCGGCACAGGCCGGAGGGGCCGGGACTCGCAGAAACTCGGCTCCCCACGGGGTGGCGGAGTCACAGAACTCAGAACGCCGTAACACCAGCCGCGGAATTCCAGCCCCTTGCAGGGGCCCACGAGCGTCGCGCACGCCGTTCACGCTCCTCGGCGGGGGGCGGGGCCAGGAGGCGGGGCGTGCCTCGAGACCCCGCCCCGTCCCCCGTCAGCTCCGCACGGCCAGCAGCTCGCTGATACTAGCTGGCTGCCGCCGCCTCTCCCTCCAAGGAACCGGGCCGGGAGCGGATCCGCGAGCCGTCGCCGCCGCCATGGGGAACCGTGTTTCGCGGGAAGACTTCGAGTGGGTCTACACCGACGAGCCCCACGCCACTCGGCGCAAGGAGATCCTGGGTGAGGTCCCAGTCCGCGCCCCGTTATATGCGTGCGTGGCCTCTCACCGCTCGAGCGCGCTCTGCCCACGTAGGCCCAGCGCGCCCCCGGGCGCTCCAGGCCAGTTACCAGCCGGCGCTCTCCTCTTCCCACCGCCGCCTGGACCCCCTAGGAAGGCCTGAGAGGGCTGGGGCCGAGGAGTGGGGGTGGGGGGGTTCCCGCGCGCTCGCCCTGCCGCGCGGATGCCTCCCTTCCTCCGGGAGGCTCAGACATCTGGTTGAGACGAGGGGGTTCGATCCTCTGTATAGGCCACCCTTGGGTGGATCCTCTCATTTTGCAATTCCCATGCCCCGATGGGCGCCGTGTCTGCCTGCTCCTCTTCCCCACAATGGGCCGCGGCGAAGCCAGGCAGCGCGTGTGTGCGAGACAGGGCGTGGCCCCGGAGCATCGGGGGTTCATGCGCCCGCCATCAAGGCTAGGGCGGCGGTCCTCCTGTCTCCGGGGAGGGCCTGGGACCTGACCGGTGTGACCCCTGGGACTTCAAGGATGGGACGCGTCCTGTGCGCCGACCACTGTTTTCTCATTGACCCTCACAACTCGCCCGAGGCACAGGAAGGGCAAGATTCACAGGTATTTTTCATCCATCCCAGTTCTGTGCAGGGAAAGACTGAAGTATGGAAGACTTGCCAAAATCAGCTTGCTGGTCCCCAGTTTGCTAATTTAGGGCCATTTACTCCAGGAAAACGAGGCCTAGTCATCTCTCCAGAGGTGTTAAGGCGCTCAGCTGTTTGGAGCTTTTCTATTATATTGAGAATTCCCTTCTCTCACTGGGGCTTCATGATACATTAGGCACTGTGTTTCACCAACATCACCCAGACTAATCCTCCCAATAACTAGTCGGTGTTGTCGCTCTCTTAAACACAGCCAACAGTGAACAGGTAAATTTAGGGGGATTCCAGGTCTGGGTTAGACTTCCTCCAAACCACATGCTTTTAACTTTTTTACTTATTACTTCAAATATCAGGAAACTAAAGGGGGGGGTGAATTAGAGGAATTTTTGCTCATACCTGGTATTTCCCTAGTTTTTCTTTTTGGCATCTATTTGTCCAGTGAAAACAGTGAGTGAGCCCCTGATTTTTGCTGGGGGCTCTAAAGTTAGAAATTTCATGTTTTTACAGAAAGCAGTGGATTCCTTTGAAATGAATTTTCATACAGTCATGAAATTGGGAGCTTGAACCTTTACAGTTGCTATTAAAGGTAGCCTTTTAAGAGACTTTGGTTCTTGAACACTTTCTTTTTAATTAAGGTGTATTTTGCAAATCACACGTAAGAGATATGCCTTATCAACATGTCACCTAAGAATAATGAGGTGCCCACCCTATGAAAACCAACTCCTGAATACTGGATATTAGCTGTTTAATATTCAGAAAATCAAGGAAATAAGAAGGTGCTGTTGATTCTTAACTCAACACAGCCTTTTTTCCCCACACACTTATCACTGTTCCCTTCAAAAGTCAAAGTGACTACATATTTCTCAATGAAAATTTATTTGAATATCTTCCCATCGGAGGTAAATACTGCTCTGTGTTCCCTTTCGGGGTGGAGTAGCAGTACAGATAGGAACCTGGAGATCTGTGTACATTAAACGTCCATGTTAAGAGATATTTCTGAAATGTGCCAGGTTTTGTGGGGAGAGAAGCATGAGGGAGCACCAGTATGGTGTTTAACAGCCAGCGTCTGAACACTAAATTTACATGTAGAGTTACATTAAATAAAGCAACATTCAAAGGCAACTGTGTGAAATTATGAGGGTTTGGGATTAGACCATTACTCGTGGGACAAATACTGCATCACAGGAACTGCTCCTTTTACAGCTTTACTTCCACAAGGAAATGGTTTTTTTTTTTAAATATTTTATTATTTATTTATCTTTAGAGGGGAAGGGGGGGAAGGAGAGAGGGGGAAGGAGAGAGGGAAAGAAACATCAATGTATGGTTGCCTTTTGTGCGTCCCCTGCTGGGAACTGGCCTGCAACCCAGGCATGTGCCCTGACTGGGAATCAAACCACAATCGTGTGGTTCGCAGGCCCGCGCTCAATCCACTGAGCTACACCAGCCAGGGCAGGAAATGGTATTTTTAACAGCGTTAAGATATAATTCACAAACTATAAAATTCACCCATTTAAAGTGTACAATTCAGTGTTTTACTGTACTCACGTTCTCTCATTATCATTTCAATCTAATTTATAGGACTTCACTCTCACCCCCAAAGAAACCCTACACTCATTAGCAGGCTCTGGCCCCAACTTTTAACCCCCAGTACTAACTAGGCAACCAGTAATCTCCTTTCTATGTCTATAGATTCACTCATTCTGGACATTTCTTAAAAATGAAATCATACAATACTTGGTCTTTTTTGACTGACTGCTTTCCCTTGGCATACGGTTTCCAAGGTTCACTCCAGCCTGTGTAAGTCTCCATTCTTTTGGCGGCTGAATAGCGTTCCACTGTATGGATATACCACAGTTCATCTATCCATTCATCATTCGGTACGCTTTTCAGTGGTTTTCACCTTTTGACTACTATGAACAATGCTGCTATGCACGTCCATATAACAAGTTACTGTACAGACGAACGTTTTTATTTCTGGAAGGCAGCTAACTTTATGTTTAACATTTTGAGGAACCGGCTGCACCGTTTTAGATGGTTACCAGCTATGTGTGTGCGTCGTTCCAGTCCCCCCACATCCTTCTTGTTGCTGGTCTTTGGTATTACATGCAGCCTTTGCAGTGGGGGTGAAGCAGTATCTCATTTTGGTTTCAGTTTGTGTTTTCCTAATGGCTGACAATGTCGAGTATCTTGCATGTATCAACACTTATTGGCCATTTGTGTGTCTGCTTTGGAAAAATGTCTGTTCGGATTCTCTGTCCATTTTCCATTGGATTAGTAATTGTAAGACTCTTAAGAGTTCTTTGTATATTCTAGATACAAGTCACTTACAAGATAGATGATTTGCAAACACTTCCTCCTGTTCTGTGGGTTGTCTTTTCACTTTATTGGTGGTGTCATCTGCAACATAAAAGTTTCTGAGGCAGTCCAGTTTATCAGTTGTTTTCTCTCGTCCTTACTTATGCTTTTGGTATAGCCTTTACAAAGATTTCCTTTTGCCTTTTTAAAAATTTTTCCATTGATGTTGAACATTGTATTAGTTTGAGGTGGACAGCATAGTGGTTAGACCTTTATATAACTTAGTCTGCTTTGTTATGAGTTTTATAGTTTCCTTGTATATAGGTCTATGTTAATTTTTGTGTATAATGTAAGGAAGAGATCCGACTTTATTATTTTGCATGCGGATAACCAGTTGTTCCAGCACCATTTGTTGAAAAGATCATTCATGCTCCATTTACTTATGTTGGCACCCTTTTAATACTGATTTTTATATATTACACTTTGCAAAAATTTGGTACAGAACTACTTGGAGCAAGTTGATTTGTCTGTCTGAGAGAAGAGTTATAAGTTTCATCATTTTATTTTTTAAATTGTAATTTACTGATTATGCTATTACAGTTGTCCTGATTTTTCCCCCTTTTGTCCCCCTCCACTGAGGTCCCCCCACTCCCTCGGGCAATCCCCCCACCACTGTTCATGTCCATGGGTCATGAGAATAAGTTCTTTGGCTACTCCATTCCCTCTATTGGACTTTGCCTCCCCATGGCTATTCTGTAACTACCTATTTGTACTTCTTAATCCCCTCACTTCTTCACCCATTTCCCCCACTGCCCACTTCCCATGTGGCAACCATCCAAACACTCTGTATCTATGATCCTGTGTTCTTGTTTGCTTAGTTTGTTTTTTAGATTGAATTGTTGATAGATATTTATTTTTTTGCCATTTTATTGTTCACAGTTTTCATCTTTTTCTTAAATAAGTCCCTTCAACATTTCATATAATAATGGTTTGGTGCTGATGAACTTCTTTAGTGTTTTCTTATCTGGGAAACTCTATTTACTCTTCGATTCTAAATGATACCTTCACTGGGTATAACAATCTTGGCTTTAGGCCCCTGCTTTTCATGACTTTGAATATTTCTTGCTAACCCCCTCTAGCCTGCAAAGTTTGAGAAATCAGCTGAAAATCTTGTGGGAACTCCCCTATAGGTAACTAACTTCTCTTGCTGCATTTAAGATTCTCTCTTTATCTTTAACCTTTAGCATTTTACTTATGATGTGCCTTGGTGTGGGCCTCTTTGCATCCATCTTGTTTGGGACTCTATGCTTCCTGGACTTACAAATTTATTTACTTCACCAAATCAGGCAAGTTTTCTTTCACTACTTTTTCAAATAGATTTCCAATTTCTTGCTCTTTTCTCCTTCTGGCACCCCTATGATGTGAATGTTGGACCTCCTGAAGTTGTCCCAGAGGCTGCTTATACTATCCTTAATTTTTTAAAATTCTCTTTTCTTCTTATTCTGACTGGTTGTTTTTTTTTTTTTGGTTCCTTATGTCCAAATCATTCATTTGATTCTCAGCTTCATCCACTCTATTGTTTCCCATTTCAATGACCGTATCCTTTGTTTCTGACTCAATCTTGTTTATGCTGTTGAGGTCCTCACTAAGCTCCTTGAACATTCTTATAACCAGTGGTTTGAATGCTGCATCAGGTAAGATTGCTTATTTCCATTTCATTTAGCTCCTTTTTGGAGTTTTGATCTGTTCTTTCATTTGGGCCATGTTTCCTTGTCTCCTCACTTTGGCAGCCTCCCTGCGTTTGATTCTGTGGATTAGGTAGAGCTGCGTTGACTCCATGTCTTGGTCGTGTGGCCTAACATAGTAGGTGTCCTGTGGGGTCCAGTGGCACAGCCTCCCTATCATCCAAGCTAAATACTCAAGGTGCACCCTTTGTGTGGGCTGAATACACCTTCCTCTTGTAGTTGAGTCTTGGTTGCTGTTGGCAGGTCGATGGGAGGGATTTACCCAGGCCAGTCAGCTACAAGGACTGGCTGTGACCACTGACCACCAGTCTCCACCTTCCATGGAGGATCAGCTGTGCAGGGGCAGGGTCGTGGTGCTCCAGCATGGTCTGTAGCTATTCACTGAGTTTGCTGGTCCTGGGGTTTTCTAGGTCGTGCAGGCCCCACCTGTGTTTTGTGCAGAGCACCCTGAACTGTAAAGCGACCTGAGATGGCTGCTACTTGTGCTGGGCTTGGAGATTCCCAGGGGAAGCCAAGCTGTGAATGTAGGCTGGTTCCTGCTAGTGCTGGGCCGGGGCTCACTGAGGCCAGCTGCTGCTCGTTTGAGAGGATTTGGAAAGTTGTGAAGCATCAGCGAAGTCTAGCCATTCAAATGGAAAAGCAGCTTGGGTGAGCCCTTTTGTTGGGTGGGGCGGAGTCTCTGGGGATCACCTAGTTGTTAGACTTCCATTGAACTCCATTTCTGATGGTTCTGAATGATCGTTCCCTATTTTAGTTGTAATTTTGACGTGATTGTGCAAAGAGGCGAGACATGTCTGCCTATACTGCCATCTTGACCGGAAGGCGAGGTTGCATGATTTTTAGAGTGCCTACAAAATGTCTGTTTTCTATCCTTTTGTCAATTTAATTGTTTTATATAAAGTAAAAATTCTGGAGCTCTGTCTAAACAGAGATAACACATTTTAGTACAAAAGAATTATTATTTATACACCAATAAACTGAAGTTGTTATTCTACCCTTGGTGAATTGCTTCTAAAATGTTTGTATTTTAATGAATGGCTTATTTGAACCTGTCACTTACACCAGGAAAATTAGTTTTACTCTAATTCACTTCTGGGCCTCTAGGATTACTTTTTTTTTTTTTTAATCTATTGCGTACAAAATTATTAACATGAGATAAGATGAACTAATACCAACAAAGATTGGAGATTAGAGAAAGGAGACAGAAAAGGAGAAAGAAACTAGAAGAGTTATTCACCTTGAACCTTAAACTAACACTACCTTTATTTCTTTATATAAAACTGGATTTAAGTAACTCCCCGTGTTGCATTTTAAGCTTTTATTGAATTCTTCATTTCACTAGATAGAAGAGGATGAAGCTCCTCTTTTCCCTTATCTTTTCAAGAACATTCTGAATGATTTGTCCCAAGAAAAAGGCCCTCCTTCAGAACTCGGGCCTTCCTGGGCCCAACACGGTGACAGCACCTGTAAAACCAAAGACATGCTCTCTGGATGGTAGGGTCCAGGGGAGAATCTGCCTAAGTATGAAGTATATTGTCAGACACAGGATAGATTCACCAGACTGCGATTTTAACTGTGTAAAACGTAAAAGCTTCATAAAGAATTGTTATGGGTGAAAGGTCAAGTTGAAGGAGTTCATCATCACCAAGCCCTTATTATATGAAATGTTTAAGGGATTTAGGTAAGAAAAAGATTAAAAATATGAACAGTGGAAAGACAACAAACTCACAATTATTAACAACCACACCTAAAACAAAAGCAAACTAGGCAAACAACTAGAACAGGAACAGAACCACAGAAATGGAGATCACATGGAAGGTTATCATTAGGGAGTGGCGGGTAGGGGAGAGGGGGGAAAGGTACAGAGAATAAGTAGCATAGATGGTAGGTAGAAAATAGACGGAGGGAGGGTAAGAATAGTATGGGAAATGTAGAAGCCAAAGAACTTATGTGTACGACCCATGGACATGAACTAAAGGGGGGGAATGTGGGTGGAAGGTGGTATGCAGGGCGGAGGGGAGTGAAGGGGGGGAAATGGGACAATTGTAATAGCATAATTAATAAAATATATTTTAAAATAAATAAAAATTTAAAATGTTGCTATTAGACTCTACTGTTGGAGGAGATAAAGTCTCGTAGAGGGCATGTAATGATTTGGAAAAGATTAATGTGTTAATGTAACCGATGTTGATTTAATTATAACTGTTGAACTATGTACTTTTCCCGGCTCATGATTTTGTTTGTTTTCTTTACAGCAAAGTATCCAGAGATAAAGTCCTTGATGAAGCCAGACCCCAACCTGATATGGATCGTCATCATGATGGTTCTCACCCAGCTGGTGGCATTTTACTTAGTAAAGGACTTGGACTGGAAGTGGGTCCTGTTTTGGGCATACGCCTTTGGCAGCTGCATTAACCACTCAATGACTCTGGCCATTCATGAAGTTTCTCACAACAGCGCCTTTGGCCACTGCAGAGCCATGTGGAACCGCTGGTTTGGAATGTTTGCTAACCTTCCTATCGGCGTCCCGTACTCCATTTCCTTTAAGAGGTATCACATGGATCACCATCGCTACCTCGGAGGTGACGGCATTGACGTGGACATTCCAACTGATTTTGAAGGCTGGTTCTTCTGTACCACTTTCAGAAAGTTTATGTGGGTTATTCTTCAGCCTCTTTTTTATGCTTTTCGACCTCTGTTCATCAACCCCAAACCAATTACTCACCTGGAAATTATCAATACTCTGGTCCAGCTCACATTTGACGTGATCGTTTACTATGTTTTGGGAATTAAATCTTTAGTCTACATGTTGGCAGCATCATTACTTGGTCTAGGTTTGCATCCGATCTCTGGACATTTTATAGCTGAACATTACATGTTCTTAAAGGGACACGAAACTTACTCGTATTACGGGCCTCTGAACCTGCTCACCTTCAACGTGGGCTACCACAACGAGCACCACGACTTCCCCAACATTCCCGGGAAGAACCTCCCGCTGGTGAGTAAGGCCTGTGGCACATCCTGATTGCTGCTGGCTGTATGGTTGGGTTGGCCTCCACCTGCCTATTTTAAAAGGGACCTAGTATATCTTGTGAGCTTCCTCCTCAAAGAAAACGAGAGTGTAAGGCCCAAGTCTGCCAGCCTGTGTGCAGAGTTCACTCCTGGATCCCAAAGCCGAGCAGCAGTAACACTCAGGGCGTAGAAGTGCGGGGGTCTGCAGGGTCTAATACCTTGGGAAGCGGTTCGGGGGTGGAGGAGGCGACCCCTCTGTGAGGTTGGCAGCCGTCCACCAGGCTTTCGTCACTGTACAGCTGCGTGGGCCTGACCGGGGTGTGGGTGTGTGGTGGGAGCCGGGCAGCGCTGCGTGCACAGCCAGGGAGCGGTTACCTGTGCCTTGGGGTCCCGCAGGCGCGGGAGACGTTCAGTGTCGTCGTGGAGGAGATGGAAGGACTTTGACCCTCATCCTTTCATCTCCTCCAGAAGGACCACCTTCCTACCTTCAGGGATCTTTCTGGTAAATTCTCGTTAGACTTGGTCCACAAAATGGGTAGTTTTCACAATGCCAGTATCAAAATGTTTCCGTAATTCTAAGGATGGATGGATGAAATGTAATAATAGCTTTTCCTGATTTATTAAAAAGCAGATAAATATAAGGGGACCATAGCTAGATATTTTATGCTATCATCTCCATCCAATCAAATTTTACAGGTCTCCTGATAAGTTTTTAGGTGTTGACTGTTTAAAAATTAACATCTGATTATTGATATAATTCCCAGTTGAGGAAAGAAACACCCAGACAGGATGTTGGGTCAGGAGGGAAACTCTTAAGTCTGGACTGTGCAGTGGAGAACATCGGTGTTAAATTTCTCAGCGACAATACTGGCACCATGACTGTGGGAGGGGGGGCGGCTCTGTCCTCAGGATGTGCAGGTTGATCATGCAGGGGCGGAGCATTGGGGGGAGTTGTCACACCAGGGCTGCAGCTCGCCTTCACAGGGTTCGGCAGGCAAAGCCAGGTACGTGGTTCACACCAAACCCAGAGAGGGACTGTGACAGTCACAGCGCTAGTCAGCGGGCGGGCCGCGTGAGGGGCACGCGGGTGTGCGCTCTGCTGTCCCTTCAGCTTTCCTGTAGGTTTTACATTTTCCAGATAAAACGGGGGGGCACCACACAGCTGTCTGAGGGCGACTGTGAAATGGGTGAGTGCAATGCTGCTTTGTCACCTGCCCGTGCGCTGGCCTGAACAGAGCTGGTGGCCACTGCCTCTCCCCCACCTGGGGAAGTGCGTTTTTACTTATTTTTAAAAGGCTGTGGAGAAAGCTGGTCGCCCTTGAACAAGACAGTCTTTTCTGCCGTAAACCACATACTTGTCACTTTCTCGAACGATCCCCAAACTGAAAACTTGGTTCGGTGCAGGTGTCACTGGACCTCAGGCCCCTGGTTCATCAGTGTGTCCATCGCCCTCCGTCTCACGCTGCCCCCGTGGTCCTCAGCTGAACCAGCAAAACATCCTCAGCCTCTGTAGTCCCCCCACCGGCTTTTTCTGTATCGAGGAGTTTGTACCAAGGAGCTAGATCAAGAATTACCTGGTCTCTTTTTTCCCGTTTTCAGAAATATAGTATCCCCTACCTATTCTAGCTGTTAAAATACACTGGTTACTACTGGCTTTCATACAGTTCAGTGTGAATTAGGGTCCAGGTTAATTGTGTGTGCTCGGTCTTGAAGGACCTTTAGGATGTTTGGAAGGACTGTGACCCAAAGGTTTCACATCACTCTCTTTCTTGTGAGAATATGTGGAAAGCTCTGTTTGACTAATTGTCCCTTGAGAGTGGTACATTCTTCGGGTTGTCCACAACCAGAAAATAATTACATTTCCCAAACTGAAGGAGGAATTTAAATGTCAGCGTTGTTCCTTTTTCCTGCTGTCTCTGTCAACCTTCTTGGATTCTGCTCTTTTGTGTTCCTTTGGGATTCACTAAGGTTTTGTTTTTGTTTTTTTTTACATTTCCATGAAGCCACAGAACCATTGTTCTCACTCAGCGCTAATTAACGGTGCTTCCTGGCCACACGGGCAGTGGTCATTTTTAAAGGACGTTTTCAATTTGGGGTGGAGATTTGCGCACTTGATAGATGCTTAATTTCTTTTTCTTTTTTTTAAAGATTCTATCTACTTTTAGAGAGTCGGGGAGTGAGGAGTAAAAGAGGGACACATGCATCTGTGGTTGCTTCTCCCACACCCCCATCTGGGAACCTGGCCCGCAACCCAGGCATGTGCCCCGACCGGGAATTGAACTGGTGACCTTTCAGTTCACAGGCCAGCACTCCATCCACTGAGCCACAGCAGCCAGGGCAGATGCTTGTTTCTAAGTAACGTACCTCAATAGTCTGCTAGTATTTGCGGGTTCCTTGGTGGCAGGGTCAGCTGCTGCCTTTGTATCTGACAACGCCACACATGCAGCATATGCTTGAAAAATGACAAGTATCTGGTGTGAAAGATTCCCAGAATCAAAGTTTATTTGTAGCCCCTCAGAACTTGAAAGGAAAATGTCAGTATTCCCAGGGGGTCGAATGCAAGCCGCTTTTTATTTAGAATTCCTGAAGCTGCTTCACTGGTTGGTTGGCTGGAGAGGTCAGGAGGAAGAAAGGTCCGCTGCTGTCTCGGTGTTTGAGTTCAGCACTCGTCTGTCCTCTTCCGTGGGGCTCGGCGAGCCCCGCCTCCTTCACCCTCCTGTTCTCTCCCTTCCAGGTGAGGAAGATAGCAGCCGAGTACTACGACCACCTGCCTCACTACAATTCCTGGATAAAAGTCCTGTATGACTTTGTGGTGGATGATACAATCAGTCCCTATTCGAGAATGAAGAGGCATCAGAAAGGCAAGGTGGAACTGGACTAAATGTCGTCACGATCAAAGGAATTCCTCTCTGACACTTCACAGCAGCCGACAAGGTGGGATTTTGGCATCATTCAGCGAAGACCAGCGGTGTTTAGAAGCTGTCCTCGTACGGTTTCCCACGAGCCCCCGCGGCATCAGGAAGCTGTCCGGCTGGCCACGGCCGGCGTGGCCGTGTGCACTCCGCCTTCTCACGGGAGCGTGGCCGCCGTGTCCTCGCTGTCCAGGAGGCTGTCCGGCATCTTGTAAGCATATCATTCAAAAAGCTTTTACAAAGCTACTTCTCGTATATTATTTTCACTATAAAGTCGTACTTTATTAAAACAGCTAATAACCTGAGCAATTAGTCAAAATAAATAGTATTTATCACATTTTTGTACTTTACTGTCTTTATATTAAATGCTAATCAGGATGCTGGGTGAGCTTTAAAATGTCACCAGAAAAAAAGGAAAAGAAAAAAATGCCTGGAAATGTCTTTGACTGCAAGCTGCATTACTCATTTTTAATTTCTACTCTTGTGCGTGGGACCCTGCATGGCCTTACCAATAAAGTACTTTATGGATCCAATTGTGTCCAGCACCGACTCCCATGTTCAGGTTAGAAGCAGCCCCACGACTGATGAAGACTTCGTGTGTCATCTCACCGCAGTGGAAACTGGCTCTGGTCTGATGGCAGGTGGCCGGGCTCAGGTGGCTAGCGTCCTGGCCGGCAGGCCGGCAGGCCGGCAGGCCTGGGTACCTGCAGTGTCACTTTGGCAAATTCAGTGTAACGTGAACTGTTTGCAAAATAATACACAGTATCAAAAAAAAAACAAACAAAAAACCAGTTTACACAACACCAGCCCTCAGACATCCTTCACAGGAGCAGTTACCAAATTCCTGTTCTGGTCATTATCGGTTGAGGGGAGTGTACTCCTCCGAGGACTCTCCCCTCCCTTCCTGCTCCTCCTGCCTGGGGAACTTCCTGGTATCTGGGAACTATTGCTTAAAGAAACCATTGCTTTAAAGCGATCATAACACCAGGTTCACAAGAGAACTTTCCGATTCAGATACACAGGGCCGGTCAGGAAGAACGATCAGGGAAGGGTCCCATGGATTCAGTGCTAGGCGGGAAGTGGACTGTGTGTTCCCACCAAGCCCTGCTGAGGGACTGTAGCCAGTGCCTGCAGCTGCCAGGCAGACGCTGACCATCCGTCTCCTGGCAGCCCAGCTCCCGGAACCCCACTCGTTACCTGTGGGGTGCACGGAGCGGACGTTCCTAGCTGCGCACCACTTCTGGCCTGGATGGAGGTTCCAGCCTGCTGGCCTGTCTCCTGACCAGCCCGGCTCCCTCGCATCTGCCAACTCAGTGCATCCCTTCTGCCACTGCCACTGGCCGTGACTTTTCCAAAGGAGACCCAGGAGTCTGAGGGCAGGAGGCAGGCCAGGCCGGAGCCTCCAAAGCACCGGTGTTCATCCTGACGAATCGCCTGGTGGCCCTGCCCAGGTGGCCCTCCCACCGTTTCTGGTCTGGGAGGCTTGTCCTCAGAGGCTGACTCCCAGGCCAGCACTCAATCCACTGAGCCACCCCAGCCAGGGCTGGTAACTGAGGGAGAGAGTGTCTGGATGAGGTGTCTGCCCGCCTCATTCAGAGCGTTTGGGTGACCAGAGTGCGGCAGACTGAAAACTGGACATGCGTGGAGCCTCCTTCTGTTCACCACCTTTTCTGAGTATGTGTTCTCAACATATGTCAATGGTATTACTGATATCCCCATTTTGTGAGTGAGAAGACTGAGGCTTAGGTTAAGTTACTGGCTCAAGGCCCTACCTAGTGAATTGCAGAGACGGGATCTGAAATTCAGACCGTGTGTCTCTGGGACCGAACTCTTGACCATGCTCATGGCTTGTCTAGCGAGGCTGCTCCGGGACAGAAGGGGAGAGAGAACCCACACACTCCTGTTGCCCAGCAGGTGTTTGTTCCACGGCCCGATGGCCACTTCCCACACGTCAGTGGTCGTGGCTAGATCTCTGGGTTTCTTTCACTTTCAACCATCTGAAACAACTTTTTTAACAGCTTACTGAACGCCTTGCAGGAGACCTGTGCTAGCAGACGCCTCAGCCTCCTTTCTCTGCTCCACTCCCCTCTGTGGGGGCGGCAGTGGGGGAGGGGCAGGGCCACCCTCCCTGGAGGTGCAGGTGAGGCTCTGCTGGGGTTGGCCAGGACCTTGGCACTGGGGCTTTAATGATGGTGACTGTCACCTCATCGTCATGCAGGATGAGACAGGCCACAGGGTGGGCGAGGGCGAGTCCTGGACGCGTAGCAGGGTGTGGTGAGCGCCAGATGAGGTGAGGGCCTCGCCCCCAACTCCACCTTAGCACCTTAGCAGAAGCGGAGGGAAGGACCAACCTAACACTCTGGTGTGAAACCATGATTAAATCTACAGCCAAAATGCATTTACGCCTTCATTCTGTAGACACTCTGCCAGGCGTCACATTAGGCAGGGAGGACGCAAAGGTGAAACGTGCTCCCACGTTACGGAGCTGGTGCACCGGGGCTAGGGTGTGCACGGTCAGTTGGGGGCGGGGGGGGGGGGGGGAGGGAAGAGCACAGTGCCTAAAACTGGGGAGTCACAATGGGCTGGAGCTGAGAGGAGGGCCCACGGCGACCACAGAGCAGCTGTCACACTCCACCGGACTAGTTTTACACGCAGCGTGTCACCTCGCTCGAAGTCGGCCTGCTGAGGCAGGTATCAGCCCAGCCCCCACACTTTCACAGGAAGCAGTGGGAGACCTGGCGGAAGTCAGCCTGCGGGCACAGGGCTCTGCCAAAGCCCGTGCTCCTTCTGCTGTCCCACTGCCCCGCCTACTTGGGAGGTGTTTGGACAAGACGATGCATCGTTTCTTGTCTTCTTGGGGACGTCTCCCAGAGGCTTTATGGCTGGGAGGGCCCTGAAAAAAATCCCTTTCCCTGGCAGATTCGATTCTGAGACAGGGCTGGGGTAAGCGAGGCCCCTGGTGCAGGAGGCAGAGAGGGGTGGTGACACCAGGGAGAGTCCCGGCGGGGACAAGGAGCAGGACCTGACAGCAGCGGGGTATGTAGGTCAGATCGAGCTGCAGGCACTTCTTGGTTGGAAAACTAATGACAAGGCGGAGGCAAAGGAAGACTGGGAGCGTCACCTGAGAACGGGCGGCTCTGATTTCACCAAGTGGAGTCGGAACTGGCAGTGGCTCACGGAGCAGAGCGAACACTGGGCCCAGCCAAGGGGAAGCTGTCGGCGCGGCTCAGACACTGACCTATCACTGCAGGAGGGAGCTGCGGTCGTGGGCGTGTGTGAACGGCACATGAGACTGAAGCAAGGGGTCGAGGACGGTGTCCTAGGGGGGTTCTCTGCAGCCAGGCAGCATGGGGGAACGTGAACCCCTTCTTGGATCTGGGCACATTCCCAGAATTTTCTTCTAAGGGCAGAAACCAGAGGCACCAATAGCTGGCTTATAGAGTCAAGGGTGGATTACGTGCCAGGAGGCACACATCTCTGCTTGTAACCCTCGGGAGTGAATAGAATGGGACCTTCAGGGAAAAGGCAGGGGGAGCTGAACCGCCCTCTGGTGGGTTCCTATCAGCAGCCAGCCAATCCAAGGAGGCCTCTGGGTGGACGTGCTTGTCAGGTCCCTGTCAAGGCTGCTGGGACAGGCCCTCGGGAAGGGTCCAGTAAGAACCAGAGTAACCTTCCATTTGCCAACAAGGGAAGGCACTGACAATTACCTGATTGGTTGTTTTAAGGGAAGTCATTTTAATTTTAATTTTTATCCTCATCAAAGGATGTGGTCATTAATCTTAGGGGAAGGGAGGGAGAGCGAGGAGAGAAAGCGGTACGAGGCAGAAACATCGACTGGTTGCCTCTTGTATGCACCCCAACCAGGGACCAAACCCACAGCCTAGGTTTATGCCCTGACCAGGAATCGAAACAGCGACCTTTTTGGTATATGGGACGACCTTGCAACCAACTGAGCCACACTGGCCAGGGGTGTCCAGTTAATGGCTTAAGCCCCAAATTTCCCTAATTTCCATCCTATTTAGTAACTGATGTTTTTCAAAAAGGATTTTATTTATTATCTTTAGAGAGAGAGGAAGGGAAGAAGAGAGGGAAAGTAACATCCACGTGTGGTTGCCTCTTGCACGCCCCCTGCTGGGGACCTGGCCCACAACCCAGGCTTGTGCCCTGACTAGGAATCAAACCGGTGACCCTTTGGTTCACAGGCTGGTGCTCAAACCACTGAGCCACACCAGCCAGGGCTGGTAACTGAGGGACAGAGTGTCATTCCCTTCCCACCCTCAACGGCAGTCTCCCATCTTTATCATGACCAAACACCTGAACACCTGCTTTCCCCTCCGGGCTGGGCCAAAAATATGCTAGGAAGCGGCTTTTTTCCTGGTGTCATCTTTAACAAAAGCACTTTGTCACCTTTTCATTTTTGGAGCAGATGTGTGCTTCAGGGCTGACAGCAAGGCGCTGGCCCACCGAACTCTGCTTCTGAGCTCTGCCTGGCCCACTGTGTTCTGGCCGCACACACTGCCCTCTGGATGGCCGCCTGCCCACCGGCTGCGTTCTCACCACGCCGTCTGCCTCTGCCGCCCACAGCGGGGTGGCCGCAGTACAGAGAGCCCTGTGCAGGCTTCCTCGCACCTCTGAGTTCCCAGCAGGGCCCAACACCATCGTACACAACGCTGGGGGCTCCCTGCACTGCACCCGCGGCGCGCACTTGCAGTTGAAAAGAACGAGTAGGTTGTAGTTCCAACCCTGCCACCCCTCAGTTGCATACAAGCAACTTCCTCTTTCCTGCTACCTTGTCAAAAATAAGTAGATAGTAAAAGCAGGAGAGTTCACCCAAAGTCAAATCTGAATGACAAACTCAACAAATTCTTAGACTAGCTAATCCTCTCCTAGGCCCCAGCCCCGGGGCCATCAGACAAGCCCTTCCCTGCTCTGAGTCAGGCTGGCTGCCAGTGCCGGTCTGCACCACAGGGACAGGCTGGGGCAGAGGAAAGTCCAACTTCAAATCCTCTTTAGTCCTCTCTAGTCCTCCAGTTCTTTCCCTTCATCCTCAGACTTCTCCAGCTGCTTGTGAGATGCCACCCCTGAGCTCTCCGGCCACGGACACCACCCCAGGTAGGACACCACCCCAGGTGGGCCCCGGTGGCCTCCTGTGTTCCTCTCATCCCTTAGAGGCCAGTGTGAACACATATTAGGAAAATGACTGTCCTGTTTCAATGGAGCATCCATATCTCCTTTGAAATCTCACAATGTAAAGCAGGTAATCTTCGCCTCATTCACAGGAGGAAGAAACCGAGAATCAAAGTTAGGTAACTTGCCTCGGGCTGGCTAGCGTCACCTCTCTCGTCTGAGGAGTGGCAGAACCAGTGTTAGAAGAAATCGGCAGTTATTTGAAAACAGCACAGCACCCAGGGAATGACTTGTTTATGGCTTGTTTTCCTTCCTTTCTTGCTTGTCCCTGCGCGCCAGAGATAACGATTGCCCCTGTGTGCTGGAGATAACATTTTGCTTTTTGCTTCTTCTGTAAGCTGCTTCTTACTTTCCCACCAGAAGTAAGGGTCTAAGTGACAGACCACCCCTCACCCTATACAAGCAATTGCTCCCGCTGATCGGCGCCCAGAATTTGGAGACTGCCTCCTCTGGGTGCGCATGCATAATAAAGATTCCACTTCACTTCCTCCAGTGTTCAGTCTGAGTCTTTCCCGTAATGCCAGCACCTAGAGTTTAACTCACTTGGTCCTAAACCGAAGCCCTGGCCACCACGCCCTTACTCACCGCCCAAGGACCTGCTGTTCCTGCATGAAATGAGGGCCCTGGGTGCCCGCTGCACCACTGGTGGTGGGATTAGGGGGAAGTTCCTCTATGGTGAGGGCCACCCCCCATGCCTCACATCCCAGGCACAAGCACCCAGTAAGGCAGAGCTGTCTCTGCAGCCAGCTCGGACCCAAGGCTGCACGTCTGGAGACAACAGGGCCGTTGCTGGACCGGGCTGCCTTGAGGCTGACCTGGCTCAGGACAAGGCTGCTGATCAAACTAAAACGTAAGCCACTGTGCAGGAAGAGCTTTAATCTACATCCCAGAACTATGTGTTAAGAAGCCAAATAATTTCTTAGGACCAAAGAACGTAAGAACCTGTGCACAAAGGAGCCAGCTTGTTCCCAGAGGACTCCAACCAACCAGACCATGTTGGTGGGGCTCCGCCCAGTGCCTGCAGCTGGGCTGGTCTCCTCCAGTGCTGGGACCCTGCCCTGCGCATCATCCTCATTCATAGCTGAGAAAACAAACACCTAGGAGAGAGTCAGTAATTTGTCTAAATTGTCAAGACTCCAATCTAACATGCAAATTCATTCTGCATATATTTTTAAAGACTTTATTTATTTATTTTTAGAGAAAGAGGAAGGGAGGGAGGCGAGGGAAAGAAACATCGATGTGAGAAATGTCAACTGGTTGCCTCTTGTACTCTCCCTGACTGGGGACCTAACCTGCAGCCCGGGCTCGTGCCCTGACCGGGAATCAAACAGGCAACCATTCACTTTTGCGGAATGATGCCCAACCAACCCAGAGCCACACTGGTCAGGGCCCTAGTCCACACATTTCTTAAAAAGGATTTACTGAGAACTTTTTTCTGGGGGGGGGTGGAATTCAGAGCCTGCTTCCCAATTCATGTAACACATGAAGTTCTCAGAAGATAATACCCAGGCTGTCACTCACTCCCAGGAACCTGGGCCAAGATCCCGGTGCTGGGTCCCCGCAGGATGGGGTGGAGGGGGGCGTGCGGAGCAAGCCTGTGACCTGCTCCAGCTGGTTCCACATTCGCCGGTCTGTGACGTGCTCCAGGGGAGGTCCGAACAGAAGCCTGCAGCTCACATTTAGGACCAGAGGGTTCCCAGAGCTCAGAAATGTCTGGTCTCCCAAACAACAGCACCCTGTAGAGCCTGGTTTAGATCATCCAATCGCCACGCTAGGAGAGGAAGACACAGCGAAGGCAGTCTGCCAGTGAGAGAGGAAGCTGGACCTGCAGATGTGCGGAGCTCCTCAAACCTCTGGTCCCTCCTCCGACCGACCTCGGGCTGTAAAACCCAGCTGCCGGGGCCGGGACAGAGCACTGTGGGCCTGTGAGGGGAGTTCTGGGAAGTGGCCCCCTGTTGGGAGGAAGTCACATTATCACCAGCCACCACGGAGCAGCGAAGGGGCAGAAAAACAGGATCTTAAGTGCTGCCGGCACCTGGAGCGAATTAGGCAACCTCTCTCAGCTGGTTTCCTCATTTGTCACCCTCCACCCTAGGACTGTGGGGGTGGCATCTGGGGACCCTGTGTGAGGGGCGCAGTCACTGCCAGGGTTTGGGAGGTGCTGGTTACCACTGCCACTGGGCACACCAAGGTGTCGGGATCGGTCATTTAGGACAAAGGCTATGTCATAAAACAAAAGGGGATGTCACAATCCTTCCAAACCATAGCACTTCATGCTCACTGCCCAAACAATCATCTGAGTTTTTTAAATTTAGAATTAGCCCTGGCTGGTGTAGGCCAGTGGATAGAGTGCAGGCTGCAGACCAAAGGGTTGCTAGTTCAATTCCCAGTCAGGGCACATGCCTGGGTTGCAGGCCAGGTCCCCAGTGGGGGTGTGCAAGAGGCAACCACACATTGATGTCTCTCTCTCTCTTTCCCTTCCCCTCTCTCTAAAAATAAATAAAACCTTTAAAAATTTTAGAATTCAAACAAAATTGGGGTAAAGTACACAAAACAAAATGTAGCATGTTAACTACTTTTCAGGGTACAGTTCAGCAGTATTAAGTCCATTCGTGCTACACAACCAACCTCCAGAACCTCTCATCTCCGAATCCCTAGGTCCACTGGCCCCACCCCCAACCACTTTCTGCTTCTCCACTTTCTGTTCGGTTAAATCAGTACAACTCTGAACGCTGCACGTCAGCGTGCACCACAAACGTCCCAGAGGCGGCTGCTCACACGAGAGTGGCAGAAGCAGGCTTACCAGAGGGGAGCCACCCCCTCCCCATTTCTGACGCCCCATCCAAGGCCCCCCGCACAGCCAGAGGCAGCCGAGGGCTGCTCACTCTTGGCAAGGGGCTGAGCTGGCCCTGCATCCGGGCCACACGCCATGTGCCTGCCCACCCCCCGGCCTGAGGTCTGGCAGTCCACGGCCCACCCCTCTCCAGCCAACACTAGGAGGTATTCAAGCTGGTCCTGGCACCTTGCGTTTCTCTGCACTCCTGGTGAGATGGCGTGGTTTTCTAACTATCTAATTTGCATAGATACTTGTTCCGGGACCAGAATGGCCACATGAAATGGGGTTTTCAAAACTCAGCTTCCTGTGGATGTGCCAGGTGGCAGGGGGCAGAGATGGGGTGGTGGGTGGAGGGGAAGGCAAGGGGGAGGATCGGCCTCTCACCCCCGCTCCTTTCCGCAGTGTACTGCCAGCCCACCCAACTCACGGGTGTGCGTGTCGGCAATCACACGCAATCCCCCACTGTGAGCCGAGGAAAGAGGCCTCAGGATGAACCCTGCTTTGTTGGTGCACTGATGCTGGACTTCAGCCTCCAGAACGATGAGAAGCCCACTTCTATTTTCAAGGTGCCCGGTCTGTGCTGTGTCGTGGCAGCTGGAGCAGAATGACACGTATGACACCAGTGCTCGCGGGCAATGCCACGGGCATTTGTACCGACTGAACAGAAGATTTAAAAAACAAAAACAAACAATGTAACTTGGGTTCCCACCCAGCACGCGGTTCAGGGCCGGCCCTCACCTGGAGCCAGGGCGCGCTCTGAGCTGCGAGGTGGCCTTGTGTCCTTCCCTGCAATAGGTTCTGCCAGCTGGCACCTCTTACTGCAGGGTGGCACCGGCCAGGAACACCAGGCAAAAGGATTCTGGCCCCAGGGCCTTGGGGACCCTTCACCTCTGGGTGCCTGTGATTGCAGGAATGAGGGAGGACAGGACTGGACACAGCGAGGCAATCGTGCGTCCGGGCCCACGGCCACCTCCACCCAGCTGGACGGCAGAACGCGTAGAGGCAAGCGTTCAGAGGACGTTAACAGGGGTGGTCTTTGAGAAGCGGCATGGCACGTGGGTGGTCAGTACGCCTTCCTGCTCCCTCCCTGAGTGTCTTTGCCTTCTTTCCCGCCCAACAAAACTGCCCCAGTGCGCTGAACGCTGCCCCCCCACACCGCCGTCCGCCACTGCACACTTCGGCCTTTATTGTGCTGGCCCGCAGCTGGCACTTAAGTCCTCTCTCCTTTCATGAGTCGCCCGTCCCCTGCCTTGTGACTAGGAGTGTTCAACCCTGGCCCTTTAAATGCCTCATAATCGTTCTTTGTTTCCTCAAAGAAGGGATTTTCAGTTGGATAAGACTTGCCCAATTCCTCCCTACTCTTGCCCCAGGCAACTCCCACTCTGTGTGGTCACTTTCTCCATCTGTAATTATAGGATAATAGTCCCACCTCCCTCTCGGGGTTATTGTGCAATTGAATGAGTTAGAACGTGTGAGGGCAGGTGGCTCACAGACACACTGCTAATGACCTGGGTAACGACCTCCGCCTCCTGGTGATGATCTGTGCGACCCCGAGGCCTGCAGATGCACTGACTGCTCTGCACCCCCGCCCCCCAAAGAGGTTACAGGACATCCGTACCACAGATGGAGCTGTGGCAGGTGCGAGGCAGCAAGGCTCCGCCCTGGAGAGGCTTCCTGTCCAGCGAGGGGGACAGATGTGTCATTGCCAGACCACCTACCTGGCCTATGATGAGACCCAGTTTGTTAGGGAGCTCCCAGCCTCAGGAAAGAGGATGACCAGGTGTCACTGTTTTTGTACAGTTCTGATGAGGAGGCTGGCAGAGTGTTCAGGGCAGTGGCAAAGTTGGGAGTAGATTCCCATTTTTCCTCCTGGGACTAATGAAGGGCACTTGCATTACGGGGCCCACGTGGGTCCGAGTAAGGAGCCACTGAGGAACGGCAGCCACGTGCACCTGACCTTGTGGAATGTGCAGCAGGCACCCCGCTGCTCCCACCGCTCAGTGAATTCTCCCCCAGGACCTGCAGGGCTCACCCTCACTGCCTTTGCTGACCAGTCCACACAATACACCCAGCAACCCACAGACCCACGCAAGCGGCCCCTGTGGCCCCACCCTCCTCCTCTGCACAGCACTTGCAATCGGTGACGTGTGTGTGTGCACACGGACTAGTGCCTGCACTTGGACTTGTTGCCTCTGTGGTCCCCTGCCCCAGTCCCCGGGAAAGGCCCAGGGGGCAGGGACTTTAATTTTGCTTGGAGCTGCATTCCCAGCAACCTGCACAGAGCCTGGCTCGAAGTAGCCAGTCAATAATTAATGAAACCTCTCCTCCCACTTACATTACTGCCCTTCAGCTTCTAATTTCCAGTTACAAGTGGACTGCAAATCACCGTATCTATTGTGCCTGGATGCCAATTAAAAAATCACGAACCTTGCCTGACGTGAACTTGGCTTAATGTTAATCTGCTGTCTGAACCTGTCACAGACCCCAGGTGAAAACAACTGTAGAATCCGTCGAGATTTGAGACCTAAAGTAATTCCGAAAGTCTTGTCTTTTTGTCCCCAGCTGCATTACATGATAAACAGCGGTAAGAAGGGCCCCTGGCATTGGCCCCTCGTCCCCTTTGCTGTCAATCACACAAACGCCCTTGCCCAGGCATTCTCTGCCGCCTTTCGACCTCCAAATGCCTCCCTCCAGCTCAGAAGCAGCAGCTCAAAAAAATGCAGAAGCAGGTTTTAGAGAGAAGGGCCCTCTGAGGCTCCATGGGAGTGAACTTTCATTTGAGTGGATGAGCTCAGCACACAGGGCTGACTGGACGCGCGGCAGGGGAGGAGGAAGAAGAGGGGGTGGAAGGTGTGGACACAAAGGCGCAGTTTGCTTGTTTGTGGGTGTTCGTCTGCAACGGCTCTGCATATAGACTCCCCCTTAGGGGCCCGTGTGCGCCTGGACCCCGCACCTCCTGAGAGCTCTTGCTCATTGCCCAGTGAGTCAGGCTGGCGGGGGGCCAAAGCTCACGGCTCCCGCTTCTCTGCCTTCTGTTTGACCCAGGGAGGCTTTCCCCCGGCTCGGAAAGTCACTCGGTAATTTAGGGCCTGATCACTCCTACCTCACCTCTGCTTTCAGCCAAGTCGTTTTTCCTGAAAGGAACTTTGACATGAACAGTGTTCTTGCTGTGAAATATGTCACAAACACAGAAAGCAGTATAAAATGTCTATACAGTTTCAGGAATGGCGATAGGAATGGAGCAGTGGACAGGTGACCGGAAGCACTGGTCAAGGGTACAAAGTCCTGTCAGGGAAGGCGAGTCCCACAGCTCTCAGGACAGTGCCCTGCCTGTTGTCACGGATTCCACAGCATGTGCCATCGACCCGTAAACGATGAGGGGCTGGGGCCCTGACCCCCTGGGCAGGCAAAAACCCCCACGTAACTCCTGACCCTCCAGGAACGTAACCACTAAGAGCCTACTGTTCACCAGAAGCCTTACTGATAACACAAACGGGTGATTGACACGTGTTTCGTCTGGTATACGTGTTACATAAAGTTTCCTTACAACACACTGAGCCAGAGAAATGATGTTACTAAGAAAACCACATGGAAAGTACATGTACAGCAGTCACTGAAAAAAGCCCACAAACAGCGGAGTCGCCCAGGTCATGCCCACGCTGTTCAAAGGTTCCCTGCACTTGGACATTTGCTAAGAGGGCAGATCTTATGTCAACTGTTCTCACCACAAACAAAAATAAAATGAATTAAGAGGGCGGCAGAAAACTGGCTTCCACACTCACTGAATCGTGCACATTGAGTATGTGCAGCCTGTGTACGTCACCTGCCTCGGTAAAGTGGTTAAAAAAAGAACAAGCACCACAGAGGGCCCCAGAGCAGCACCCTCTGCATACCCTGCACTCCTCAGAGGGGGCCGCTCCCTTGCCCGTCCTTTTCATCATCTTAGTTCTGTGCGCCTCTCCTCAAACACCGTTGTTTTGTTCTGAGAAGCCGAGGAGCAAGTGCAAACCTCAGTTTGTAGGGCAAGGGTGACAATGTCCCCAGGAGACGCACGGTGCCCCTGAGGCAGCCTGGGCAGGGTCTGGCTTCAGTTCCCGGAGGGCTCCCTGGGGCCCGTGGGAACGGGGTGCGGCCTGTCCAGCAGGCACACGGTCAGAGGGAGTGAGTGGGCTGCCTCCAGACTTGACCCAGCTGCCGGAGGCTGCAAAGGCAGCCGGGTCTCCCCAGGTGCTCTGGGGAGCGAGGTGTGGCCTTCCCCAGTGAACCGACAGAAGCAGGCAAATAGAGATAAGTGGGCCCGGCACACCTTGGACATTCTGTCTTCGTGTTCAAAGACTGTAGGAGGGCGGTCGGTCGTCCTGTGACTATAGCCCTTAACATGTCTTTTTTCTGAGTCACTGCTGACGCCTGGACAGGCTGCCCGGCTGGTCTGGGGCACAGCCGCCCTCCCTGAGGGCTCCCTTTCCCTCCCTCCTGTGCGGGACCCCTCTATACCACATCTTCCTTTTTCTTGGTTTACGCCCTCCTTTTGTGCCGATGTTCTGGCCTGGACTCAATGGGCACTGTCGAAGCGGACAGTCTCAGAAAACTAGGAGGGTCAAGGACTAAGCCTGGAAGGACTTAGCTCTGCCCTGACAGGCCCTCAGAGGCCATCAGAAGACATAAACAGAAAACCCCGAGGCCTGGGCGTGGGCGCAGACAAGGGGGTGTCTGGGGCAACCAGGTTTTCGAGCCCTGGAACCCGGACATCAGGCCTGGGCATCGAGCCTTCTGTGAGGGCAGCAGTTTGGTCTTGCAGGACGGTGCAGGTTGATTCTGGGTGCCAAGCAGGCTGGAGGGACAGGAGGCAGCTAGTCCCCCTCTCCACCCCTCCCCCTGGCAGGCTGCTCCCTCTCCAGGGGCTCACCAGACATGCCTGTTTTTCCCAACTTCCACGTGTACTGACTGGCTGCTGTGCAAAGGGTTCTGATACCAGCTGGTTGAATTCAAAGGAAAGAAATGCTACACACTACTTCCTAAAGCTTACAATTACAAGTCGCACCAGTCAGTGAAGGCAGGACATTTTAGTAGCTCCCCAGGAGACAGGACACAGAAGGCCGCTTCCTGCCAAAAAAGCAACAGGATATGAAGGAATGACAAGGGCTTTAGGGCTGACAGTCTTGAGTTTGGATTCCCAGATGCCACTTAGCTGTGTGACCAAGGACAGGCTGCTTAACCTCTCTGAGCCTCGTTTTCTCAAATATAAACCGAAGAACCCAGTTTCAATGTACTGGTAAATCATGTTTGTAAGTCCTCCTTTGTCTCCTTCCCCACCCCAGGCCACCAGGCAAGGATGACAGAGCCTGACACTTGTTGACACACCGATGCTACAAACCCGGGCCATCTGGGCCAGGTGTAAAGTGAAAGTGGGAGCAAACAAGTTCACTTGGAATAAATGGATCTCAGCGGGACCACAAACTGAGTTGAGCAAGAAAGGATTAGAGACTGAGCATTAGTTCCACATCCAAGTTCCTAGAGAGCTGAGGATGATACGAAAGACAACAGGAAAAAAGCCCACGCGCGGCAGGTGCCTGCCAGTGTTTCCGGACTCTGTTAGCTCCGAACGCCCTTTCCAGGTAGGGCTTTCTAATTTACAAACCAGATTTCCTGATATGCCACAAAGCGGCATTTCCGCGGCTCCCAGAACTACGTCTCCATGCCTGAAGTTCTCAGTTATTGCGAAACGCATGTCTTTCCACAATGTTAATTTGAAGAAAGTTCAGGGAATGGAAGTTCCTGGAGTGAGAAGAGAAGAACCCTTTGTCCACTTACCAGGCATACTCCTGGTCAGCCGGAGTGGGAGAGCAGGTTTTCCTATCTGCAAAAGAAGGCGGCAATTAGAATTTCGGTTGTAATAAATACACATAATCTCCTCTTTAAAGCTTTTGTTCTAGAGAACCTGCAGGCAGGCCAAGCTCTTAGAAAGAGTTTCCTCTGAGCAAACACAGGGGCTCCTCAGCAGGGGAAAAGCATCGCTGCAAAAGGGCTCTCGGGCAACTAGATCGCTCCCACGTTTGCTGGTGTCTCTTCAGGGAGCCACGAAGTCCCAGCTTGGTAGGCGTCTGGGGTGGAAACTACATAAAACCTGCATCGAATCTCCCCAGTGCTCAGTCCCCAGGGGATACTGCGCTGGCCTCAGGCTACTTGAACAGTTTAACCCAAAAGATGGCTATCAGACCAAACCATATAATTTACATCAACAATATGAATGACAACACTTAAAAAAAAATCTCTAGATGGCCTGCTTCCTCAGTCTGAGCACCTGGTCGCTATCATGGCTTTAAAGACAATGAAGGTGAGGGGCCAGACTTCGTGATGCCCGAAGCACTGCACTCCCTCTAGAGTGACCTGAGATGCTGCCTCTGCCGACAAGCAAGCAAGAAAGGGAGAACCGCGGAGCGGACAGCATGGACCTCGGAGCAGACAGCAAGGACCGCGGAGCGGACAGCATGGACCGCGGAGCGGACAGTATGGACCTCGGAGCAGACAGCAAGGACCGCGGAGCGGACAGCATGGACCGCGGAGTGGACAGCAGGGACTGCTTATACGCAGGCTGCTCAGGGAGCACCCAAGTCAGCCCACACCCGAGGAAATACAACACCATGCACACCCGCAGGTCCCTCCAAAGTGCATTGCAGTCCTTAGTCATTTATCAGGAGAGAGGAGTGAGACGGCCTTACCCACGCTGTTTAATCAATCAGCTCTCTGGTCTCGAGGAAGTAGTTTGGTGTGTGGGGCCCACGACGCTGCATTTGTTGTGTTTGGACACGGCGGGCAGACTGGAGCTGCCAGGGACGCTGCACAGGGACTGAAGGTCACTCGTTCCCGCACCACGACTACCTAGGCCAAGACAAGACATTTGGTCAGGCTGTTTTAATGGTTGGGGGTGGGAGGAAGTGCAAGTGAAATTCTTAAAATGACCTCATTTTTCTTTAGCTTTATTAGTGAACTATGAAATGTGGAGGCCTTGATTTTGAAAACTTCCATTACAGAAAAGAATTCTTCCCCAACATTAAATGTGCTTTGTGCCATTGGAGGGCTCAGCTGTGCAAGTATGAAGTTATTTTGTTCTTGCGTGTCAAGTGCCACAGATGTCAGAATGTGTGGGGGCCCCGTCACGGAGAACCGCACCCTGGTTTGTAAACGCAGCTGATCTGACATACGAGCCCCAGCCCGAGTCAGCGCACACGCAGAGGGAGGGGCTGGGCACAGCTTCTCAGAAGGCGCTCTTTCAAGCCCAGGAGCGGGCCGTGTTTGGGTGGTAGGAGGAGGCATTCTGGGTAGTGAGGGCCTCGTGAGCAAAGGCTAGAACTTGAGGCTTCACGGGAATGGTAATAAACCCAGTCAGGGTGGGTGGGTGGGGAGGGGGCAGGAACAGGCGCCAAAGGTGGGTTAACGTCGGATCTCGAAAGTCCACATGTACTTATTAGTCTAATGAGTTCCATCTATTGAAGGATGTTAAGCCCGGTATTTTGGAAAGGCAGCCCTGCTTTTAGTACATACGGGGTTGGAACAGCAGATGAACTAGCGGGGAAAACACGCGTTAGGAAAGGTGACAACGGCCTGAACTCGGTCAGTGTCTGTTGGGATGATGGAAGGGACGGCTGCCAGAAACATTTCGAAGCAATGAACGACGGAACCCCAGCAGAACTGATGACGACTTTTGAGTCCCAGTTTGGGTGACGGTCTGGGGGAGGAAGAGCAGGTGAGGACAGAGAGGGAATGGAAGCCAAGGGACTGGCGTTTCTCCACCTCGAGACTTACTGCCGTCTTGGGAGACGGGATGTCCTTGGCTGCAGTACAGCGTGGACTTTCCACCTCCACACCTAAGAAAACGCCCTTGGGAAAAAACTGCGGCCTCCCTCCCCCTCAGGGGCAAGGGTTACCCGCCAGCCAGCGCAGGCAGGCAGCACGGTCCACAGGGCTGTCTAGAGAGGCGTGCCAGGGGAATGTTTTCATTTCCCTTCATTCCCTTCATTCGTAACCACGTCTCTGGCGCGAGGTCCAGGTGTGCTTTCCCTCTGGGCGTTGCCGCCTCTGCAGTCCCAGGCACCCTTCTGTTCAAGCCCCTTCCCTGATACTGTTTGGATGTCTGTATCCTTCTGTGACCACCTTGGGGGAAAAGGCCCATTTCATCGATCTGATTTGTTTTTGTGTATTTGTCCTTTCTGCATTTCATCAATTACATTCTTTGAAGCAGCATAACCACTTGTGCAGAGTGACGAGGAGAAATCTTGGGAGGAAAAACCTCAGTGACCACACCTACCCTCCCAGCCTCGGAATACACCACGGGCAGCTCCGTGAGTGAGGGATGAGATCAGACACACAGGCCCTTCAGAAGGTGTCAGCTAGGGACTCATCAAAGGTACCCAGGGACCGGCATGAAAAGTGCTCCCAACACGACCAAATCTGGGGCAACTTGTACATCACACGACGACAGCAATGGGGAACAGAACATTAAAAACACAGTAACACCTTAGTTGGATGAGAAACGGGCTGTTTAGTTTCCAGTATTGCCCTACGGAAAAAAGTAACCTGACACAGTAACCTGACACAGTGCAAGCAGCGCCGCAGAACGACCTTCATAGGGTGATCAGACACACGGACACAGCGTCTCTTCATGACACTCTCCCCAAGATGCAGAGCTCAAGTTCCATCAGGAGGAAACTCCACACGGACGGATGTGTTCTACCAAACTCGGGGCCTGTAACCTCCAAAAGTATCAAAGGCAAGACAGAGGGGCTGCTCCAGACTTGAAGGAACCAACGAGAAACAGCAGCCAGGAGCAGAGTGAACCTGACCTGGTCCCCCAAGAGCAGAGTGAAACCTGACCTGGTCCCTCTTGTGTGAAGGGCCTTGCTGCGGTGGCCCGAACGGAGCCCGAGGGTGAAGGCGGCAGGGCCACCACCCCCGTCCTGACCACGGTGGGGGGCTGTGCAGCGACGCACAGAAAGGTGTTTGGGTGGCAGGCCACCAGGCTGGCAACTTCCTTCCGAGGGTTCGGGGGGCAGATGTGCTTTTTACTGTAATCGCAACTTTTCCATAGTACAGCTGAGACTGTTTCGAAATAAGAATTTTATTTATAAAAGGTATCAGTTACTTTAATTTGGCAGTTCAAATTTTTCTTCTTAAAGAGGAGGTAGGCTGTCCCCACACAAGGTGGACCAGATGGGAAGAGATCTTCGGCTCTGCCTGGGCCTCGTTCACTTGAGAACAGATCACAGGGGACCGCATCTGTCAAGTGAGAAGCGGCAGCTCAGGGCGTGTGGGGTCTCATTTCTCCCCCAGGCCGGCTGCAGGGGAAGTCACTGGCTCAGGGACGGCCTCAGAGCTGCGTACATCGCTTGATCCTGAGAACGGGGGAGAAGACAGAGCAGAGAGCTGATCACTGTTGAGGGGCGAACCGTGTCCCCCCAGATTTGCATGTTGAGGTCCTAGCACCTCAGAGTGACTACACTTGGAGACAGGGTCTTAAGGAGGCAACCAAGTGAACAGGGTGGTTAGGGCGGGCTCTCGTCGGACACGGCCTGCATCTTTGTAAGAGGAGACCCAGACACCCACGAGCACAGAGGAAGGTCCACGTGCACACACAAGGACGACAGTCATCTGCAGGAGAGAGGCCCGAAGGACACCAACCCTGCCACACCTTGGTCTTGGACTTCTAATCTCCAGCACTGAGAAATAAACTTCTGTAGTTCAGGCTGGTCTGTGGCACTTCATTAGGGCATTTAACTCTATTCACACTCCTTCTCCAGGGAATGCCTGTGACTCGTAATTGCAGACACACAAAGTCTGCCCCCAAATCAGGTTAAGAGATTCTTATGTCTGTATCTAATTAGCAAAGGAAGCAACACTCAGAGCCAAACTGAGTCCAGACTGGAAGGAGGGGCAAAGGCAGAGGTGTCCGACGCAGCAGCAACACCCGTCGGAGACGGCCGCTGCTGACCGCGGGGCTGCGTCGCTGCGTTTCAGCAACAGGCACGGGAGCGCGTTCCGGTGCTTCCGTCCTTGCTCCCCCTTGGTGCTGCCGGCCCTTCACATCTCAGTCCCTCCACGCCTACTTGTTTATCCCGAAAAGCGCAGCACGTTTTCATTTTTAAAATCCAATTTTGTTAAACTCTTCTGGAGATGTAAAACGTTCACAAGGTTCAAAACTATATATAAACCGTTGTAAAATGGGAAAAGGCTCCTCGACACTGCCCCCGTCGATGGGTTTTCCACTGCACACACGTGTGAGCACTGGTAATATCTTTTCCCCTTTAATATAAATGGTGGCATATCATACATGATCCCAACTTTTGAAAAAACATATATATATGAGATAGTCTTCAGTCTTTTTAGAGTAGTTACATTCATTTTATGATCATTCAGAGCTTCAGTTTTTAACTATTATGCACAATGCTCCAAACAACAATTTTATGCTGATGTGCGTCTCTGCGGAGAAAATCAGCAAAGGAGTCGCCGGGCCAACGTCTGTTGACTGTAAGCTGACCCATGAAAAGGGCCGTAAGGACTGACACCCCAGCAGCTGCATATGAAAGCAACTGTCTCCTCATTTCCTGGCCAAGAGAGCGTCATCCAGTTTTGAGATTTCTGCCAAATAACAAGTAAGTTCCATCTTATTATCGGTAAAAGTTGCTGTAGCTGAGTAAGTAACTCCCGGGCCTAAAAGCTACTGCCACCACCCAAGCACCTAACTGATCGTGCCGGCGAGCAGATGGCCGTGGAGCTGACTCAGAGCGAGGCTGAGATGGAGGCCCCGGGACACAGCAGTGCCTCCGGACCAGGGTCTGGACTTGGCCTTCCGGTTCTCCATTGGTCACCAGGCTGAGAACCCCGGAGCCTGGGTGATGGAGGGCTACCGATTCAAAGGGAATGGCAGTGGCGTCGGGAACAGGTTCTCACGGCTCAGAGGGATGGGAGTCCCGTGAGTCTGGGGACACAGGGTACCCAAGCGCTGCCTGACTTCACCGAATAGTAACCGTCTTAACTCATTACAGACACCATATTAACAAAGTGAGAAACAACAAGTAAAATCTGGCACTTTACGTAAGAAAGTCAGAGTGATTTCTTATGGTGAAGACACTTTCCTTTCCTGAAACTGCTGGGTAAGTCCCTAGTGCTCAGTCTGGGGAGTCTGGCTCCAGGACCGAAGCTGTGCACTGGAGAGGACGCAGCATGTGAAACACGACCTGAACGAGGCTGATTAAAAGCCCCGGGACTGCGAGACCAAACACGAGACGCCACTGCCTGAGCTCCGGCCGCTGAGAAAGGCGCAGGGCAAGTCCCTGAAGAGCACTCTCACAGAGGCAACCACCCTGCTCATCCTCACGAGCCCGTATGCTGGTCTACATCCTAGTCTCTGTTCTTTCTACATTCGGGAGCTTTTCTTACCTTTTTTGATATAGATGATTTTACTTTCTTGAAAGCTTCTTCAAAATGCTTCTGACTAATCTTGAGTTCACCTGTGGAGCAAATGCACAAAAATACACATCTGGGTACAGCCTGCCGGCTGTGATTCCAACTTAGTTAACTTCGAGAGGCTTCCAGAACTCAAGGTCACTGAGGTCCTCACTGGCGAGGCTCAGTGGGTTGGGCACCCTCCCCAAACTGAGGGCGTGATGGTTCAATTCCTCATCAGGCTCATGCCGGGGCTGTGGGCCGGGTCCCGGGTGCGGGTGTGTCAGAGGTAACCAACCAATCAGTGTCCCTCTCCACACTGGTGCTTCCCTCCCTTTTCCCTTTCTTCCTCTCTCTCTAACAATAAACAGAACCTTAAAGATATGTATATGAAAAAAAAGGACAGTGAGGAAATTAGTGATGACACTGGTTCTAGTCTTTTTCAGAACAATCGGTATCGTTCTGAACCAAACATAGTCTGTTCATCAATGTTTTTTAGACCCTTTTCCCTCTTAATTTAAATGATATATTTATGAGCATATTTAATTTTAAAGAAATGCTTACGTTTTATGTCATACATTTTAGTGCTATCCTTCCCCACCAGCAATCAAAACAGCCTATTTTGGGACAAATTATATAAAACAGTACTTTGGCCCTGGCTGGTGTAGCTCAGTGGAGTGAGTGCAGACCTGTGAACCAGAGGGTCGCCAGTTCGATTCCCTATCAGGGCACATGCCTGGGTTGCAGGACAGGTCCCAGTGGGGGGCATGTGAGAGACACTACACACTGATGTTTCTCTCTCTCTGTCCTCTCCTTCCCCTCTCTCTAAAAATAAATAAATAAAATCTTTAAAAAAAGGTACTTTGTCTATTATTAGAGATTCTTATCCCTTTAAAAAACAGTCCATGTGTTCTACCTGTTTATTAGCTCCCAGCTTTGCTGAGATACTGTGGACACAGGAAAGTGTAAGGGAGGCAGTGTGACCACATGGTAGGTGCATGTACTGCAGAATGACGAGCACTGCAAGGACGTTCGTGCCCTCGACTGGCACCCCCAGTGTCCCCCTGCTCACCACAGTTCGGTGCGCACTGCCCAGAGACCCGCCACCCTTGAACAGACAACCTTTGTAGGCCCTGTGCTTACCAAGGTTGTGGACTATAAGAGCACCCCCACCCCACCCCCAATTTGGGAGGAATAAGGGTTGTTAATGCTGCTGTTGAGTTCTGTTTATATCTACACTGGTGAAATACTGTTATTTATGTTATTAAATGTTTTACCACATTTTTTGCTTCAAAAAAAATTTCCCTATTTTCCTCTTCTAAAACCTAGGTGCATCTTATGGTCCAAAAAATAGGGTGCCCTAAAAATGGTGTTTATGAAGAACCAGAATTGTTCTTCTTTTAAGATAACTGTTCTCTTTTTAAGATAATTCAAACACATTTAACTGGGAACGGAGAGCAGATTCCACAGCGTTTCGTAGAGTGCAGACACACAGTCGGACGCGGCGGAGTCATGGCATCACGGTGCACGGGGTGGGCAGAGTGGTCTACAGGCCTGACTACAGGAGCCAGGTCTACTCTGTGTTACCTTCCCACACAAACAACTGTAAACCCACTTCTGCCTCACCCTGTATAATATGTAGACAATATCACAACACTGGATTAGAAGGAGTTTCTAATGCTTTGTAAGGCTGTGCCATTACCTAAGTATAAGAAGTCAAAATGACTAAATGTAAATAAGGCTTGGCTTAGAATATTAATATAGTAACTTACGTGATGATAATTTATACTTAAAATGGTAAACTTTCTACACAGACATTGGGATAGAACATTTACCTAAAAGTAAAATAAAATGTGGAACTGGACAAATCAAATGGAAGTGAATGGTATTTAAGTTTCAACAAGATGCTAATGCAGCGACTGTCAACCTCTTTCACCTCTCGGGACACACAAACTAATCACTGAAGTTCTGAGCACACCAGAAAAGGGGCGTGCTCACTTCCAGTCACAAAGCCAAGCCCCAGACAGCCATCGGGCCCACTCTCGGGCAGGACACTGCCCTGCAAGATGCTTTTCACAAGATATTCTGATTTTGCTGATTATGTCCCACCTACTTCCAAAAGGAATTTAACACAGGTTATAATAAAAGAAGTCCAGATAACTGAGTCTTAAAAACGACAAAAACCTCGGCGCCTTCTTGGCTAAGATACGGGTGCTGACGAATCTGAGCTACTGCGCACGCACAGCTGTGCTGTGACCAGAACGTGACTCTAAGGTTCTCGGAGGAGACAACAGATGGGAAAAGGAAAGAAACCAGCACCAGTTAAAAAGGGTATCTTTTGGAAATGTACTGAACAACAGGAGCGCACTACAGACTTGAACTGTAAATGAAAGTACAGATTTAGAGGAAAAGGCAGGTCTTTTGAAGGAGTTCTGCAAGTACTGTAAAGAACAGCCGTAACCTGCAACTGTTCAAACGACCGTCATATGAACCAAGCAGAGGCCATTTCTGTAGAAGACCTGGTTGGAATCTTTTTTGGCTCCAAGCAAACAAATCATGTGAAGAATGTGGCAAAGCTGTTGAGATGGCCCTAAACAGTCACATAATAACATATATCTACTTTGTACTTAGAAGTGAGAGTTTACATATATGGTAGGTTATTTCAATGTCCATTTCTCCTTGTGTGTGTTTTCTAAGCAGTCCAGTTGAGGCTGTGAAAGTAGATATTACTTCAGCAAAAGAATGAGGTTCCCCAAGACTGATAAACAGACCAAACCCACGATGAGGTCGGTGAATGGACTCACTTGCCTAAGTCCAAGCATTTGTATATGATAAGAAAAGATCTAATACTTTTTATTAGAAAGGCACCGAATAATTTTGCTATCATTATAATTGTCAGCCATAGAGGTATGCTATATTCTGAAAGGTTTCTAAAGATCTCATCAGAAAATACCAGCTTTAACATCAGAAAGAACACGCTAGGAGACGGTCATACTCTGGGTTGAAAGCAGTGTTAGCTACCCAGCGTGGTGACTGGTTAGGACTGAGAGATGCTGGGGAGAATCGTACCTCTTTCGTCTCCACTTTTCTGTCTCGCCATCTCCTGCCTCAGGGCACAGAGAGAAGCTTCTCGCACCAAAGCAGAGAGGTCCGCGCCCCTGCAGTGAAAGAAGTGTTCTCATTTATTCTTAGACACCATTCAGACCTGAAAGAAATCTGAGAGCAGTTTTCTTTAACGTCACGTATGGAGCGGTCAGAAAACAAACTGGCCAATAAAGGTGGGAGAAACTGATTGAGTCAGTAGGAAAGAGCTTAGCTTTCATTTAAACAATGTCTGACTTCCCAGAGAAAGGAAACCGTGGAGGAAACAATGCAATGAATTGTAAACAGTCCCATGAAAGCAGCTGTAGGATCTACATTAAGATAAAGAGTTCGGGGCATCGTCAGTAGAAACTGACGCGCTCTTCACTGTGAACTTGGGTTCACACGGCCTGTGCTCGAGTGCTGCCAGCCCAGTCCTATGTCACCTAAGGCCTAAACGCAGCTTCTATAAGTCATTTATGGATCCGTGTTCAAAGGGGAAAACACGAAGGCTGGCAAGTCCTTGATGCACTTGATTCATGCTCAGGTAAGGGGACTCATCCTAATTACTTGAAACAGGACAAGAACTAACAAGCCTGCACTTGACAATCCTGTGTAATAATGCGCCGAGCCCACACGACTCTTGAGTTCAACGAATCACTGAACGACACTGGTGCTGACTGGCTTTTCATCACAGCACACCTTCAAGTTCTCGAAGATTCTTTGACAAAGTTTGAATATGGGGCAAAAACCTTATTTCTGGACATTACCCCAATTTAATACACAATGGTGATGATCCACACAACACAAAATTAAAGACGCAAGGAGTTTAAATTATTAACTGAATCCAGTGTTTCTGTTGTAACGCCTTAGGGTTATAACGTTATTTAATAATCTCATACAGGCTGGGCTAGTCACTCCCTTCCGTCACTTCAAGTCTAGCACCGACTGGTAGGGGACGCCACTGACAAGCGGTGTTACAGTGTCTCTCGAACTGTGAAGACGGTGACATTAAAACCCAAAATGTACACCCTTCACCTCTAACCCTTTCAACACGAACACCCTACACAATATATCCAAAAGACTGAGCTCGGTAAATTCAGCAACACAAATGCACATCCAAAGAGCAGGTCCATTTGGATGTACACTTACACTTATACTGTACGTGTAACAGAAAATCTTACAGAAAATCTGCTCAGACTTAGCACTGAAAGCTGTAAACTGCTCACTGAAGTCTCTTGTTTTTCCTTAGTACTAATATTAAGTTCATTTAATGTCAGACTGGTATGGATTCAATTCCCAACTAGGGGAGAAATACGTCCTCCTTAAAGGGAAGGAGGGGCTCTTACACCTGCCCCCCCACCCCACTGCCTGGAACCCTGACCACTTCCCCTTCACTGCTTCCTAAATGAGCCCGCTTCCGGACCAGAGCGTGGCCTCTCTCTCAGGTGTGCTGGAGTGCCGGATCAAAGACTGGGACTCAAGAGTCCCAGTTGTCTGTATATGAAAAAACTGGAGACAAACCACACTCCCCAGAAATGATCAGCATGGCTGCCAGTGAGACCACACGGTTAAGAAGAGATGGTTATGCCAAGTCCTCAACCAGGACCGGAGATGACTAGGTGCCCGTGGTACTGTGGTGGACGTGCTCTTTGGATGTGCATTTATACGGCTGAATAACAGACTCCCGACGGCCTCACTTCACTCAGCCTGGGGAAGCCCTTGGTTTGGCCTTGCCCTTCAGGAACATCGTGAACCTCAAGTATATTGTGGACAATCAACAGAGCTTTTCAAACAAGCCAGAGGAGATGCCTTCCTCTGTTAAACTTGAGTTTCTTTTTTCTCTGATTATGGAAATGGAAAGTTAACCAATTTCATTTAAAACACAACCACCACAAAAATATGAGTGCTGAAGGCAGAAATGTTTTTGTCCTGCTTTCACGACAGGAAATGCGTGGATAATCACAGGTAGGTGTGCTGTGAAAATAAATCCTGAGCCTTGGACAATGAAACACTCGTGGATTATTCTCTTGTAAATGTTGAAGCACCTGGGTAGTGGGGCAACCAGTCACGAAAATGGTGGAAGGACAGACAGTTCGTGAAGGGCGGCAGAGGTGGTCAGGGTAGCTGAGGAACAGGAGTCAACACGAGAGGCCTCCCCACTCCCTTGGAGCCGCGAGGTGCACAGCTGCTTCCCTGGGAAAGGGCCAGAGCCTGTGCCAGGCGCTCTGAGGACTCCTCACTCCACCCTCCCGACACCGCCATTCTCCCTCACTCGGCAGAAACTGAGCCTCAGAGGGTTAACGAACTGGGGGCCGAGATCCTTACGAGTAGCCTTCGCAGCGATGGTCCCCGGCGATCGCTTCCAGATGCACATCTGCGTCCAGTGGGGGTTTGGTGCCATTCTGAACAAGAGAGAGAAAAAACGATCTTTCATTGAGGCTTTCTTTAAAGCTGCCCAATTCTCCTCTGCCTGAGAGGGTCTTAATAAACAGTGCCGCCTACTTGACTAAATGAATTTAACTGGTTCCCAGAGCAGCGCTGTAAGAACTTGACAAATTTCAATTTTGAGAAATGAGGTTTAGAAGCAGGCTCCAAACCTGGGCAAGCTAAAGGCAATTTATGCTTATGAAGACTGAAGAATCCGTCTGCAGTTGCAACAAAAACAAAACAACACCAAGGGCAAAATCACCGCCTCAATCTTCCCAAAGGTGAAGAAACACATTTCCTTTGCCAGCACTTATTTTGGATCTGCATGTCGCTAAGTTTTTGGCTGGCTAGGGAGGGAGAAATAATATTGAAACTGGCCAGCAGAGAATGAGCAGGAAATTGCTCTACAAGAAAAGCCAAAAGCCCTCTGGTCACTGTGTTCTTTCCTAACCCTTCACGCAAATGTAATCCTGACTTTGGTGCCAATTCCCCTTTAGCTAATACCAGGAGACGCTAGGAAGTAGAACAAGACCAGAATAGTCTGAGAATTCCAACAACACCCGACACAGTATAGTGCACACACACAGTATGTGTTTAATATCAATTTCAGTATCTCTCAGAGGCAAATACAAGTTTTTAGTGATTTAAAACGTATGACATAGTTAGATGACAAGTTTGTGTTTGCTTTACTGTTCTGACTCATACCGAACGTACAGTCTTTGTAGCAATTGTTACATTAGAAGAGTCTAAGGAGACACACAAAGTGGACAAACGTGTGCCAGGGAGCCTCGAGGTGAGTGTGACCACCCACGTGGCAGCGTGCCCAGCAGGATGCCGCGTGGAGCCGGCACCTCGTGCAGTCACCTGCCTGTAGGGCACACTCCACCAGTGCCCTCTCCCTTCCTGCCAGCCGGGCACATTTAAGAATTTCATAAGCTATACATCTGCTGCCTGCTGTTATTTGATTAAAGGCAAATGCTCATCTAACAAACACTCGAGAAACAGCTGTGTTTCTCGCTCTATCCACTTTGACCTGGGAGATAATCACGGGGAAAACACTCTCTGAGTGACCTCAGGCAAAGCCTTCCTGCTTTCCTTTTTCCTGTGGTGTGTAAAGCCAGACAACCGGGCTGCACGATCTCTCAGGTCCCTTTAATGTAAATGTTTACAATTTACTCAGTCAGCCTGGGGTGTGGGGGGTGGTGGCCAGAAGGAGGCAGGAGGGGCAGTATCTGTGCCTCTGGTACTGTTCTCTATCCTACTGTGGGTTTAACAAAACCGATCATTTTGAGCACTTTTAGGTGTGTAACTGAGTGGCATAAGTATATTCACACTGTGTGCAAACATCCACCTCTAGAACTTTCTTCGTGGTCCCAAAATGAGACTTTGTGTGTATGCACCACTAACCCATCTGCTCCCGCCTGCCCAGCCCCTGGCAACCACCATCTCCTGTTTTTTTTTTTTTAAGATTTTATTTATTAATCTTTAGAGGGGAAGAGAGGGAGAAAGGGAGAGAAACATCAATGTGTGGTTGCCTCTCATGTGTCCCCTGCTGGGAACTGGCCCGCAACCCAGGCATGTGCCCGGACTGGGAATGGAACCGAGATACTCTGGTTCGCAGGCCCGTGCTCAATCCACTGAGCTACGCCAGCCAGGGCACCATGCTCCTGTTTATCACTGTGAATGTAACTGGTAACGTTCTTTCTTTATCTGGAGGTTAAACATGGAGTTGGACATTTAATGATATGTCTACTTTTTCTGGTATATGTATTATACTTCAATAAAAAGGTCTAAACAGTGAAAATAACATTGGGCCAGGAATTAGAAAACCTGAGTTCTGTAGTTCAAGCCTGTGGACCTTTTGGGAAGTTTCTAAATCTTTAGTATTTATGTTGGTAATAAAAAACCCCAGTATCTTATCTCTAGGTGAGTAGATATAACCTTGTGCTCTATTTGGGAAGAAAGGGGGAGGGAAGTCTCGTTTAAACAGTGATGGTGAACAGCCCTGGCTGGTGTGCTCAGTGGACTGCGCACCCGCCTGCGAACCAGAGGGTCGCTGGTAGCAGGCCGACTGACGTATCTCACACAATGATGTTTCTCCCTCCCTTTCCCCGCTCTCTGTAAGTAAATAAATAAAATCTTTAAAAAAAATAAAATAAGACAGCAATGGTAAACAAGGAACAGGGATTCATTATGATGCAGAATGGAAATGCTGAGCCTTCCAGCCACACCAAGGCCAGGAAAGCCTGGTACCATGGCCGGAGTCCCTCAGGCCTGACCTGGAGGTGGGGTCAGGGGGCAGAGGCCGCCTCCTCAGGCCGGAGCCCTCATCAGACTCTTCAATGTTCCCCAGAAACTGTCAACCACCCCAACTGCCGCACTGCACACGGATGTCCCCTCGCTCAAGTTCACGCGCTGCCACACAGTTTCACCTCAGGCCTCCTACTGCCGTTTTAATAAAAAGCTCAACCACAAGAAATAAACCCACGGAGGCCTGCCTACAGACAGTTCTTCCACACTTCTCAGTATCTAACTTCATGGACTGGTTGCTTCTCCTATGCGTCTGGACCAGGGACTGAACTGCAACCAGCGACCTTTCACTTTGTAGGATGACACCCGACCAACTCAGCCACACGGGTCAGGGCCACTGGGGCCCGATGTCCAAGTCACAAAAAGACAAGAATGTGGAGATAAACGGCAGTGATGGCCGCACAACAACGTGAATTTAAGTTAACTTCAGTGGGATCTTTATGAGTATTTTAAACACTGTAATATTACCTCAAAGCATTTGAGACATCAAATACCCTTTCCGGCTTTCTGAGGTAAGGGTGAGTTTTAACGACATTTGCAGGGAAGAAGTAGAAATTAAGAAAGAGAAGTTCAACTTGCCCAAGGGGTTTTAACGGCAAGCCTCCCGCCACCACGCCGTTACCAGAAACACCGAACGGAATGTGTAAGAAACTTCAGAGCCTGAAAGATGATGGAAAGTTGCTCTGACTCACAAGTCTTTTCAGACTTTTGAGACCAAGACCAAAGAAATTTTATCCCACTTTCCTCATAGTATTTTAGGTATTCCTTGGAAAAGCAGACAACTGTACATAAAACAATCTGGGGAATTAAAGTAAAAAGGCACAAACTTTGCAACAAAAAGGTTCAACGTTAAAAATGTCATCTTTTTTTTTTTAATTCATTTATCTTTAGATGGAAAGGGAAAGAGAGAGGAAGAGAAATATCAATGTGTGGTTGCCTCTCGTGGGTCCCCCACTGGGGACTGGCCTGCAACCCAGGCCTGTGCCCTGACTGGGAATCGAACCGTGGTCCCTTAGTTCACAGGTCCGCGCTCAATCCACTGAGCTACACCAGCCAGGTCAAAAATGTCATATTTTTAATCATTCTTGGCCAACTTACAAAAATATATGTAGGCAGAAAGTCTAACTTTAGAAACTATAACATCTTTATTTTTAAATAGTATTTTAGAAAATGTGACACTTTAGAAAATAGTATCCTTTTTGGAAAAGAAACACTAATTGGAACTTTAATAATTCCCCTTAGCTTTTTTTTTAAGTTTCCGACTTCAATACTGTGCTGGCCTTATTCCCCCTCCTTCCCACTCACTCCACCACCAGCCATCCAGCGCTCCGACTGCACAAAGGTGTTGGAATGACGTCTGCACTCAGTGCTAATGCAGATTATTTTACATAGTCTGCAGTACAGTGTGGGGTGACTTGCTTCCTTCTTTGTATGCACTGCTTCTGATTTTGGCAGAAACAGTGAGGTCAGTTCTGTACGGCCACCTTACAAGCTGGCACATGAGCAACACGGGGGACCGAAGTCAGCAGGGTGTAAACTGTTTTGCTCTGGGTATTTGTGATGAGCCTCTATTTACTTTTCACCACTAAATGTTTCCATTGCATTTCAAACATGTCCAAGGACAAATCCTCTAAAGGAACAAAGATCTATAAGAAGAGAAAATGGGATCAGAGGGATGGCTCCAAAGTATCAGTTGAGCATTTAACTCTAAATATCTCTTTCATGTTACGTAAATAAAAAAGGATAAAAAGTCTCTCTTCAGTTGTCAAAAATAGTTCATCTCCTCTGGGAGACAGAGGCTGGGCAAATATTTAAACTCACCACAGAAAGGAAGGTAGTGAGGCATCTTAAATCACTACCTGCCTGTACTGGAAACGAGAGTTAAACAAACACACACCGCCCCCCGCACGCACCTTCGTGATCGTTTTCAGGATGGCCAGGCGATCTGCTGGGGGCGGCAAACCCACGAAAAGGGTTTTATCCAGGCGGCCTGGGCGCAGGATCGCAGGGTCAATGATATCTGGAGAAGGAGGGAGAAAAGAGTCTAAAATAAAATTTAAAAACCTTTAAAAAATAATTAACACGAGATATGAGAAGAGTATTCTTTTTTAAAAGAAAAAAAATTGATTAGACTTCATTCAAATGAAAAGCTCCTCAATAAAACAGGTTCTTAAGAGGAGAAAAGCCCACCCCGCCTTCCTGCCCCTAACCTGCTGTCCTCCAGGATTCTCTGTCTCAGACAATGACCCCTGCCTGCCCCCCCCCATACCAGGCAGGTTTCCCCAGTTTCTCTGGCCAGAACACATCCTCTCCAGTCTGCCTCCCATTACCTCACCCCTCGGTCAAGGCCAAATGTAACGTCTGCCTCCCCAGCCTAAACTTCCCCTTAAAATGCTGCCCCGGCTACTTCCTAAAACACACATCCCATTCCCGCAGCTCCTGCCCCTCCCACAGAACAACGCCCGGCCTGGTCCCACCAGCCTGCCTGAGTTGTCTGATTCTCCAGGGCTGGAAGTCTCCCACATTCTGGTCTCCGGAAACCTCTGCTCTTAGAAACTACTGAGGACCATTTGTAACCTTCACCTTGCCCTTCCCGACCCTCTTTATCCCTAGGCAGCCACCAGTCTGTCCTGTCACTACAGACTGGTTTGCCTTCTCTGGAACGTTGTGTAGGTGGTATCACATAGTATGTACTCTGTCTACTTTCTTTTACTCAGCGTAATTATTCTGAGATTCACCTAAGTTGTTGTGTGTGTTCCTGCTTAATTCATTTTATTGCTGAGTAGTATTCCACTATATAGATATGCCCCTGTTTGTTTTCCAGCTCGTCTCTTTTTAAAAAATGTTTATGTTTGCTTATTTACTTACTTATTGACAGAGGGGAATGGAGGGAGACAGAAAGGGAGAGAAACATCGATAGGTTTCCTCACATGCTTCCAACTAGGGACCTGGCCTGCAACCCAGGCATGTGCCCTGACCGGGAATCGAACTGGCCACCTTTCAGTTCACAAGACACCACACCAGCTAGGAGTCCACTCTTCTGTTGATAAACATTTGGCTTGTGTGCACTTTTGGACTCATACAATTAAAGCTGCTGTGAATAACGGTGAGCTAGTCTTTGTACAGGCATCCACTTCTCGGTAAATAGAGTGCGGGATGCACAGTGGTATGGCTGTATCACACTGCAGGCGTGTGCTTTACTTGTAAAACTGGCAAACTATTTTCAAAAGTAGTTGTACTATTCTACTTTCTCATTACCAGTGCATGAGAGTTCAAGTTCTTCCATGACCTTAATAATAATTGGTATGGTTAGTCTTTTCAATTTTAGTCATTCTAAGGTCTGTAGTAATCTCTTTGTGGCTTTATTTTTTATTTTTCAATTACAGTGGCCATTCAGTATTACTCTCTAGCAGTTTCAGGTGTACAGCATAGTGGTTAGACAATCACGCACTTTACCAAGCGTTTCCCCCAACATTTCCAGTGCCCACTTAGAACCGCGCAAAGTTGTTACAACACTACTGACTATATTCCCTGTGCTGTATTTTGCATCCCTGCGACTATTTTGTGACGGCCAATTTGCACCTCTTAATCCCTTCACCTTTCTTACCCCCAAACCCCCTACCCCCACCCAGGCAACCATCAGCCACAACTGCATGGCTTATCCTGGGATCCGGGGGGCACTTTGATGGCTACGCTCCGTGTGCTAGGACCTGGGTTGGAAACGCCTAGGTCTTTCATCCGCGTCCTGAAACTGGCTGTAATTGAAAAGACCTCGCGTGCTGCCTGTCTAGAACGCACTTGTATTCATCTGCTTTCTGCCCTTTAAAAGATCATCAACACCGGAAGGGGAGTGTGCAAGCGATGGATGGTGACAGAGGCTGGCTCACATCTGACACGGCCGCGGACTCACCGGCATCTTCATGGCGACACAGGTGGGACTGAGATCTGATCGTTCCCATCTCCTCCCCACACAGGGCCTGCCACTGTCCTTCCCATCCTGGTCGAAGCCAACTCTTTCTTCCAGTTTTTCAGGCCTAACACCTGGAGTCAAGCTTGATTCCACCCTCCCACGTCCACGTCCAACCCATTAGCAAATCCTGTCAACTCGATGACACATGTGTCCAGACTCTTTCTACATCCCCAGGCATCACTGCCTGGTACAACCAAACTGGTTCCCTGCCCAATGGTGTCAGCAACAGAACCTCAGGTCAGAGACCTGGCTGGTGAGCTCAATGCACTGAGCACCGGCCTGTGATCCAAACGGTTGCTGGTTCGATTCCCAGTCACGGCACATGCCTGGGTTGCAGGTCAGGTCCCCAGACAATGGTGTGCGAAAGGCAACTGATCGATGTACCTCTGGCACATCGATGTTTCTCTCCCTCTCTCTTTCTCTCCCCCTTCCTCTAAGAATAAAATATATTAAAAAAAAAAAGATTTTCAGGCCAGAGGCAAGATATCAATTCTTACAGTTACAGTTTAAGTCACCAACAATCCCAAAGCTTCCAAGGCAAAATGCGCTCACTCACCAATGAGATGGAGAGAAACACCGGTCACTTCTGCTGACCCGGAAACAGTCTGGGTGCCCCCGAACCAGTGAATAAAGGACACGTGGTACACCCAGTGTGAAACATTTTTCACCGATAAAAGGAATGCAGCAGCGATACACTCCGAAACACGGATGAACCGTGAAAACATGCCTTAAAGTGGAAGAATCCAGACCCAACAGCCCACGTGCTGTGGCTCTGTTTACAGAAAACGCCAGAAGAGGGACACGACAGCGACAGAGGGCGGACTGGTGGTCGCCGAGCGGCGGCAGGATGGGGAGGGGCTGGCAGCAGCCAGGAGCTCCGTGTGGGGTGACGGGCGTGCGCTGAGATCAGACTGTTGGGGTGGCTGCACGACTCTCTTAACAACACACTCGAAACCGCCGTATACTTGCAACGGGTAAAATTTATGGCACGCTGCTCGTCACCAAAGCTGTTTTTTTTAAAAGCTGGATCTTCAGGCTAACCAAACTCTCAGCGTGTCCAGTGGAAACACTACAGCACCAGACGACCTTCCTGAGACAGAAGCAGGCCTCCCCGTGACTCACTGAACAAATAGTTACTGAGTTCTCTTTGGTACCAGGGCGCCTATAAAGCAGCAGAGCTGGTGCCAGGAAAGGCAGTGTTTTGAAGGAGAGAATGTAAGTACAACTTAGTGACATTGAAGGGCCTATTATTTCCTAATCTACAGAGATCAAACGAAAAGTTTTTACATTAAATAAACACAACCAATGATAAGTACAGGCAAAGACAGAAGAGGTTATTCTAGAGAGTAGACCAAAGACCGTCTTCTCTAAATCTTAGAAAAGCTGCGTTATCTATTTCAGAAATCTGTCCAAAATCCTAGACTTCAAGGTTTCTTCCGGGGAGACTGATTTTCATGAGCGAACGACCGCTCCTGGTGTTACTGCTGCAACCGCGTGTGACGGTAATAATTACTGAAAAGCTACTCGCCACGCACCGTGGTAGACTGCCAACATCACTGAGCCTTTGTGACAGTCCTGCCAACTAGGTATTATTATCTTCATTTTATACATGAAGAAATAATGGCTAGCAAGATGAAGTAATGTATGTACAAATCAATGTGGCCCACCACAAAACACATTTGGTCTCTGGGCCCCTGGTTCCTGGCCTAGTGCTTCAAACATCCTTGAAACGTCCGGAGTGCCAGGAGTCCTTGTTACGCTAATGAGGTGACTCTGGACCAGCCCCAGGTAGCCTCTGCACGGGACTGTTACCAGAAAGACCGATCCTGGGACTAGAGGACTGGCACTTGGACCCAGACCTCGGGGAGGAGCGGGGAAGCTGAAGATTTGCGTTCAGTCACAGGGACAATGCTTCAATCAATCACGGCTGCGTAATAAACCCCTATAACCACACTGGACATCCAGGGTCCAGGGAGCTGCCTGGCCGAAGAACACGGCGATGTACGGGGAGGGTGTGTGTGTGAGTGCCGTGCCCCGGCCCCATGGAGAGGCCACTGAAACTCCGCACTCCCCCGAAGATCCACCTCTACAAGTATTTACAAACTGTAACTGTAACATAATGTCTTCCCGAGTTCTGTTCATTGTTCTAGAGAATCACCGAACCTCAGGGCGTCATGGGAATCCCCGGACTGTAGCAGGCTGGGTGGAGGTGAGTGTCCTGGAGATACTGCTGTGGCTGGCACCAGAGGCGGGGAGGTCTGGGAGGGGACTGACTCCCTGACTCACAGGAGCAAACACTGAGCCCAGGTGCTTGGAGCCAGAGCTGAACAGAGTCTCTTGGCTGGTGTCAGACCAGTTACTCAGATACGAACTGCTGGAGCCGGGAATCAAGACTTGTTCTGTCTGATTCCAAAGAGGGCACTTCTTTATTACCAGAGTCAAAGTATAAACAATAATAACTCACCATTTTTTATTTTACAATAAAATGGCATCTAATTCATGAAGGTTTTAGTTTCCATAGTAACTTACATAAAAAGAAAAATTGTATCAGCTTGACAGATGAGAAGTCCATGCAAGGAACTAAATCACCATATCACAGCTATCACAGCACAGACATCAGTCAGTGTAGGAGCAGCTACGGCACCGCGGCTCATGCAAATGGCCAGGTACTGAGTAATACAGAGAGAATTCAGGACCCGGAGTAAAAGCCACTGCCAGCACTTCTGAAGCTTGGAACCTTTTTCTAAAACCTTCTCTGAGTGCTTGTAAACTATGTTAAACAGTAGTTGAACCCAAGTCTAGGGACAGGGTTCCAGTACCAAACCGTAAAAACCTATCTCTAGGCTGGTGTGGCTCAGTTGATTGAGCGCTGGCCTGTGAACCAAAGGTCACTGCTCAATTCCCAGCCAGGGCACATGCCTGGGTTGCAGGCCAGGTCCTCAGTGGGGGGCATGCAAGAGGCAGCCACACACTGATGTTTCTCTCCCTCTCTTTCTCCTTCCCTTCCCTTCTCTCTAAAAGTAAATAAAATCTTAAAAAAAAAAAACCTATCTCCAACCTTTCAGGTACAATGAAGAGTCCCACCACTGTTTCCTACAAGCTTGAGAGAAACCATGTGACAGAAATTCTGATTAGTACATTTGTGGTCTAATGCGAATGTTACATGTATTCTTTGCTAACAAGAGAACTTTCTGTGCAGAAAAACAAGTAACTCATGGAATCCAGGCAATAATACCATGTTTCTACAATAGCTCACACAAAAGCTTTCTAAGGTTTTGCTTCAACTTATGAATCTGAAAGGGATTTCCCCAGCTTAATCCTCCTCCACTACCAGGACGTGTGCAAATGTTACAGTGCTCGAGTGCTGACGGCTTTTAGACGCATCCGTTCCATGCTCTTCCGACTTACCTGGCCGGTTAGTGGCTGCCAGAATAAAGACCTGCTGCCGTGTTTCCAGACCATCCATCTCTGTGAGCAGCTGATTCACCACCCGGACACTTGCCCCGGTCTAAAAAGAAGTTAAACGTAGCACCATCAGCCCCCAATAAAAGAAAAATTTGTCCCCATTTTTTTTTTTGGCCATACAAAATAATACACTTGTTAATTTGAGTGAAGGCTTTTGTCCAAAGAGAGAACAATGACCATTTCCTGACTGGTCATCACTGAACAAACTCGTTCTCATTCCTGTGTCCCCAGCGATCCCATCACTGTAGCCGCAGTTTCAACAGCAAATGCAGGCTGAGAGAAGCTGCTGAGTGACTGGTCTGTGGTCTCACAGCTGCACGACTGTGCAGGTGAAACGCAAACGCAGATCTATCTGGTCCCCAAGTTTAAAGACGTAACAGCCACAATGAATTTCCCTTTTGGTAAATCTAGACTCAACTCCTGAACGCCAGACCAGGCTCCCCCATATAGCAGCAGCCCTTTCATCCGGTTCCCTGAGTCTCTTTCTCTTTTCCTGAAAGCGGGCAGTACAAGTACAGCCAGCCCAGAACAACATCTGAGAGAGAAATTCAGGGGGTTGGTGAATGGAGGGACAAGCCACTTAGCTATGGAAGTTTGTACAATGTACAGTGGAGAAAATGAGAAAAGTGGTGCTGTGCTTCTTTTTGCCATTAATTGTCTTTCTTTAACATGAATTTTATGGACAGAGGTGGTAATGAGTTTAACCCACTGATTTTTCAAAAAAAAAAAAGATGCAGCTTATTCTCACTCCTTGGGGCAACAACACCAACAGTTAGGAGATTAATAGAATTATAATCTAGACACAAAAAATATGGAATTACTGGGTAAAAATAAAGATGTAATATCCTACCCAAGTAAGACAAAAACCTCAGAATCAATACAGGAAAAGGCAGATAAATATTACTATACTGAAATTGTAATACTGTATATAATAAAATTAAAAATAAATAGTAAGACTGGGGAAAGCAGTACTAACATGCATTAATTGGGTAGTGAACTAATTTCTAGCACATAAAAAGCTCCTAAAGAACATTTCAGGAGACTTCCGCCAAGATGGAGGTGTAGGTGGGAGCACTGTGCCTTCTCATACAACCAAGTTTAAAAACAACAAAGTTTTAGCAACAAAAATGCAGCCAAACCACAGAAAATTGAACTACACAGAAGTCTGACAACCCTTCAGCCAAACCGGTAAGAGGGGCAGAGCCAGCAGCAGAGTGGGGTCGGGCAGAAAGATCCACAGGACTGACCAGGGCGCACAACCCAGGTGTGCCAACAGCCGTGGGCAGATCCCAGGTGTGGAGAAGGGGGCAGACCCACTGAGGGCGCAAGGTGGTGGACTCACTGAGGGCAGACCGTGGTCACACATTCGCGCGCAGATAAACCAGTGAAGGAACTAGTGGTGGTGAGACGGACCGCGCAGGCCCCAGCAGCGGGAAGTGGCAGAGGAAACTGCCATTGTCCCTCTCTGACCCCGCCCCCACATAGAGTGTCACAAACCAGTGACCTGGGTGGCCCTGCCCTGGTGAACAACTAAGGCTCCGCTCCTCATACGTAACAGGTGCGAACAGATCAAAACATGGCTCAAGAACAACTCAGAGCCCCAGAGCCAATACATCTAAGTGTTGAAGAAATAGCCAAACTTTCAGATGCACAGTTCAAAACACTGGTGATCAGGCTGCTCACAGAACTGGTTGATTTTAGTCACAAATTAGAGGAACATATGGAAGCTAAACTAATTGAAAGGAAGGGAAAGGCACAGGAAACCAATAGCAATGGAAAGGAAACTGGGACTCAGATCAAGGGAGTGGACCAGAAGGAAGAAAAAATGACCAAACAGAAAAGGATGAAGAAACAAGAATTCAAAAAAAGGAGGAGAGACTTAGGAACCTTCAGGACATCTTTAAACATTCCAACATCCGAATTACAGTGGTACCAGAAGGGGAGGAGGAAGAGCAACAAGTGGAAAACTTATTTGAACAAGTAATAAAGGAGAACTTCCCCAATCTGACAAAGGAAATAGACTTCCGGGAAATCCAGCAAGCTCAGAGAGTACCAAAGAAGTTGGACCCAAGAAGGAACACACCAAGGCACACCATAATTACATTACCCAAGATTAAAATGAAAGAGAAAACTCTAGAAGCAGCAAGAGATAAGGGGACTGTCACCTACAAAGGAGTTCCCATCAGACTGTCAGCTGATTTCTCAAAAGAGACCTTACAGGCAAGAAGGGGCTGGAAAGAAGTATTCCAAGTCATGAAATCCAAAGACCTACATCCAAGATTGCTCTATCTAGCAAAGCTTTCATTTAGAATGGAAGGACAGATAAAGTGCTTCTCAGATAAGATCAAATTCAAGGAGTTCATCATCACCAAGCCCTTATTATATGAAATGTTAAAGGGACTTATCTAAGAAAAAGAAGATAAAAAAAGATGAACAGTGAAAGGACAGCAAACTCACAGTTATTAAGAACCACACCTAAAACAAAAGCAAACTAAGAGGACAGCTAGATCAGGAGCAGAACCATAGAAATGAAGATCACATGGAGGGTTAGCAACAGGGGAGTGGGAGAAGGAGAAGGGGGGGAGAAGGTACAGAAAATAAGTAGCATAGATGATAGGTAGAAAATAGATAGGGGGGAGGGCAAGAATAGTATAGGAAATATAGAATCTAAAGAACTTGAGACACATGGTCATAAACTAAGGGGGGGAATGGTGGGGGAGGGGTGTTCAGGGTGGAGGGGAATGAAGGGGGGAATAGTAACAACTGTAATAATTAATAAAATATATTTTAAAAAGTAATGTATAAAAAAAGAACATTTCAATAGCAAAAGGATCAAAATATACAGGATCAGGCAATTTATAAAAAACGAAATACAAAATCACTGAAGACAATCAACCTTGCTTGTCAATCAGAGACAAGAATACTAAAATTTAATACCATGTTTTGCCAATATAATTGACAAAAATGAAAAGATAGGTAATATCCATTGTTGACAAAAATGCAGAAAATGGTTATGCTTACACACTGTTCGTTGCGGGTATGCAATAGTACTTTCTTTGAGGGATGACTGACATTAGCTTTCAGAACACAGTATGCACACGCCTCCTGATGCAAAGTCCTACCTTTAGCACTCTCACATGCCCCCGTGAGTGCACCCAACCATGTAGTAAGATTTACTACAGTTCTGTTTGTAAGAGAAATAACTGGGAACAACGTAAACGTCCAACACAGGGGAATCATCAAATAAATTATTCTATAACCAGAATGTGGAATATTTATGCGAGTTTAAAAAATAAAGTTATTAAGTGCATGGAAAAATCATCAAGATAGAATAACCACATTCATATATAAAGTCAAAAAAAGTATGTTTTTAAGTTTATTTAAAAAGTTCTAGAATGATAAATACTAAACACTAAACTTTCAGCAGAAGTAACCCCTCCAAGAAAAAGCATAGGGAAGAGAAAATGGGAAGAAGACGTTCACTTTCCTTACTTGTGTTTACTTGAATTTTCACCAGTACACATTCATATACAACTTGTATAGTGAAAAAAGAACACAGATTTCCAGTACTTTTAGAATTCCCCGGGTGACAAGGCTAGCAGGCGAACCCCAGTGTTAGAGTGTGAACACGTGCCGGTGGACAACCCGGCGAGACACAGCCTGAGTGAGCGCGGTTGTCTGCGTGGCCGCAGACTCCTCTGGGGCAGGGAGGTGACTGGCTGTAAGCACGCGCCCTCCACACTGAAACCACTAGTTGGTAACGGAGCTGCAAACACACAGAAGGGGCTGTCAACAAAGAAGGGTTTGTTTGTGGCGAAGGAGTAAAACCCAGAGCACAACACGCCCCAGTTGGCCAGAGAACAAGCGGAGTGTCATGCTCTAGAGTGCACACCAAGTCCTGGGGTGTGACCCAGGGGCAGGGGCAGTGACATCACTCTCAGACGAGACTGTGATCAGGATATTCTATGAGGATATTGATAAACTGATGACTGCTGCATGAGGGAACAAAATTGCTATGATGTGAATCACACTTATGGTAGTCGAGTTTTGTTTTTGCAACTTTTGAATGTCTCTGAAGATTCTAAGCAAAACGAAGCACTGAATAAATTTTACCTACCTAACAGCATACAAACAGAATAATTATTTGAAAATAAATCACAAAAGAAATATAACTGCTTCCTTAGTCATCTTGCTCAACAGTCTTTGCTATCTGCTTCAGAAAGGTTATATAATCTCTAGGTGACACTTTGCTCTGCTTCCAACTCTTACACAGAAGTGCTCCTGATAACAGCTGTTCCTGGCACTCTCTATGCTGGAACTTCTAGGAACCGTGACTCAGTGTCGTAATGGAAGCTGACCGATTTTATTCCTTCCCCAGAGGGTGACGGTGCTGAGTCAGAGCCTACCACCCAACCCTACGGTGAGTGCAGGTCTTAAATCGCATTTTCTCCTGCCCCAGAACTCATTTAACTGATAAGATAACAAGGCCGGCTATTCCAAATCAGTATCGTTTCCAGTCCCGGCTCCTCATTTCTGTGAATCAGATAATGTGCAACCAAACTAATATAACTTAAAAAAAAGACACAAAGGTTAATAAAAGTACAACTGGTATCCCCTGGCCCTAACTTCAAATGACTAAGTTTCTTTAGGTAAAGAGTCTCTAATGTTCTCAAGGAACGACTTTACAAGAACTACTCACACTTCACATAAACTTCCTAAGAACGGTGCTTAAAAAAATCTGTAAATCACGAATTTAGGATACCAACCTCTCGGTCTGATCTTCGAGGGCATAAGGCATCCACTTCATCAAAGAAGATCACACAGGGCGCTGAGTTCTTGGCTCGCTGAAAAACCTGCCGCACAGCGCGCTCACTCTCCCCGACGTACTAGGCACACACACAGGAAATAAAACGGAGTCAGTTCAACTTCGGGGTCTGTGCCAAATTACAGTAAAGCTAGTTTTAAGTGACATTTACATGTCAGACTCCGAAAAGTAGTGGGTTGAAGCACATGCAATTGCTGGTATTTATTTGCCCATTTTGACCTATAGAAATAGCCATTTGTATGCGGTTCAACTTAATAAAATTAGCTATTAATTACGCTTACAAAATTTCTCATTTATAAAATGAAGACTAAATGCAATGTAAAGTCTTCTCTAGGTAAAGAAACCCTCACTATTCTATTCTATTTTAGAAGTGATCTTCTAAGCTCTGTGTCTATAAAATACTCAGCAACAATCTGCACTGATTCAACAGTATTTTAAGTGAAGGCAAGACACTCTGCTGCTCCACTGTCCTTTCTACTCGTCCTCTTGTGAAGGAGGAGCCCTGCCATCACGGGCGCCACGCGGGGCACACGGAACCAGCTGCGGTCCGACGGCTCCCCCATGTACAGTGCGCGCGCACACAGCTATTCAGACCACAGAACGTCACCGTCTGTCAGGGAACACAGCAAGTCACTAGCAGCTCTAACTAACATCAGCTCTAGTTAAAATAAAAAGTGATATGTAAGAATATGGTTTCAATTCTACGTAGGCATTAGAATTTGTTCTTGTAAAATCTCAAACTCTTTAACTAAGAGAAGTAGTTCTGCTGTACGAAACTGCTAAGTGAAACAGAATCTGAAAGCATCTTTCCACTGACACTGGTGTCGTAAGCTGTCTTTGATGCTATTTTATGACTATATGGTCACAATAAAGTAATAAAGGAGTAGACTGCATCACCGACGACAGTGACTCAAGTATTTTTGTTTCCTCGTTTGAACGAACTGTCTTTCCCTCACCTGTATCCTCCTTTGCTTTGTATTTTTGTTTATTCTGCTTCCCTTACTTGAACTGCTTTCCCAATCTACCTCCAAACAGTTCGTGCATTGGAAAAGATCCCCATTAATCATTCTTCCCATTACTCTCTCCTTTGCTCTTACAGCACTTTCTGCTGCTACAACTATTTTTAAAAAAGATTTTATTCATTTACCTTTACAGGGGAAGGGAAGGAGAGAGGGAGAAAACCATCAATGTGTGGTTGCCTCTCATGTGTCCCCTACTAGGGACCTGGCCTGCAACCCAGGGATGTGCCCTGACTGGGAACTGAATGGCAACCCTTGCTTCACAGGCCCGTGCTCAGTCCACTGAGCTACACCAGCCAGGGCTCTTCCTTTATTTTCTATCTCAGAATTCTAAGCACACAACAGAAGACATAATAGCATACTGAACTCCAAATATACCCATCACCCAGCCTTAGCTGTATCCGCTCAGTTCTTGACTATCGCTGCTTGCTCTCTACCCACTTTCCTTCTCTTTATTTTAAAGGAAACCCAGACACTGTATTTCATTTGTAAATATTTCACTATTTCGAGTGTAGAAGAGTGCACAGCTCTAATGAACACCCAATTCAGAACTCTGGTAAATTCCAGGGGGAGAGTGGGAACTGTGGTTAGGAAAGGTTTGCAGGGGGCTTCAAGTATACGGGTTGGGTCTGCCTTTTAAAGCTGGGTGACAGATACATGGGGGTTCACTGTATTACCCATCACAACGTCTATGCTAGAAATACTTCCTAATAGAAATTTGTAAACATTACACTCTTAAAAAAAAGTTACCCTCCTGCCTGAAGCAAGCCTCTATTAGGTGTCTGATGTTCTCCTGAGAACCTCCCAACTCTAGCCTGGTGCGAAGGCCTGGCACCACCCGGCTACGGGCTTCTTTCCAGCCTTGCCCCCACCAATCCCCTCCCTTCCAAGGCTCATTTCCATTGCCACCTCCAGCTGAAAGCCAAAATAAAGTGCAAGAAAAGCAGAGAGGTGCATGAAAAGCCCACAGGAAAAACTTAAGTATAAATCCCTTATTTTAGAAAGAAGTACATGAAAGAAAATAAAAAAAGAAGGGGAGATAACTTAAAAACCTCTTTAAAACAAATGATACCACCCTTATTTCATCTTTGTTTAAATACATCACAAAATGGCATTTTTACTTTTTAGAAGGATGGACACGAAGTAAGAAATTCAGTCTCTTAGGTTTGAGATAAAAATTGCTTAAACGCTGAAAGAAGTTCTTCCATAGCACTTCGGTGATATTCTCCTTTATTAATAACAACGGATCTGAGTCGCACAACTACGAGCACGGAAAGCAGCTCCGAGAGGCGGACAACGACTCAAGTCTCAGCTGCACCGCCTCCTGCCGCAGACTGGACCCAGTCACGTAAACCCTGCACACTAGTTTTCTCATCTGAGAATCAGAGGAAACAGTAATTCGTATCTCACAGGGCTGTTGCAGAATAATGAAGTGAGGTGCCCGACAAGTACACGGTACAGAGTAAGCGTTTAAAATGTTGATGATGACGATGACTTCCATTTTGCAGGTGAGAAAATTGAGGCTCGGAAGTGACCAGACTTAATTAAGGAAGTATATACACTAAGTACATTTGAATAAGGCTCCATTTCTTTACTCCTACAGAGGTAATTTTACCAAAATCTGACAACTGTTTCAAAGATCTGATGACATGCTGTCTTGTCATTTGAATGACCATTGCCTTCCTTGTCTAAGCAGCAGCTGACGTCAGCACAACTCACCATATTTAGTAGTTCCGGGCCCTTGACAGATATGAAGTTTAGTCCAGACTCATTTGCAACAGCCTAGTAAGAGGAAACAAGGAGATACAAATAAGACAATATACAGTAAAATGATAACAACAACATGTGATAACACAGGGACTTCTCGTGGCTTCTGCTCTATTTCCCCACTTTTATAGAGCCCCTTCCCCATTAGGAGAGGAGGCACATGGCAAAGCAGAAATGGATAAAAAGGGAATGTTACCCTGAAACACTCTAAGAATTACTAGGACTGGAGATCAGGTGAAAGTGACACAAAACGTTTATGTGAGCGTTGCACATGGGTAGCCCTAGCTTGGAATTCTAGTGAGAGGTCATTATCCTCGGGACGAGACACGCCTCACCCAATGAGAGCAACCATTCGTTCACTTACAAACCTGAACTTAAGTACATCAGTTGAAGTCTTTACCAAGGGTCAGTATCAACAGGCTATTTTTTAAAAAATATTTTATTTCCTTTTTTGTATTTTTAGACAGAGGGGAAGGGAAGGAGAAAGAGAGGAAGAGAAACACCAATGTGTGGTTGCCTCTCACATGTCTCCCACTGGGGACCAGGCCCTCAACCCAGGCATGTGCACTGACTGAGAATTGAACCATGACCCTTTGGTTCGCAGCCCATGCTCAATCCACTGAGCTACGCCAGCCAGGGCTCAACAGGCTATTTTTAATAAAGATTAAACTGCAATTAATAATGGCTTAAAACCAGAGAACACATGGCTGTATGTGTAGAAGAATCCAAGGATTACAATCTGAATGCAGAGATGAAGTCTCTGTACAGTGTCTCAGAACTTTGAAATGACCAGGTAACAGAGTTCTTTCCTGTCCTCAGGACCTGACTCCTGAGCTCCAGACCCACAGTTCACATCCTCCTTGGCATCTGCATTTGGACCCTGCAGGTACATTTCAAATCTACCATCTCCAAAGCAGGACTCCTGAAGCTCTCCCAGCGCCCCAGACCCACACCCTGAATTCCTTTCCTGCCCATTTCAATACGTACAGTTTCTAGGCCAAAACCTCGGTGTCTCCCTTGATCCCTTGTCTGGTAATGCCACCCAATCCACATGCAAATCCTATTATTAGCTATTGCTAAAATGTACGTGAGCTGGACTATTTCTCTACCATACCACCACCTCATCCAGATCACCATCCTCTCTCGCTTGGACATGCAAAAGCAAAAATGAACAAACAAACCCCCAGATCCTGAACTGGTCTTCCACCCTTGCTTCCCTCCAACCCACCTGCACAAGGGTCAGAGCACTCTTTAAAAAATGTACATCAGGTTACATCATTTAATTGATTTCTTATTTATCTTCCATTACAATGTGAGATATAATAAGCCTGTATTTGGGACACGACAGTCCTCTCTGGTCCAGCCACTGGCTCTTCCTCTGGTTCTTGAACTCACCAAGCCCTTCCGCACCCCCTTCAGGGATTTTCGCAATTGCCTCTCCCTCTGCCTGAAGACGCACCCCCCCTTCCCTGCCTCTTCATGTGGCTAGCTGCTCCTTCGGGACTCTGAAATACCTCTGAATGCCATACCCACAACAGCCCTCCCCATCAATCTAGCACAACGATCAGGTTATTTCCTTTAGAACTTGGCTGAATCTGTCATTTTACTGCTTCCGTTTACTGCCTGCCTCTTCCAGACAATAAATTCCATTAGTATAAGTTCATTAGTTATCCCAGCACCTGAAACAGCTCTGGCCAAGAGTAGCTCAATAAATCCAGTTGAACAAAGGACTGCGTGCCCACTCTGCCGGGCAAAGGCTGCTCTCAGCATGAGGAGCGCCCCACCTCTCCAGCTCGGTCCTTCCTGCACCAAGTTCCCCAGCTTCCTGCCTCTTGCTCAATACCATTAAGTAGAGAAGAGTCAGGACACGTGTCGAATGAAGCCTGACTCATCCACACTAAAGTTTTCAACATCCAAACACCAGATAACCACGATTTAACCCATTAAAACCACATGGTTCCAGAAATGATGAGAAATCTTCTTTGGCTTCCAAATGAAACACGGCAGATCTTGAACTCCCCGCCAGGTGCTATTTGCTTCTACATATGGCTCCATACTTACTGTACTAGAGTTTGAAAATGTTTTATTATTTCACCGTCATTATGAATAAACAAAACAACCAAGATCAGCCAAAACATTTTTATATCAAGTTCTCAGTTGCCATGTTCTGACTGTTAAGTGGTTCCATGACTTCACTGTAGCAACATTTTGCTTCTGCCACTCAAGAACATTTCCCATTATTTCTAGATTCTTAGGCAAACAGTCATGCAGCTTTTGAAGAATCTGATCAAAGTGGTGAACCCTCCCCTGTAAAAAGTACACATACACGTAACATACTGCCTGGGCTCGTGGATGCAGTGTGAGCTATTCGGTCCATCCCTGGAGTCCTATGTATGATTCCTTGCTTCAGATGGACAGCTACCAGAAATCTGACTGAACGGAGACGCACCAAATTTTTGGCAGCTGGAGAGAAGGTTGCGGGTTGGATTCCTGGTCAGGGCACATGCCTAGGTTGCTGGTTAGAGCCCCAGTCTGGGCACATACGGAGGAAACCAACCAGTGTCTCTCCTTCTCTCTCTCCTCGCCACCCCTTCCTCTCTTGAAACATCAACACACATACACTTGGGTGAGGATTTCTTTTAAAAAGCAAGAAACAAGGCCAGCTACAAACTATAACTTAACATTCGTTAAAAGCTAGAACAAGCAGAAAATATAGTTGCTGTGTTAAAATCGATGGGGTTATAGCTGATTAAAATCTTTTTCATTTCCAAAATTTCAGTGACGTACTTTTTGTCACTAAAATAAAAGTGGGGGGCAAAAGAACTAAATGGACATTTTTCCAACGAGGACATCAAAATGGCCAACAGACATATGGGAAGATGCTCAACATCACTAGTCACCAGGGAAGTGCAAACCCAAACCCGAGTGAGACAGCACCTCACACCTGTCAGAACGGCATCACCACCGAGACGAGGGAGAACAGGTGCTGGCAAGGATGTGGTGAAGCGGGAACACCGCCGGTAAGAACGGAAGCCGAACTGACCAGTGCAGCAAACAATGGAGGTGCCTCAGAAAATGAAAAATACATGTACCTGGCAATCCAGCAATTCCACTTCCAAAAATACACCCAGAGGAAATGGGAAATGAAACTAGGGTTTTGACGAAATGCGTGCACTCCCGTGTCCACTGCTACGTTATTCACAATAACCAACTTATGAAAACAACCCAAACACCCTTCAATAAATAAGTGGGTAAAACGATGTGTTCCACACGCACGATGGAATATGATTCAGTCACAAAAAAGGAGGGTCGTCTTCCACTTGTGCCAATGTGGATGGAGACTAAGGACATTATGCAGAGCAAGGGAAGTCCGACAAAGACAGACCCGGACTACCACCTACATGTGGAACCTAACAAAGTCAAACGTGTAAAAACCAGACAGTAAGATGATGGCTACCGTGGAATGGGTGGGAGGGACAGGGAAAAGTAAGAAAAAAAAGTGGGAAACTTCCCTAAAGAAAACAGCCAACCTCACTAAAATGAACTTCCAATAGAAATTATATGCGAATACCAGTGTAATACTCAGAGTCAAATTCCTGTTACCCCACTGAGAATGAGAAATGAAACGCACACCGCTGAACGCACACCGTACCTTCGCCAGCAGAGTCTTCCCACAGCCCGGAGGGCCGGCAAGGAGCACTCCGGCCGGAGTCACCAGTCCGAGTGCCTGGAACTGCTCTGGGTTACGCACTGGAGCCTGGAAAGCACAATCCGGACAGAGACCTGTTACGAATGGGCTCCTCTGCTGCGCGTTCGAATCATCCCCCCAATACGGATCTTCAGCACGGACCACGAGGCCCCGAGCCAGGAACAGCGCCGGGCACAAGCGCTCACCCCAGGCGTGACGTACATGGTGATGCAGACGGTAAAGGTCTGCTCTTGACTGACCCATAATTACACGTAAGTTCTAAAAACATTTTAAACATAAAGGTCTTTTTAAAAAGTTATCTAAATGTCTAGGTTACAGAAACTGCAGTCAATGCCCCCCTTTAAGAAACCAGAAGCCCACTCTACAAAATCCAAAGCCAGAGATCCCTGTTGGACACACCCGCCCTGTGTCTTCTCGTTTAGCAGTCGCACACGTACGATCACACTTCGTCAACGAACCAAGGCGTGACCAGTCGGGAGGAAAGAGTGAACTGAAATCCCCAGCTATACGGGCATCATTAACTGTTCTGACTGTTACGTGTTTGAGTTCAGAAAGTATTCCTCCAACAGTGTGGTCTTGGTCGAAACCTAAACTTTCATTTTTACTTACTGCCACAGAATTCAAGCCTGACCAAACGAGCAAGTCCAAAGTGGATCCCAGAAGGATGATAACCATTGTTGGGGCTTCATAGTAACACAGCAGAGCATGTACAAGAAAATACACAGTCACGTCAACCAGACACTCAACCCAGCGCACACACAACTGCTGGCCCAAGACACGGGCCAGCGGCATTGAGCTGCAGAGAAACATACCAATATTGCCATGGTGAGCTCATCCCTAATGTCTTCCAGGGCACCAATATCTGCCCATGTCACATTAGGCACAGTGACAAAGCCTTCCCTTTTGGCAGAGGGTTGGACGGAGGACAAAGCAACAATGAAATCATTTAATTCAACGCACAGCCCTTGCAGCTGCTCCTCTGAGAGGGGATCTTGGTTTCTTAGCAACCTCAGCAGACTCTGCAATTCATCCTGCACGGGAGCAATTGAGAGGAAAAAAGAAAAAGCAGAAAGTTTGTCGAAACATGACCTTTTTGTACTTTTAAAAATGATTACTGCAACGTCTGTAAGCTACTGTGAACTTCCATGTATTTTAATAACTTTCTCCACTGACACAGACGTTAATTTTACTCTAAACAGACCACCTGCTTTGGTGGAGGAAAGGCACGACAGTCACGCTCCGACAGAGAGGCAGGCTTTCCGCCCCCCCGCACTGCGCCTGGCTGCAGCGAATGTAAGCAGCACGCACAGCTTCACTCCAACAGCCACACTGTTTCTGTTTTCCCCATTTCCCATTTGTAAATATTTAAGAAGCAGCTGAATTTTGATGGAATTAAAACAAAGTTTCTCTGATGGCAGTAACATTTCATAATATGGTTCCTCAATGGCTCATGAACCAAACAGAGGGCTGGCAACTATCCCGGCCCTACTGAGCCTTGAACTTCCGAGGCAGATTTCTTGCCTTGTGAAGAATATGAAAGGACAGGTACAAAGAGTGACTCTGAATCACTCAATTCATAAAATCCTAATTCACATGCAATACTAAAAAAGGAGTAAGTTTATCATCACTCTTAACAGGTATCAGAGTGGTTCCAAACGAGTAAGAAAAACAAGTAATTTGAAAACCAAAGACCTAGATGTAAGTTCCTGCTCTGGGAAGGGCAGGGGTATGGCTTTGGACCAAGTCCCAACCTCTTAACCTTAGTTTCTTTGATTATAAAATGAAGGAAGTAATGATATTTCCTGGACGAAGTTATATGGATCAAGATATATAATATGCAGACACTCCCTGTGCAAACTATCAGGTGCTGTATAAAAGTTAATTTTGAGTTCTCATGATTTACCCAACTCAAAATTTACCACTGATCTTGGACTGATGACGGTCCCTGTCACATTCACAGGACTGTCCTGCAGAGCCACCTGCAGCTGGGGCCGGGCACCGCAGCATCAGCACCTTCTGGTCCACCTGACCAAACGGTAACCAGGAAACAGCACTGAACACCCAATGGGTGAACAGGACTTGGCAAACCTTGCACAGAGCGCGGGGCCCCACGCCCCTGCTGCGTGACTCCGCCGTGAATTCTGCAGCGAAAGGTGGAAGCGGAAACAGTATGTGAATTAGTGAGCACAGCTGTGCCCCAACACAGCTTTCCCTTCAGAAACAGGTGGCAGGCAGATGGGCCGTGGTTTGCCAGCCCCTGCCTGCTCCAGGATTTCGTAATCAGTACTGTTAATCAAGTTTACTCAGGATAAACCAAAAAACGTAAGAGAACAACTTGTAATTCTGAAATCGCAAACATTCTGGGTGTAAGTGGTAATTGTTCTAAAGATACAATGCCAGTAGAGCAGGAAATCGTAAACCCCAACCACACTGACGCCTGTCTGAATGTGAGACAACAGAACGAAGGACACTCGGGGGCTGTGTAAGGCACCTGTGCAGACGGCGCCTGCGCCGTACACGCGGGCTCCCTTCCTGCGCCTCCGTCCTGGCCGCCCTCCGACAGCCGACCTTCCCGCTCCGGGTCTCCCCCCGGCCCGGCCTGCAGCTGCGCCAAGACCCTGCCGACCGCACACACAGCTGCCTCACGGCACAGCGCCATCAGATCCGCGCCGACGAAGCCTGGCGTTAGGTGCGCCAAGTGCCGGAAATGAGACGTTTCGGGGAATCTTAGTTTTCTGCACAGAGTCTGAAGTATTCTGTGAAAAGACAGGGAAAAATTCAGATTCCTAAACTACAAGTAAACACAAGTCACTGAAGTCCTTTAATTGAAGTCCTTGGTCTCTGTCAGTGGCACTGAAATGGATCCAATGTAAGATCCAATAGCTCATTCATTCAGTAAATGCTAAATCACTATTACACAGTCCACTTTATGCCCCTCAGTATTAAGGTAAATACCTGCTTTGATATGAACTGTGTTGAATGCTATGAGGAATAATAATACAGATTTTTTTAAAAGATTTTATTTATCTTTAGAGAAGAAGGGAAGGAGAGAAAGAGAAACATCAATGTGTGGTTGCCTCTCGTGAGTCCCCTGCTGGGAACTGGCCTGCAACCCAGGCATTGCCCTGACTGGGAATCGAACCACAGTCTTTTGGTTCACAGGCCCACGCTCAATCCACTGAGCTACACCAGCCAGGTATAAAATACAGATTTTTTAAACACTAGCCTGCCTCTAAGAATTTTCCAGTATTACAGAGTAAATAACTGATATATGCAAATTCTTTTAGAGTAGATCAGACATTTACCAGAAATAAAAGCCTCCAAATGCAAATCATTAACTGTATCCATTACAAAAAGTTATGCTGGTATGTACTTCAATATCCAATTTCATATTAGAGCAGTTACTTCTTCAAAAACACTAAAACAGTTACACAGGAGGAGTATTTAAGGTTAGTGTTTTGATGTCTTCAACTATCCTTCAAATGGATTGGCAAAAAAGGCGCAAACACAAATCACAAATACATGTACGTGTTTACGTGGAGAGTGACAGTAAACATGTTAACAAGTGTCAAGTCAGCTGAAGTGCATAAAGCCATTTATTGTATTATTCTTTCAACTTTTCTGTAGGCCGGAATGTTTTTAAGATAGGGTCCTCTACGAAAGCCTGCTGAAGACCTGGTTGGTGACGGCACACAGGACATGTGACAAAGGATCTTGTCTGGCAGGGGGGATGGGCTCGCCCGCACCTGCGTCTCTGCCATGAAGCTCAACAAAGGGCTAAAGAACACGCCTCCCTGCGCTGAAAGCACCTTGAAACCAAGGACTCAGTTCTCTACATTCCTCACATCACCCATCAGAACGGTACACACACGACAGGCCCAACAGGTGTCTGCTGAAAACACGCGAACAACTTCAGTGTCAGATACTATTTCGCTGCAGTTATACACCAGTCAGTATGCAAACCTGAACGTGTGAGTAGCGGTTAAAGACTATCTTCGGGGGAATGGGATTAACAGACGTGAGGACTATGCATGCGGTAGCTGAGGAAGCAATGGTGACACGTGTTCCTCGCCCCCCTCCCACAGCACCTCCGACCACCTGTTCCCCGCACTCATGAAGTTTCCCTTTCTTCACCGCACACTGTCTCCTTTCACTACACACTCTTTTCCTCAAAGCTGCTGCCGATCACGTGCACCAACTTCAGTGCCATTCACTTCGACCCAAAGCCATTATATACATAGTATTTCAAAGCATTTCTTCACTGGGCTTCTACTCCTAAACAGTGCGCCCTGAGATATTTTTAGTTACTGACGTGCTGGTGGTACTTCCTTGCTCTGCTGACACCAACATCAATGACCAGGAAAGGCTGGTTCTCCAGTAAAACCCAGGTTTCAACTCTGCCTGCTGTTTAGTTATTTTTCACAGAACCATGGTCTCAGGCAGGTCAGCGCCACAGGTTCAGGTTTGGGAGCCAGAGTTAACCTCCATGTGAACTGAGCACTGAGCTATTCCACACTCCAGATACTGTCCCTGAGCCGACCAGCCACACTGGAAAATGCAAGCCACTGTCAACAAGACTGGACAGATGAGTAGGGACATATAAGTCCATGATTACTACTGGGAAAACAGTACAAAACAATTACCCTATCAATGAAAAAATTATTTTCTCAAGCACTAATTTAATGTGGCTTTTTTCCTTTCCAAATCAATTTCACTGGCATAAAAAAAAAGAGAGAGAGATGGGGGACAAGAAGCCACACGTTTCTCGCCCCTCGATTTCAAAGCATTCAGCTCAGATGACAGCGAGGCCACAGACGTCACTCTGTAAGTGTACCTTTCCCTGGATGCTTCATCCGGGATGCCAAGGCATATTTCCCGGTCAAACCTTCCCGCGCGTCGCAGAGCAGGGTCTAAGGAGTCTGGCCGGTTCGTAGCCCCGATGACGAGGACCCGAGCTGTAGCAGCCACGCTGTTCAGATCTGGGAGGAACCAGACACAGGATGAGCCGTGGACAGGACTCCGGGCCCTGAGGACAGTACTGCTTGCACGAGTCATTCAGGTGGTTAGAGAGACAATCCCACACACTCTGAAAGCAGTGCTCGTACACATAATTCACATTTCCTGAATAATGAACATGTGCGGAAGACAGTCACAAACTGTCCTCGAGCAGCTCACAACCTGTTGAGAAACACGGAGGTTTCGTGTCACATGACTGTCTGTGCCATCACAGGTGTAAACGGAGCGCCACAGTGACTGCTGGAAGGGGACAGCGGACAGCTGATGGAGCAGCTGACAGGCCAGCCAGGAGGGACAGACGCGAGCACACGCAGAGCTACAGGGAGTGGAGTTCTGCATGGGGGAGGGGCCGGGTGACGGGGCAGGGGGCGCGGTCCGAGAGCAGGGAGTCCGGCGGGACAGAGAGCGTGTCTCCACAGGCTCCCGGCCTCAACCTGAAATCGGGGGGTGTGGAGGGGGTACAGTACAGTCTCCAGTGGCTCTGGCTAAGCCACAGATACATTTTTAGGAACAGACGGACTAGGGGCCCAGTGTGGTTTTCTCAAGAATCCTTCCCCCGAGTCCCACCAGGGTGGACCAGAAAGGAGTGGACGTGCACGCTCCCTCCCAGGGAAGACGATGCCACCGGTCAGAGGCGCTCACAGCAGCCTCAGGGGCAGCTCGGAGGACACTGCCGGGCCAACCGGAAGCCACGAGGTATTTTCTGATAAGATTTTAAGATTTGTGTTGTGAAAAGATAATTCTAATAATCATGTGAACAAAGTAAAGAGGAATAAAAAGGAAAAGGGTTTGTTGGGATTTAATGACAATATTAGGTGAGAGGTGAGTGAAGGCAGGAACACTAATGATGTAGTTTTTTATGAAAGAAAAAAGACTTGTTTTTCATTCTGAGTTTTATATCCTCATACATTACTTACACTACTAAAAACAACAATTACTATGTCCAAGTGAATTCGTCACTTTAAACTCACCGTCCATGCAGGTGAGGAGCTGGGCGACAATTCTTCGTTCCATATCCTTCGAAGCAACTTCTCTTTTGGGGGTAATGGCATCAATTTCATCAATAAAAAGGACGCAGGGTGCATTAGACTAGAAATAAAAATACCACAAAGGACGATCAGAAATCTATTTCCTATACTACAGCACAGTTAACTATGTAGTTTTTTAAATCTTAGAAGTTCAAGGATCATTCACTGAAAACATACCCCTGAAAAAAGCAGTTCACAATGTATTACTTCTGATTTTTATGACTTAACAGAAGACCCTAAGAAGAGATTCCATATGGGGTAACACATCTATAGTCTTCTCAACAATGCATGCTTTGTGATGATAAATCTACCGAAACTCTTTTGTAATAAAGCATATTTGCAATGCTATGAAATACAAAGTATATGTTTTAAACTTTTAATTAGAAAACCTAAGCTCACTACAAAAGTTACGTGTTCCTACCAACATAAAAATATCCAAGCTTTTCCCTAGAATCCGCTGTAAGGAATTTAAAAAGTACCAGAAACTGGAACTTATTTTTCATTGTGGTAAAATATACGTAACACTAACCACTTTAACAATTTTCAGCGCACAATTGAATGGCGTTATGCTGTGCAGCCATGGCCACCATCCATCCCAAGAACGGCCCCCCTCCCCACACCGACACCGCGAGAGGCTTATTCTGAGGATCACCCTGAGTAAGGGAAGACGGTCAAGTCCCCAGACATCATCATCTTCAGTCTTTTAAAAACATAAATGAGACAGAGTTGAGGTAGGATGAGTTAACAGAGAATATGAGCGCCGGCTACCTGGCCTAGTCAGACTCACAGAGGCAGAAAACAGAACGGTCGCTGTCGGGGCGAGAGGCAGGGGACATGGGAGGTCAGTGTCTACTGTGGCCACCCAACAATGTAAGTGTACTCAGTGCCACAGAACCATACACTTTAAAATGTTTAAAATGACAGAGTCAACATATTTACCACAATCAAAACAAGGAAAAAAGATACGGATCAGTTAAGATAAAAACTTTAAATAAATAAAAGTATCTAGAAAGCACGGCTCACTCTTAGTCACCCAGTGACCAGGAGTGACACCGATGATGCCAACAGTCAGACCACGGCCTGGCTCCGACTCCGAACTCCGGGCCCGCTGCAGTCCAGACAGAGATGTGGCCAACCACGAGCTGGCTCTCCTCCCAACCCCCCTCACGACAATGTTCAGAGAAGTACCTACAACTGCTGGGTGTGTGACCCAGTTACAAGAGAAAAGCTTTAGAGACCAAAGGTCCCAGAAAACAAGGACGACAGGATGTATCAACGGCCTGAAAAAGTGAATGAGAAAAAAAGGGAAAGAGTAAGAGTAAGTTCTGTACTGGTTCAGAGAGAACCACAAGACCTAAAGATGTATTCGCCTCCTTTATCTTCACTTGTCGTTGTGTTTACTATAAACACGAACTTTACTGCTTATTTACTGGCTCGGTTTTGAAGGCAGGTAACACCTGAGTTTGGCTTGGCTTTGACAGTTCGGTACCCTTCCCGCCCTTTCTCTGCAGCTTCCTCATACTGTCCACACATCAAACCAAGTAGGCAGCTTCTATATTCCTGCTGTTTTAAAAATATTTCCTGCTAAAATACAATTTCTCTTCTGATTTCATATCAGCTTCTAGCAGTTGCACTAGCCGTTGCCACCAGCCCCCCTATAATCTGGGTACAAACAATGACATCAAATTACACTCTCCCCACTTGTAGTTTTTAACCACTGTAGTGGCTTGTGACACCCAAGTGTCATAATGTTTACAGGTGTTTGCTGTGTGCCGGGCACTACGTAGAAGGTCCTGGAAGAATCCCCTCCTTTAAAACTCAAGCATCCCATGGGATTTGAGTAGTACCATTAACCCAGTTTCCAGCACAGAAACTAAGGGTGAGAGTGGGTAAACCTCTCATCTGAGATGACGGTCAGTGCGTGGTGGTACAAGGGTTGGAGCCTATGCATCAGACCGGAAAGCAGAGATGATTCTCTACGACACTGTACCGAAGACAAAACTTTAATCGGACACAAAGGTCTTCCTCAGAAGTCCTTAAACATTCAAGTTTAATAACATGAATTACAACTCAAAATCCAAGCTGTAGTTTCTCTGATAACAGAATTTTCTTTTCACAGCTTCAATTATGCAAAGGGAGAAGAATTTATCCTGGCATCGCTATGACTGCTTTTATAATGTGATGATTCTAATATTAGAAGTTTTCACACTGCTTGCAAGTGTCTGGGAAACCTAAATTGTGGAAAGTAAGAGAAATTATGACAAGGATAATCTATTTTCAACATACACTACTGGGAGCGAGAAGTTCTTGTATCTGTGTTTGGTGTCAGACTGAACAGATTATTTTACCCAGTGTTCTGTACCACCAAATCTAAAGCCACCATGATGACTTTATATGTTCAGTCATCGTGGGCAGCGAATGACCAGATTTAGGGAAGAAGGGCCAGTGAGTGGTCACAAACACCAGCATCAGAGAAAACACGGTCCTCGCTGTGACCCTGTGCAATGTGAGGACCCGACACGAGTCACTGGCTGACTCACCACAGCTTGTTCAAACAGTCCTCTCAGCTTCTGTTCCGATTCTCCAGATACTCCAGACACAATCTCCGTAGCAGCTACTTTCAGAATTGGAAGGTCAAGTTCCTGTGCACAAATGTATAAAAGAATGACCAAATTTTTAAATTTCAGCTTTCCTTTTTCCTTCTTTAGTCCCTTTCAAAATGACATTTTAGAGATTTTATTTACTTATTTTCAGAAAGAGGGAAAGGGGGGCGAGAGAGAGGGAGAGAAACATCAATGTGTGGTTGCCTCTCACACGCCCCCTACTGGGGACCTGGCCCACAAGTCATGCATGTGCCCTGACTGGGAATCGAACCAGCGACCTTTTGGTTCACAGGTCAGCACTCAATCCACTGAGCCATGTGAACTAGGGCTCAAAATTACATTTTAAAAATGACTAGTTTCCTGAGGAACATCTTTTTGTTGGTCGAGCAAAAACTTTACTTAAAATCTACGGTTTTACTCAAACACATTGACAATCACCTTCCATGTGGTTTTACTACTATAAAATGAAGGCTTCTGAATGAAGGCTCTTGACTCGCAATGGATGTGCCCTCCCCCCCCCCCGAACTGAGCCAAAACAAACTGCCCTGTAGGAAGAACGGCGAGGGGGTGGGGGCTGTGGCACAGCTGTCCCCACATACGCCGCCAGCACCTCTCTACCCCGAACCCAAGGAAGTAGCCAGCTACCAGTGAGAGCAGGCAGCGCTTACGTAAAGGAAGAGACACTACCACTGTCTCTCTCTCTCTCTCTCACACACACACACACACTCGGCGACAAGCTGCCTAAATCCTGCTCACTCTCCTGGCCATCTTGAAATTCCACCTCCGCAACCATATTGTCTCGGACGCGGACTCTTCACTTGAGTGTCCCAACAGTGATCATATGCCCCCCTTCTTCTGTCTCCCACTTACTACAACTGCAACTGCACAGGCATTTATTTGTACAGATGCCTGTTGAGTGTCTGTCTCTCACATTAGACTGAAAAGTCTTTAAAGGCAGAAACTGGGTTTGCGGTACATATCACTGTATTTCTGTCTGGCGTGCAGCAGTCACACAACAGATTTATTTGACAAACGAATACATGAGGCAAGTCCATCAAGTTCTCCTACATAAAGGCTTCTATGTCATGGAGCGCTACTCTATCAGTGAGCAGCAGAGCGCCTGGCTCCTCAAACTGAAATTACTCACACATTTTGTGTTTTATCTCCTAACACAGTTTCTGAAAAATCTGATGGGACTCAAATAAGATCGCTAACTTTTATTTTGCCAAGAAAAGATCTATTTTAGAAACGCTATTTTAACCCTAGAAAGTATAAGACCGTGATCCTAAATGGAAATTTTGAATAAATTTAGCTCTCTAAAAACACAATGCATCCATCTGTAGTGTTCTTATTTCACTGCTCTTCAGAACCACTGGCTTCAAGAGAAAGGGAAGTAGCTCAAATGCAAATGTGAATGTGTTTTTAAAAAAGGGGGTTGTTCGCAGCTACATGATTTTGTCTCCCACCCAATCTTCGCCATGTAAATGACTGGGTACATTTGGAAAAAAGCATCTCATGAACGGCAGCATGAAAGAGGTAAAAAAAAAATGAAGAAGAATCAGTCCTCTTGAGAATATGACAAAGCTGGCTGATCACAGTTGATCGGAGAGAAAAAAACAAATATCGACAAAAATAACAAAAGCAACCAGGTGTCAGCAAACCTCACCCCCGCAATCGCGTGTGCAAGCAGCGTCTTCCCGCAGCCTGGTGGCCCATGAAGGAGAACGCCACGAGGGGGGATGACTCCCAAGTGCTGGTAGACCTCCGGATGACGCATGTGTATGAGCATCTTGCAGACTTCCTAGCAGGGAATAAACAGCAAAGATGTCTTTCCAGCCCAAGAGAGAAAGAACCAACGTTGAATGAAATGTCCTTATTCTTTGGAGCATCAGAGAGAGTACGGGTGTTAGACTTAGACCTGAGCTTGAATTCCGGCTCTGGTGCCCACCGTGTGACTCCGGCAGGAACATCCCTGAGCTCCCAGTTCCTAATGCCTACCTTGCATGCAACTAGCATGGTCACTGGGATAGAACAGACCCTAAAAAAAATGTACTATCCATTATTATTATTACTTTTAAATAATGTCACTTACAAAGCATGTATCTATGCACACTATAATTAAAGTGGAGACAAAGTTGAAGCTATTATGCTTCTTTTATTCCTCAAACCCTGAAGGGTACAGCCTGAAGTTAAGCCTGCCCTTACTCATCACCCCAGTCTCCTTTTCTATACTGGTTCCTATCAGAAACAAGGAGGTAGGCCTGGTGTGTAACTAATTAGCAATATACCCACTGGAAGTAAAATTCTGAATTTGAATAACCTTTAACGTCGTATCATTGCCTCCAACGTCTTCAAACTTCACGTTGGAGATCTGGAATTCCAGCCCTATGGTGTTAGCTGGTGACCGGAAAGGGAGGAAGTGAAAAAATCAGTGATGCAGCAGTAACTCATATTTAACAATTCTTAAGTAAACAAAGGTCCAGTAGATATTGAAACATTTTCTAATAAATGTCTCTGCACACAGAAGTTCCCACAAGCAGATCAGCTTGGAAGAGTGATACTTCCCTTGAAGCAAACACGACCACCATCACCCACAAGACCTGGGCCTCACCTTTCTTTTGCAGGATGGCTTCTATTTCTCCATCTACTTCCTGAAGATCTTCTTTCTTCCTTTTGTCTCCTTTGCTCTTTAACCTGCCCTTCCTTTTCTTATTACTCTCCAGAAGAGAAGACTCTTTTGAATCCTGGATGATTGAAGCAAAGAGATTTGGAAAAGGTTCATTAATAATTCAAAAGGGAAAAGGTTTTGGCAAATCGAAAAACTTGGTTCATGTAAACCACCTGAGACTCACTGTCCAAGAGAAATACAATGTGAGGACTGGGGTTCGATTCCCAGTCAGGGCACATAAATAAATAAAATCTAAAAAAGAAATACAATGTGCCACATATGTAAATGTAGGCATTCTAGCAGCCTCATCTACAAAAAAGAAAAAAGTGCCAGCGAGAGGCCGCTGTCTCTAAATCGAGGCTGGGACGTGGGGGAGGAGGGGAGGGAATGAGATTAAGAGACAGCAGGGCCACCAGGTCACAGAGGGCTTCCCTGGCAATTTCCGGAGCTTTGATTTTAGGCCAACTGAAGCCACTGGAGGGTTTTTAACACGAGAATGACCATCATCTGACTTAACTCATAAGAAAGGTCTCAGGGTGAAGAATAAGTGGGGGAAGGAGAGTGGAAGAAAACTCCAGCTGGAAGTTTATTTCAATAGTTAAGGTGAGAAAGAGTAGAGGTGTTCTGAGTTGTAATAAAGAAGGTCTACTTGTTTAGAAAGAATGAAGAAAGAGTAGAGGTGTTCTGAGTTGTAATAAAGAAGGTCTAGTTGTTTAGAAAGAATGAAGAAAGAGGAGAGGTGTGGTCCGGGACAGAAATGATGGCAACAGTGCGGAGAGATGGAACTGCACGCTATGTGAAGTTCCTATGTCTTTTGTTTAACACAAGAATCTGCTTAATACTATACCCAGTGAAAAGATGGTAAAGTACTCTACATGGGGCTAAAATTTCACTACAAAAATACCTGTATCTCAGATACTGGCTTCTTATTATTACTTTTCTCCTCTGGTAGGTCCGAGAAAAAACTGTCTTTCCTTCCACCTGGAGTTTTGTCAACAAACCACCCTTCTTCGGAACCTCTGGCAGGCGTCCTCAGAGGAGGGGGGCCGGTTTGGGAAGGTATCGGTGGTGCTGAAACGCTGGTTTCTCTCTGCTGCATCTCGGGAGCACTTGAAACGGAGTCAGGATTTCCTTTCCGATACAAGGAGAGCAGGGAGCTGTTCATGTGATTTGCCAACTGGCAGAAACATGATTTTAGCATAAGTTACTCAACAGGAACTCAAAGTTTGACTGCCTATGTTAAAGTTTTCTACATTTCGCTTCCAAAAACTCCTAACATTTAGAGTCAAAAGAATAGGTGTTTGCAATGAGTGACTCAAACACAAACCCTTACTAACCAAAAAGCCGTACCCACTCTCCACTCCAAGTTAATGTACTAGTTCATAATTGGCAGTTTAATAAAACCTAACATGAATGGTCACTTTAAAAAGTGTAACAGAAGTATGAACATGAGCTGGTAGTTATCAATGAGAGGTACTACTATCCCATCAATAAAACTAGACCACATTTAAATGAGTACCACCACAACTGCTGATAGACTCAAAAATGAGTCACCAGTGAGGAAAAAACAGACAGCAAGTTACAAATAATTTTATAAATTATCCCCATGTTTTCTTTTAATCCAAGTCTATGTATTGGCAATGCTAACTTTCTGGTTAAAAAAAATGTATCCTTTTCATCATTTTTACTATGAATTCCCCTTTCGGTTGATGTCTGCCCTCATTTCTGCCCATTCCCTTCCCTTCTTTTTCCCTGTGTAATAGGCTGCAATAAAAACCAATGTGGGAAAAATAGTTAACACAGACGAGTTCACTAGCACTGTACACAGGAAGCGTTGGACTGTTCACTGATGAAGACATTCAGAGTCTCCATTCAGGTCTGGCTTACCTGTGGATCTGGGCAATCTTCCATATCTGAGTCATCATCTGAATAGCTTCCAAAATACCTCAGTAAAAAGAGGAGAAGAAATGTTTTAAAGGCTTTGCTCTCACATCCTAAAAAGTTTACTACCTAAAACAAGAAAACTCTGTATAATGAAGGAGAATATTGTGGTGGTTAAGAGTGTAGGCTTTGGAATCAGAAAAATCTGGACTCAAAATCCAGCTTCACCAGTTACTGGCTTGAACTGACCTCTCTGAGCCTCAGCTTCCTTATCTACCAATGGAGATAATAACATGCAACTCACTGAATTATTAGATTAAATGAAAGCTTGTAAAGTTCTTACTACACAGGAAATGCTTAATAAAAAAATCACAGTTTCTGTAGCTCAGCAAAAAAAAAGTGAAATGCTAATTTCCATCAGATCCAAGGGTGTTTAGGAATATCGAACACCAGGGCGGAAATACTCCAGCAAGTCATAATTAAGCACTAAGTAAAAAAAACTCTCAAGTCCAACATGACCAAGCCACACAAACAAACCTGACTTTTCCAAGTACGTTCAGGAGGACAAAACTCAAATATAAATCCTGATAACTACAAACTGAGAATGCATCCATTCATTATAACCAAGAGCTAATATCTAATAACTTTCAAGTAACCATAAAACTGTTACCTGAAGTTCATTTTTGTTTCTCTAGCAAATAAACATAAAAGGGGCCCTGGCTGGTGTAGCTCAGTGGATTGAGCGCGGGCCTGCGAACTAGACAATCGAGGTTCGATTCCCAGTCAGGGCACATACTGGGGTTGCAGGCAGGTTCCCTGCAGGCCAGTTCCCAGCAGGGGACGCACAGAAGGCAACCATACATTGATGTTTCTCTGTCTCTCCTTCCCTTCCCCTCTAAAGATAAATAAATAAAATCTTAAAAAAAAAAAGATTTAAAAAAAAAAAAACATAAAAGGGGTTTTCCTGAGTAAAAAGCTGACATGAATGCTATGGCCCTCTTTTATAATTAAGACGTGAGTTCTTTTTCTATTCATTAAATTCAATTGATATAATTTGAATATTATATCAATTCTTTTCAATGTAAAGAAGGTGGATTACTCAACTATTTGGGAACAAGTGTGTTTGCCCTACAATCCATACCCGAGAAGTACAACTAATTACAAACAGACTAAGGAGATAAATGTAACACTGGGAAGGAACAAGAAAGCACGAGTCATTGACCAGTCCACATGTCCTGTGACAGAGACCTACAGAGGAATCATCGCCATGAACCATAAAGGACAGAGCCAACAGATGTGACCAAAGAATGATGCAGGGCTTCTCTAGTCAAAAGACATTACAGACAAAAAGGCAAATGGCAAAACGGGGCAAGCATTTGCAACACATAAAAAAAGAGGTGCTATTTCATACAAAGTCCTGACAACTCACAAGAAAAATTCAAATACTTCCCAAATGAAAGAGAAAAACCCATAGGTAAAGAATTCACAAAGCAAGCATTAAACAGTAAAAGAAAAATCACTAGTTACTCAAAAATCACAAATAAAAGCAGTATGATCGATTTTTGCCTACGTAGGTGGCAAAGATGAAACAGCAGTGGAACCAGGACTGCGTGCGAGGTGCAGAGAAGTGCGCTCTTCACACAAAGCTGGTGGAGCACAAACCCACGTGGTGGCGGCCTCCAAGGGCAGCTCCAAATGCACTCAAAACCATAAATCCCTGGCCCCAGAGACACCACCCAAGATTTTAACATAACAAACAAACAAATGTGCGCAAAGATATATGCACAAATAGATCATTACACATACAATTGTGCAAAACTAGAAACAACCAAATGGCCATGAATATGCAACTAAAGTAGTGTAAATCCCAATGAAAAAGCAGCAGCTATGAAGAATGAAAATAAGCTATCACTGCAGATCCTAAAGACACTAAAAGGAAAATGGACCAAATTGCTTTAAAAGTACAGTTTACTAACAACGACATAAAAAAAAAAAGAAAATAGGAAGAGCACAGTATCTAACAAAATTCTTTCCAAAAAGAAGGCTCCAGGCCTAGATGAATTTTAGGTGAATTCTAAGAAATATTCAAGAAAGAACATTACACACACTTTCTTCATAATACACAGACGAAAACACTTTCCAATATATGAGGCCAGTATAACCTTAAAAGCTGACGCAGACATTGCAAAACCAAAAAACCAAAATGAATATAGACACAAACGTCTATAGAGAAAGATTAATTCAACAATAATAAAAAGGATAATATATCAGGACCAACTGGGGTTTGTCCAAGGAAAGGAGTATGAGCTTAACACTCAAAAATCTATGTAATTTACCAAATAAATAGACTAAAGAGAGAAAGCCATAATAAAATCAATAAAAGCATAAAAAGCATCTGACAAACATAATACTTATTCATGATAAAAGAATCTCAGCAAATCAGGAATATTAGGAAAGTTCCCTAATCTGGGAAAGGGTATCCAGGTATATGAAAACCTGCAGCTGACCTCACGGTTGACGGCACAAGTCCCTCTAAGAGTAAAGACTGACCACACATTCTGCTGGTGCGACGGAAAATGGAACAAATTCTTCAGGAGAGTTTGCCATTTCTTAGAAAGTTAAATATGCTGTGACCACATGACACAGCGACCCCACACCTCAACAGTTACCAAGGGAAAGGAAAACATTCTCCACACAAGTCCTGGACATAAGCATTCATGGTTGTTTTTCTGGAATGGTCAAAAAAGTGGAAACAACCCAACTGCCCACTGATGGAAAAATGGATTAAAAATCATGGCATAGCCACACATACTCAGCAATAAAAAGCAATAAACTGTTGACAACACAGCATTGACAAATCTCAAAATTATTATGCTAAGTGAAAGACTCCGTATTTTAAAAGCATGTATTGTATGTTGCCATCCACATAAACTTCTAGAAAAATGCAAACCAACTATCTAGTGACAGAAAGCTAATCAATGGCTATCTGGGAATGGGGGTGGGGGGGCAGAGGGAGAAATGTATTGCAAAGACACGAAAAAAAACTTGTGGGGTTGATGGAAATGTTCTGTATCTTGCTTATGGTGATGGTTTAATCAGTACACACATACGCTGAAACTCAACAAGCTGTATAGTTATACAGTAATAAACTTATAAAAAAACTTAATGTTATTTCTTTCTTTTTCTTAATGTTATTTCTTAAAATTAACTGACACCTTTTTAGGTATCTGGCATTGTATTAGGGCAGAGAAAAACAAATAATGAGACAGTTGTATGGGTAATGCAAACAAGTAAATAAGTGATCCCAAAACCATGTAATATGATGAATGTTATCACAAATGCCTGTAAGTAGGAGTTAAGTAAACACTGAGGAAAGAGTCTAAGGCAGCCTGACTGAGGCAGTAACAGCATTTGGAAAGCTGACTCCTGAATGTGAGTGGGAGTTTGTGAAAGAGGAATGAACATTCCAGCGGCAGAAAGCCGCACAATGAAAGAGTCTGACTTCTTTGGGGAAGAGTGAGCACTCGGTGTGTCTGAAGTTAAGGACTGGAGAGGTTAGGCAAGTGCTACGCAGCGCCATGTCAGTGATGAAGAGCCACGGGAAGTCTTACAAGTAGGAATATAACGCGACCAGGTTGTGTGTTAGGAAAAACCCCTCCCTTTTGTGCTCCTTACTCATTATCCTCTCCGCTTTGTCTTGCTCTTTTTGCCAGATGTTCATCTTCTAATTCTTTAAGATCCTTATGTTCCTTCTCACTACTAATTATGCTAAACACTGAAACAAACAGAAAAAAATGCCATGAGCTAAAGCCATTCCTTCTATAGCTGTGTTAATTATTTGGCTCTAACACTAATGGACTCACCTCTTTCTACCTGAATCCGAAAGGCATTTCTTTTTCTTCGACCATAGTCTATACTGGAAAACACAACAGAAGTTTAGTACAGTGGTCTCCCCCACACAGACTTGCACAAATACATAATTATGTCCCTGCATGTATACTGACCATAAACCTATTTTCAAACAACGCTGGAGTTTACACTTTACTACTCTAGTTTTTCCTGATTAGAAATAAGGTTACCGCATCAGAAACTCAGCCAGCTCTTACTGAAGGAGACACAGACGAGATGAAATGAAGGCTCTATGCACATCACTCTCTTTGAAGCAAAGGAAGCCCCCCAGGGAGACCCAGAGGTTATTAGCAGAGCTGCCACAGCCACCAGGGGCCCGGGAAGCACAGGCCTGCACAGTGGCACTGTCCCCACCTCTGTCGCAAAGGGCAGGCTGCAATCCTACTGAGCCCACAGGACAGAGCGCTGAGCCAGATGGTTACTCTTCAAGTCCAGGAAATCCGCCCTGCTACGTCTCCAACTTGCCAGAGACCATGACCCCTTTCTTCTTTCCAAGTTCTCCCTTTGGAATGAGAATGTCTACCCTATGTCTGTCCACTGTTGCATTCTGGGGGCAGATAACTGGTCTGGTTTCCCAGGTCACAGCTGGAGAGGAGTTGTGCCTCAGGATGACTCATAGGTCGTTACCCCTGCACCCGAGTTTGATGAGATTTTGGGAGTTGAGACTGAAACGGGTTAAGACTTCTGAGGCTGCTGTTCATTTACTTGTAAGCTAGAGGGACGTGAATTTGGGGAGGCAAGAGGGCACAGCATTAGGAGCTGAGCTGCATCCCTCTAAAATTCGTATGTTGAAGTTCTAACTCTGAGGACCTCAGAATGTGACTGTCTGGAAATGGGGCCTTCACACATGTAATAAGGTAAAATGATGTCGTATGGGCGGGCCTCAGGACTGGTGTCTTTGTAAGAAGAGGAGATTAGGATACAGACAGTAGATACAGAGGAAAGGCCATGTGAAGTCACAGGGAGGAGATGGCTGCAAACCAAGGAGACGCATCAAAAGCAACCCACCCTGCCAGTGCCTTGATCTTGGACTTGTAGCCTCCACAACTGTGAGAAATTAAATTTCTGTTGTTTAAGCAACCCAATTCAGGATGCTTTTTTATTCCTAAGATTTTGGGGTTTTTTTTCAATCTGGGATACTTTTTTAGGCAGCCCTAGCAAGTAATATGTAGATAAAGAGGAAAAAAAATAGAAACACAGAAACAGATAAAGGGATATTTAATGAAGCAAGGTATCAGAAGCTGTGGCATTAGAAGCACAAGAGGATTTACTCTTCAGTGGGAAGACTACATAAGTGACACATTTCTATAAAAAGACTCGGAGGCTGAGGGAGATCATGTCCAACGGTTTTGATTGTTTAATACAGCAGGCAAAGAACACCTCTGAACAGGTTATAAGGTACTGAAATAAGAGACGCAGCCACTCTCCCCTAGTCACAAGGACAGCGCCTTGTGTGCAACAGGTGCCTGATAAATGTTGCACAACTGAACTGCATTCCAAACTGATGGGCTGGTGAACCTTTAAGGCCAGCAGCTATTAACATCAACTGGAAATGTGGGCAGAATGGAAACTTAAACGATGTCGGGAAAGCAAAGCGGGGATCTGCAGACTATGTTTCTTTACCTGTACATTCTCTGTAGATCAGCTGCTAAAAGTCCAGTGTCCACATATTGGCCACATCTGTTACTGGTGAGGTACTAAAACAGAAAATACAAGGTGAACACTCAACATTTCAAACTCAGAGATTTTAATTGACAAATTGAGAGACTGAGCTACTCAAACACATTATACTTTAATGTAAACTCTTCATTAATAAAGCACACCAGGAACATAAATGAAAACCCTTAAGGACCGTCGCATCTGGAATCTGAGAATTAAAAGGATCACTATGACACACAAACACAGAAACCAGGAAAGCTACAAGGCAGCCAGCGAGAACTTACTGCATTCCAGATCCCCAACGCCCCAGAACAGAGCACTCCACCCCCAAGGGTGCTGAGGGATAGTTCAGATATGAAGGGGCACGGTAATACGGGACATCTGCGCAACTCTGCAGGAACCACAGCCCGGGACAATGCATGGCTTCAATGGTAAAGCACCTTTTAGTGATATCCTGTCTTTGCAAAACTGGGCTTCCAGCAAATTCCATGCGGAACTTGACATGGAACAGGATGGGAGTGGCAGTGACAATGTGAGCTCGAGGCAGGAGAAGTGGTCCCACAGGCACATAAACCCCACTTGTCAGTAATGTGGTTATGGAAGAATAAAACACAAATACACCCATTTCCTTTCAATTTTCACATATTATATTCTCAAAAGGCTACTACATTATTTGAATTACAGTTATTAAATTGCTGAAACCTAACTACTTAATAAACAGACCTATTAGGTATGGAGCACCATGAAAATATTAACAAGAAACTAAGGGCCCAGTGAACCTGTCTACCTATCTGAAGGGGCCTTTGGTACATTATCTCTCTACTACTCATAATCCTATGGGGTAGATGTAGTATCCCCTGCTCTGGAGAGGAAGAAGTTTACATGAGACTTCAAAAGGTTAATTACTTGCTCTGAAGCACAGAAGCTAGAGGGCCAGATCTCAAACCTGGAATATCTAACTCAACTTCTGTGTTCCGATACTTGGTAGTTATGCAGTCCAGGTGCCCCACTAGACAGACCAATTTCTTCTCAAGAATCCTTAACACGCCCCGACCAGTGTGGCCAGTATGGCTGTTGGTTGGGCACTGACCGCAATGAGAAACATTGCCAGTTCGATCCTGATCCGAGCACACAACTGGGCTGCAGGTTTGGTCCTGGTCAGGGCGCATGTGGATGGGAGAGGCAGCAAATTGATGTTTCTCTCCCTTCCCTTAAAAACTCCCTTATACGTGATAACGCTCTTCATAAATGCATCTGCTCACGAGAGACCAGGCAGCACAAGCTGGACTGTTCTAGTTAACCTTCCCCCTCACTGGACTCCTATAATATGCTGTCATGTACTACAGACAATTTTGAATTACACTTATTTCTATCTATCTCAATCCTACTGCAATTCAAAAAGTTCCTTGATGGCAAGAAAAATAATATGCTAAATATTGGGGTAATTTGTAAGCAGCAATAGGTAGACTGAAGTGTACTGGTAAATGAAAAAAGCAAGTAGCAGAATTCATGCAAATAGGACTGTGTATGTGTGTGTTTGTTTTAAATAAATACATAATACATGTGTAAGTGCATATATGCATACAAAGTTTTAAGAAAGATGCAGCCCTGGCTGGTGTGGCTCAATGGATTGAGCACTAGCTTGCAAACCAAAGGCCGCTGGTTCAATTCCCAGTCAGGGCACACGCCTGGGTTGTGGGCCAGGCTCCCCAGTGGGGGACACGCAAGAGGCAACCACAATTGATGTTTCTCTTCCGCTCTTTCTCCCTCCCTTCCCTCTAAAGGTAAACAAATAAAATATAAAGAAAAGAAAAAAGTGATAAAAGCACAGCGGCTCGGTTATTTCCAACACTTACAGACTGGTGTGCAGCTCCAAACAGGAGATCGCATAGCGGCTAGCAAGGGAAAACAAAAGCGAGGAAAAGTATACAGCTCGCATACTCCAGTGTAAAGAAAAATCTCTCCCTCCTAAATAAGATTGCTTTCCTAAATAAGATTGCTTGCTGACTGTACCATTCCAAGTCATTTACCACAAACTGTTTTCTACCCATGATTACGAAAATGAAAAACAAAAATAAAAACACCAATTCGCACCACCTATTTTTACTGTAACCCAAGCTGACTCCAAGTTTCTTGAGAATGGGAATGCTTTAAGGTCCCCAAAGAGCCTCGTACTGGGGTGGAGGGTGTGTCCGAAGGACGTTTTTACACGAGACTGGAAGACTGGCATTCAAAGGCTGTCTGCCTCCACTGTCCTCACTGATCTGCTCCGAGGTCCAGCGGACCAGGGAGCTGCAGCCTGCCCCTGTCCCGGGCGGTTTCTGGAAACGACGCCCGGCGCAGATCAGTGCCCCGGCGGGAGAGAAGGCCCCGCACGCCCCGCGGAGCACGGAACTGTCAGCAGCCCCACGCCCGAACCCGAGCGGGGCGGGAGCCGCCCTGGGACGGCGCCCCGTGGCAGCGGACGCAGACCACTGGGAGGCGCGGCGGCGCCCATCACGCACCTGGATGACTCGCTGCTTCAGCTTGTTATCCACAAAACCCGCAGGCCTGGGCTTCATCACGGCCGCCTCCGCCGCCAGGGCCTGGGCGCTGGGAGTCACGTGATCCGAGGGCCTCCTTCAGGCTGCCCGCGGCGACCGCCTGGCCAGCCTCCTCGAAGGGCGCCTCGCGCGTCCTGGTCCACGCGGTTCCTGCAGCGTCCTTGTACCGCGTGTGAGGGGGGGAAACCACCAAGAACAACGAGCAGACTTGAGAAACCACCAGGGAGTTTCTAGGAGTCTTATGTTTCTGGCTTGTCCAACATGCCCGGGATGACAAGGACCCCTTTGAACAAACTCAACTTTATTGTTCCCAACTCGGTGAACACGTGCGAGCGCTGGCTGTGGGTAGGTTCTCGGTGAGCTCTGAATCTTAAAACTGAAAGTTGTAAATACTTGGGTGGATTTAAGAACCGTAGAAAGCATACCGCCACCCAGCTGCGTACTTTTCCGACCTAATCAACAGGTTCTGGAGGCCGACACAAAGGCTGGGTGTTGAAAGATAAGGAAAGACTGGTTCACCCAGAAAGCTAAACCATCTGTTACATTTGGAAATCATTTATCTTATACCATTTTCGACAGATAATTTGTTGAGCACATTCAGTGCAAGATTCTATCTTGGCAAAGAATTTTATGTAAAAAGTTTTTTAAGCTGTATTTTTCCATTACCTTTTATCCGCGACTATACGGTTTTCCCTTCCCCCTCCCCCCGGCAATGATCACAGCCCCGAATTTTATTAAGCGTGTGTATTTACCCCCAAGAAGTTTATTTTCAGTTAGGGAGACAAGTAAAGGGACAATTTTTTTTTCAAGGTACGGACTTTAGTTTCTGTTTGCTTGCTTGTTGTGTGTGTTTTTTAATTTTATTTATCTTTAGAAGGGAAGGGAAGGAGAGAAGGAGAGAAATACCAATGTATGGCTGCTTCTGGTGCATCCCCTGCTGGGAACTGGCCTGCAACCCAGGCATGTGCCCTGATGGGGAATCGAACCACTATCTTTTGGTTCACAGGTCCGTGCTCAATCCACTGAGCTATACCAGCCAGGGTTGTTGTGTTTTTAATATTCTTATTTGAGGTCTCACTTGGCTGTCACAATATTAGGTGCAGCCTCAGTAGTGTGCCACGGTGAGAAAAGGTAGGAGAGGAGATGGAATTAGGAGAAGGCGGTGAGACGTTAAACAATGCTGATTGTTTTCTGTGTAGGGTTCAGATTATATCACTGCTCTTTTCAGTAGTTCTCATCTGAACATAAAGTATAGAGTCTCACTCTGATACACAACACATTGGTCAACCTGGCTCTAACTTCATCTCCTACTTCTTCACCACATGTTTACTCTGCTTTTCACTGAGTAGAATAGCATTGCCTGCAGTTACTAGTATTTATTTCACAGGCACTGGAGAAATAAATACAGCTCTGCAGAAACAGGAAAGATTCCTGCTTCTGTGGAGCTACAGTTGAAAGGTGGTGATTATAAACAAATAAATTATACACAGCACTCTGCTTCCATTGACATTTCCTCTTGTGGGCAATGCCCTTCCTGGCCAGCCTACTACTTTCAAAATCCTAGCTAAACATCTCCCTTTCAGCCCTTCCTGGTATTTCCCTTCTCCACCCATTGAACCTTCCTCATTCATTTAGCACTATTTATTGAGTGCCTACGCCTTTCAGTCCCTGCCCTAACCCCTGGGTCTTGTGAGAAAAGCAAAGGAATTTTAATTGTAGCCCTGGTTGGGTAACTCCTTTGGTTAGAGCATAATCCCAATACCCCAAGGTTGTGGGTTAGCTCACGGCACATACAAGGAACAAGCAATGCCTGGTTGGTATTGCTCAGTTTGAGTGCAGGCCTGAGAACCAGAGGGTTGCAGGTTTGATTCCCAATCAGGGTACATGCCTGGGTTGCAGGCCAGGAACCCAGTGGAGGCCACGTGAGGGGCAACCACACATTGATGTTTCTCTCCCTCTTTCTGCCTCCCTCCCCCTCTCTAAAAATAAATTTTAAAAAAATGTTTAAAAGGAAGCAAGTAATGAATTCATAAATAAGTGGAACAACAAATTGATGTTTCTCTCTCTCTGTTCTCTCCAAAATCAGTCAATAAGAAAATTTTTAAAGGATTATAATTGTAACTTTTATACCATTTTTATTAGATTAAGTATGTGCTTGAATATATTAAATGTTAGCAGTGATTCCCTACAGCAAGTAACACAAATACATTCGATGCCCAGTAACTTTTTAAATGTAGTGTAATTCTATGCATGTGCCACAAAGAATGAGAATAGGCTGAAGGGCCCAGCGGCATTACAACATACATGGAGCATCATAATTTATCAGTTTATATTTTGTCATACAATACTGTTACACATGTAGGATTGTCTTCATGGGTGTGCAGTCTGCATTCACAGAGGGCTTTGTGCTCAGAAGCGCCCCACACTGGGTTTCATGCTCTGCTGTTGCCATCTTGAAATTCTCAATAGTACTTCTTGAACAAGTCACCCCTTATTTTAATTTTGCGCTGGGCCAAGGAATGTGTTTCTCCCCTCTTGACTGCCTCAGGTGTACAGTAGGCAATAATTGAAAGTTAATACTACATACCTGATACTACAATACTGGTATACCTGAACATGTTTCCATTGGGATTATTTCCAGTAATTTACAATACCATACATCTAAACCAAAAAGATACTGAATAGTAAGTAACCTGAGTGCATAAACATCTCAAGAACTTCAGGTAGCAATTCCTTGTCCATTCTTTGATGACGCGACTCCACCTAGTGGTAGTGGTGCATTTCACCTTCAGTTCCTCACACCTTGGCACGCTGCTCCCCACTTCAAACTTTGTAGCTCACCAGCTAACAGCCTCTTGTCTAATTGTGCTTTATATTTGGGGCTATGTGCTTATTTGCTAAGAAAAGTCCTGATTTTTGCCTCTTGATCCAGCATCATTATTAATAGTCTCCCCTTTATGGAAATAAATGAAAATCACCGAAATGAGAACAGGCAAAGACTCTTCAGAGCTTGTAGCCAGCCACCATGACTTGCATTTGGGCAGAGACTCAAAGGCAGGCAGAGAAATGGGAAAGTGTTATCACTGAAGAAGGGAAGGCTTCAGATACGCCCTGATTGAAGGCTGCCAGCTTTGGGACGCTGTAGGTGGAAACAGGGTTCGGGGAGCATATTTGGCTTTCTCTGGTTGGTCCTAAATTTGAGGAACAAAGACAAAATTAGAGAAGTAATCAGTTATCACTTATTAAAGGGGTCCTGGCCATTTAGGGCCAATTGTTATAGGATTTATTGTTGGCTTCCCCATTTTTTTCCTTCTCTTTTTTCTTTTTAATCTCTTTATTGGAGATAGTGGTCTGGCTTCCTGTAGGTCTGACTCACAGATAGCAGGCTGTCTATCTCCAGAGGACTGGTAGTTGCAGATTATGAGACAGAATTCTGTTTTTCTATATGACCTGGCCGTTGTTCATTTTGTATAGTCAGTTCCTCCCCTTCGTCTCTAAGTCTCTAAAAAGTGTTCCATTGTGGACAATACATTATATGGTCACCCTGTGTTTAAAAGGAATGTGCATTCCTTGCTGCTGTGGCTCAGTGGATTGAGTGCCAGCCTGCGAACCAAAAGGTCACCGGTTTGATTCCCAGTCAGGGCACATACCTGGGTTGTGGTCCCCATTGAGGGGTGTGCAAGAGACAACCACACAATGATGTTTCTCTCCCTTTCTTTCTCTCACCCTTTGTCTAAAAATAAATAAATAAATAAATAAATAAAATCTTTAAAAAAAAAACATGGAGGACAATGTGAGAGTAAGTATGGAGTAATTTTAATAAAATCTTTCCTTATAATCAGTAAGGGTCATTCATGTGGCAGACATTTATTAAACACCAGCTATTTACAGGATAGAAGATACCAGGGGTACAAAAACTAACAACTCTGTTACCTTTATCATAATTTAAGGTGTGGCTGGCTAGGCATGTAACGAAGACAATGTGATGAATACTCTGCTGGAGGTGTGGACAGGGTGCAGTGGGAGTGTAATGACAGTTGGTTTGTAAATAATCTGTTAACAGTCCATCCATCTAGCTTTAACCTCTCACCCCTTTATGAGCCTATAAATCTGTGTTGCGTCAGGCAAATCCAGTTGATTTCGCCTCTATTCTAATTCCCCTGTTTATCTTCTTCTCTCCTAATTGATCATGCAGACAAACATGTCTCCTTTTCCTACATTCAGTGCACCAAACAGAAGGATATTTTAAAAATGTAAATCAGAACAAGGTACTTTCATACTTAAAACTCTCCAGTGGTTTAACGTCATATTAGAATAAAAGTCACAGTAGAATAAAAAGTTACACTTTTTTATATTAATTTTATTGGTTATGCTATTACAGTTGTCCCATTTTCCTGCCTTTATTCCCCTCTGCCTTGCACACCTCCTCCCACCTGCATTTCCCTGCTTTAGTTCATGTCCACGAATCGTACATATAAGTTCTTTGGCTTCTACATTTCCTATACTAAACCACTCCCTATCTATTTTCTACCTACCATTTATGCTAATTATTCTCTGTACCATTTCCCCTTCTCTCCCCGTACCACTCCTGTGTTGCTAACCCTCCATGTGATCTCCATTTCTATGATTCTGTTCCTGTTCTAGTTGTTTGCCTAGTTTGTTTTTGTTTCAGGTTTGGTTGTTAATAACTGTGAGTTTGTTGTCATTTTACTGTTTGTATTTTTTATCTTCCTTTTTCTTAGATAAGTCCCTTTAACATTTCATATAATAAGGGCTTGGTGATGATGAATTCCTTTAACTTGACCTTATCTGACAAGCACTTTATCTGCCCTTCCATTCTAAATGATACCTTTGCTGGATAGAGTAATCTTGGATGGAGGTCCTTGCCTTTCATGACTTTGAATACTTCTTTCCAGCTCCTTCTTGCCTGCAAGGTTTATTTTGAGAAATCAGCTGACAGTCTTATGGGAACTCCTTTGTAGGTAACTGTGTCCTTTTCTCTGCTGCTTTTAAGATTCTCTCCTTATCTTTAATCTTGGCTAATGTAATTATGATGTGCCTTGGTGAGTGCTTCCTTGGGTCCAAATTTTTTGGGACTCTCTGAGCTTCCTGGAAGTCTATTTCCTTTGCCAGATTGGGGAAGTTGTCCTTTATTATTTGTTCAAATAAGTTTTCAATTTCTTGGTCTTCTCCTTCTCCTTCTGGCACCCCTATGTTTCGGATGTTGGAACGTTTAAAGATGTCCTGGAAGTTCCTAAGCCTCTCTTCATTTTTTTGAATTCTTATTCCTTCATTCTGTTCTGGTTGAATGTTTCTTTCTTCCTTCTGCTGAGAACCATTGATTTGAGTCCCAGTTTCCTTCCCATCACTGTTGGTTCCCTGTATATTTTCCTTCATTTCACTTAGCATAGTCTTCATTTTTTCATCTAATTTGCGACCAAATTCAACGAATTCTGTGAGCATCCTGATCACCAGTGCTTTGAATTGTGCATATGATAGGTTGGCTATCTCTTCATCACTTAGTTGTATTTTTTCTGGAGCTTTGATCCATTCATTTCGGGCCATTTGTCTCAGCACACCTGTTAAGTATGAAGGGTGGGGCCTTAGGTGTTCACCAGGGTGGGGCAACCTACCTCCAACTTCCGGCCAACCTACAACCTACATGGTTGCACTGTGATGCTGTACGTGGGGGCGGGGTCAGAGAGGGAACAATGGCGCTTGCGCCACTCCTTGACGGTTTTCAGTCACGTCCCCCACTTCCCACAAGCAAAGTGGGCTTTTCTGGTGCTGATTCCGGGGCAGGTGAGTTCGGGTACTTTCTGGACCCTGTGGGTCTCTCCAGCGAACTCTCCTGTGAGGCCAGGAGTTTCTCCCACCGCCACCTCCCAATTTATCCACACACGAATGTGGGACCACCCGCCCCACCTGGTTTGCCAGCCGCTGCCTTGCCCCGAGTCCTCTCCGCCCGGCCACCCCTTCTCACATCCTCCTACCAGTCCGGTCAAATGTGTACTTTGACTCCTTGGTTGAAGAAGACGGTGCGATTTTCTGTCAATTCTGGTTGTTTTTTCTCTTTAAATTTGTTGTTGTCCTTCCTTTGGTTGTGCGAGGAGGCACAGTGTGTCTACCTACGCCTCCATCTTGGCCGGAAGTCTAAAAGTCACACTTCTCGCCAGGGGTCCACCAGACTCAGGTGACCTTGTCCTGCCCCTCTGACCTCCCAGAGTCCCCTCGCCATTATCCATTGTACTGTACTTCAGCCACGGCAGCCTTTTTCTCTGTGTGTTAATCACAGCACGTTTCTCTGAGCAGTTGGGCCTTCGCATTCCCTGTTCCCGCTCTCTGAATTCCTCTGCCTGCAAATCTTCACGTAGCCACTCAGATTTCATCTTAAATGTCACTTCCAGCCTGGTTTTCTCTGACCACCCAGTCTCCAAGTGGTTTCCCATCCTTCCCCTATCCTTTCTGAAATCGTTTTTTTAAATTTTTAAAAAAATTTTATGTCTCCATAGAGACTGTCAAAAATTGCCAGTGCTGACTCTATTTCAAGTCGTCACAACGGGGTATTGGGAAAAGTTTCCAATTAGCAAGAATTACACCTCGGATAAACTTCACAGGCTATGAATACTGCCACTGCTCAAAGCTGGGAAGTACTTATAACTGTCTGTCATTAACAGATTTTTTTTTTATGTGTCTCCCTCACTGTAATGTAAGCTACAAAATTCTCCTGGGTATCCAGAAGATTACAAGCGTTCAGTAAATACTCATTAATTCCTTGTCACAATTTCTTGAAATACTTAGATTCAGAGGGAGAGCTTGCCCACTTCTTCCATAGGTATTCGTGCTGATGACTACAGTTCCCAGCATGCATCAGACACGAGGCGGTTTTTTAAAAAGTGGACTACAAATCCCCGCATGCCGCGCTCGGGTGGAGTAGATTACACGCCCCAGACAGGGGGAGCCAAGGGCCTATTACGGGCGGGGCGAGGTAGGGCAGGTCGGGCATCCCAGCCGGTTTGGCGGAAGGAGCGGCGGCGGAGGAGGAGGATGGAGGCGGTAGTGTTCGTCTTCTCGCTCCTCGACTGCTGCGCGCTCATCTTCCTCTCAGTGTACTTCGTATCCTTGCCTGAGCGGGCGGGCGGGGGCTTCCCAGGGGCCTGCGGCCAGGGGACTGGGCTGAGGTTGGGCCCGGGTGGGGACCCGGTCAGGTGCGTGGGAGCCAGGGTGCAGCAGGCGCGGGTCACTGGGCGTGGGCCGCCAGGACCGGTGTGGCCAGCGGGGGCGGGAGGAAAGCCCCGCCGCCCTCCTCTGCCCGGCTCGCTCTGCCCAGCGTGCTGGCCAGGGTCCGAGTGGGCCTCCCCGTGGCGCCCCGGCCCGCCGCCAGTCGTGCCCTGAGCGGGGCAGGTTCTTGGCCTGCCTTGCTAGGTCGTCAGAGGAGAATCGCCGTTTGCCTCCCTGTTGGCTTTCGAGATGAGGTCGCGGTTTTTTCATGTAGATGCCTCGGGCTGGGCCCTTGGTCGGATGCTGGGTGCTGGGTGTCGGAAGCAACTGCCCACGTCCTGGGGGTGCTGGCTGCTGGACCACGGGCGTTGGGGCGAGTTGAGGCGTTTTTGCCGCCTCTGGTCGTCACTCCCGGGGCACCACCCCCGCCGCCCGCCCCTTTGTTCTCGCGGGTGTTGGAACTTGCAGGGGGCCCTTTCCTGTCTGCGAGTTGACTCTCTTCGAAAAACAGGTGAACTACCACCTTCACGATGCCGTCGTGCAGGGCGTGTTGGGAAGGGTGTATTTTTAAAAACCATCAGCTATTGATTATTTTGGTTGTCCCCGGTGGGTGGTTGCAGTCTGGGAATTTAGTTAACTGTACACATGAGATAGGCGTTTATTAACTTCTACACTCTTCTGGACGCGTCCAAGTTTAAAACTTCCAGTATTTTATGTAGCTTTTTATGTTACAGCATTTCAACTGTATTTCCAGTCCAACAACTGTGGTCGTTGAACCTAGCACCCTCGAAGCTGTGTGGGCTCTAACGCTTTCCTACTGTTGAGGAAGCATGTCATCCTAGTTGTTGCCCCATTCTTTATGTAATTAAATATAAGCTAGGGGGGAAAACACGCATGAGAAACTTCGCACTTTTTCTGCTCTCCTTGGAAATCACATGTGCCCCTTGCTGAGAAAATTAAACATTTTGTTCGCCCGAGTACCTTGGCTTTAGGATAGTTTGTTCACTGTGGCTTCATACTTAAGCACGGGCAGCTGGTTGTAGTGGGAGACGGAATTTGAAATCGCGGCTCCTTGCTTAGCTAGATACTTGCTGTGCACATTCTTCGCCTCTCTCTAAACCTTAGCTTCCTCCGTAAAATGTGGGAAGTGTTCATTTCCCAGAGGTGCGTGTACAGTGAGAACAGGTGCTAAGCACCCAGGACGGTGCCTGTCTCGCAGCCAGTATTCAGTAGACATTGCTCTGCCCTCCGCTCCCGCGGAGCCGCAGTTTTCACGTTAACTGATGTTTCCTAATGAGATCCCCGAGTTTTATGAGATTCGGGGAATGGATTGGAGGACAGCATCTGCCCACGTTCAATGACCTATGCCCCTCTTATCACATAAGGAAGTGAAGCTTGCACTCAGAGAAACTTGGTTTTCTCTTTTTGACATTGGAAAATTAGGCTTGATATTTTCTTTGTTTTTGAAGATTTTATTTATTTTTAGAGAGAGGAGAAGGGAGGGGGAAAGAGGGAGAGAAAAATCAGTGTGTAGTTGCCTCTCGCGTGCCCTCTGCTGGGGGCCTGGCCCACAACCCAGGCATGTGCCCTGACTGGGAATTGAACCAACCCTTTCCTTCGCAGACCAGTGCTCAGTCCGCTGAGCCACACCAGCCAGGGCTAGGCTTGATACTTTAAAATAGCCTTGGCTTATAGCCATTTAATATATATACATAGAAAAACATTAGGTGGAATATTGGACTTAGACATCGAAGTACATTCAGGGTGTGTTTTGATGAAATTCAGCCTATTGTATTAACTGTATTTTTGGATAGTTGCATTAGCTTAACGTTAGAGCCAAGAGGTGGAAAATGGTCAGGGCAGACATTCTGTAGTGAGAGGAGTTTTGCTGGACTTTGGCCCTGAAGAAAACCCGCAGAGAAGGAAAGGGGCAGCTATTAATATTATCACACACAGGCAAGAGCAGAGGTGTGCCCGAAACATTTCCAGGGAATGGGGTTAAGGAGCACATGGCGCATGTGGTTGATTTTGGTGGCAGTGTTGTACAAGAGAAGCTCAGATTGGAAAGGCTGGGTTAGATCCCATTTTGGAGGGCCTGGGTGCTAAGGAGGGGTGGAGGGCATGTTTTATCCTCAAGGTCACGGGTTTCCAACACAAAATCATAAACTTACTTAAAACATTATGAGATTTTGTGTGTGTGTGTGTATGTGTGATTACGTGTTGCAGTGTATTTAGTATGTGGTGTAAGGTGACTGTTCTTCCAGGGTGGACTAGAGACGCTGAGAGGTTGGACACCCCTGGACAGGTAGACGCTCCAACCGACCGAGCCACCCAGCCAGGGCTTGCCCTCCTTTTCCACCTTTCTCCCCACTGTTGGGGGCGGAGCATTTTACAGTAGGCCCCAGGCATTGTCCTTCCATTGAAGACTTTTCATGTTTGTCTACCTGTCCTTCAGATTTTTAAAAAAATTTTTTAGGATTTTATTTATTTATCTTTGGAGAAGAAGGGAAGGGAAGGAGAGAGGGAGAGAAATATCATTGTATGGTTGCCTCTCATGTGTCCGCTGCTGGGAACTGGCCTGCAACCCAGGTATGTGCCCTGACTGGGAATCGAACCGCGATCCTTTGATTCGCAGGCCCGCACTCAATCCACTGAGCTACACCAGCCAGGGCTTGTCCTTCAGATTTTTATTTGTGAGTTTATATTTTGTACTAAAAGCCATTTTGTTTTGCTTATTTCCAATATAAAGTGTTTATTGTAGGACGTTTGGGAAATGAAGAAATGTATAGGTCTTATTTATGCATTTCTTAGAGCAAGTGTTTGGCGTTTGAGGAATTCAGATTGAACATTCTGGCATGGGTCCCATTAGAACTGAGTATAATGAGAGGATTATTCTGTGAAAATCATTTGCTGATGGAACATGAATGAGAAATTGTGCTGTCGAATGAGTGAGCTTTAAGGAAATAACTAAATTTTTTAAAAGTCAAGTCTAATTCAACTTTGCAACTGGGATTGCTTTCTGAAAATTACTTAACTGCTATAAAATAAGTCTAACAATTCCTTATCTTGATCATCAGATAATTACTTTGTCTGATTTAGAATGTGATTACATTAATGCTAGATCATGTTGCTCGAAATTAAACAAGGTAAGCCATTTATTTGCTCATTTTCTGGCATTGGAGACAGTTCTCCATTTTCCGTGGTAGAGATTATTACAGATAATCAACCTGTGTATATTTGATTTTAGAGTGTATATTGTCTCTTACTGGAGTGTTGGTAGAACTGTGTGTTTTGCAATGTTTCAAATCATGAAACTGCACCAGAAGACTTAACTCGGAACTTGGTTTCTTCACTGTTTCTTCCTTGCCCCTTTGACCGCAATGGACAACATTACTACTCAGGCTAGGTAAACATTTCTTATGAGGGTCATTGTTTTTGTCTTCTGTGTCCAAAACCCCCTTGTCCCTGCTCCTGGAAAAAAACTTGTCTTGTCTTTTATTGAATGAAAGACAGCCTTCTTTTTCTGGCTTGCCGAGAAATGGAATTAACTAGCTGATTTGTTTTAAAGCCATTTTACCTTTGCTCTCTAGTCGGAACTTTATATTGGCAAGAATATTCTGAATCACAGAGCTTATCTAGATGCAGAGAAACCAGTTGATCCTGGTGCCTCTGCGATCAGCACCCAGGAGAGCTTTCCTGGTAACAGGTCAGGCAGAAGTACAAAGCCGAGAGGGGCTTTCAGCCTGACCTGAAGCGATTCCCCTGTGTCTCTTCACGTTTCCAGTCGGCTTATGTTTCTCTGGCTCATGAGGGAAATAAAGATACACATGGAAAGTTGAAATTCCTACTAAACTATATTCCTTCCTCTTTCTCTCTTTTCTGTCGAATTTTCCAGAACATAGGTTTAATACAGCGATAGATTTACATAAAAGATGATGTGTCCCTGTGCTCTGAGAATTTTTTTAAAAATATTTCAGATATAATTATATATAACATTAAATTAGTTCCAGACCTTCTTATCTTTTTAAAAAGATTTTATTTATTTATTTTTAGAGAGAGGGGAAGGGAGGGAGAAAGAGAGGGAAAGAAACATCAATGTGTGATTACCTCTTACGTGCCCCCTGCTAGGGAGTCAGCCTGCATCCCAGGCATGTGCTGACTGGGAATCAAACTGGCGACCCTTTGGTTCACAGGCTGGCGCATAGTCCAGTGAGACACACCAGCCAGGGCCCAGACCTTATCTTTAAAAAAATGACCTTATGTAAACAGATGGAGTGTGTGTCTTTTTATATTTATTGCTTTCTCAGTATTTTAGATGAGTATTTGTTGGTTTTGCTTTATAAAAAGAAAAATACAAATACAAAAAAAAGTTTATCTATATTCTTCTGCTGAGAAAATTACCCCTTGGACCTGAATTTAAGCAGTTGTTTAAATGTGCACTTTTATAGGAACTTTTCCCGGATTGCACACAAATACATAGGACAGTGCACAGATTCCACTGCAGTGGTGTTTGACTTCGCTGCTCACATTTAACATTGAATTGGTTGAGTTTTAAAAATGTATATAATATATTAAAAAGTTTAGTTGGTTGCAAATTAGGTTTAAGGCCCAGAAAAATCCCTCTTTGTTTGTTAAAAAAAGTACCTAAAATTTAAATGCAAGAGACTTGGGGTCAGATGACTGGGCTTATACTATATTGCTGGGCCTCTAAGTAGCTGGGCAAGTTGCTTAATCTCCCTGAGTTTTATTTCCCTCATTCATGCAGGTGGGGCGCACCAGTTTTTGGCTCCATAAATATTAAACTATTAATTTCTTATTAAAAGAAAAATATTTACTCCTGGGGAAAGAAGACCATTGATGAGTTGAGAACCTGCCACAATAGCTGTTGGTGCATGAGGACTAGAGTATTGCCCAGTGAACAAAGAGCACAGGCTAGGGCATTGGGTGCCATAAAGCTGATAGGCTGGGACTTTGATATCCTAGTTCATTAGCATACTTGTTCAACAACTTTGAACTTCTATTGTTAAAGTACTCGTGTGTGTGTGTGTGTGTGTGTGTGTGTGTGTGTGTGTGTGAGAATGAGTGAATGTGAAATGATATTCCTCAGGATTCTGGAGACTGAAAAATGTTTAAGATTGATATTCTGACATGAAAGGCAACATGTATGTGGACAGACCATCCCAAATCAGAGTAAGACGGTTTAGTGTGGCTGTTGGGCTAGAAAGTCAGTACTGCTCTGTTTTCCCCTGACTTGTCATTCATGCCTGCTAACTGGGTGAATCAGGACCTTCGCTTAGGGTAAAATGTAACGGAAGTTTAAGTGCATTATTTTTAATCTGTGCCCTGCTTCACCTGCATGGGGTAAGCCATTACAGCAGTATGCAAATCTGGGACACCTGAGTCTAACAATATGTTGAAACACTAGCCAGGAAGCTCCGTGGGCCTTTATTGATGTAGCTTCCAGTGACGCGCACAGCCAGGACAACTGTGGCCATGCGACGTGATGTGCCCTGTCCTTCCCTTGCAGTGGGTGATCCCAGAGGTGATCGGCCACAGCCTCGTCACCGTGCTGATGCTCGTTTCATTGCACTGGTTCATCTTCCTTCTCAATGTGCCTGTGGCCACTTGGAATATCTATCGGTGAGTACAGTTTATGTACCATTTCATGTCAGGGCAGTTTAAAGAAAACAAATTTTTATTTCAATAGCTTTCTCTTCACCAATAAAATATGTGCCAATCATAAAATAAATGATAGCAGAATGCTTCATTAAATCAGCATAAATTTCTGTTCACTTTGGTATACTGGGCAATATGTAATGTTTAGCTGTGATGTTTAAAGACTTGTGAATTTTTTGATTGTCTTGAATGTCTTTTTTAAGAATGCTCAAAAACCTGAGAATATAAGGTCCTTGTTATTTATAGCTGCAGTTTTTCATTAGAATATATTTAGAATGCTCCAAAGAAAATTTTATTTTAAAGCCTTCAAATTAGATATCAAAATTTTGTCTTAATGAATTTAGAAAGTTTGTTCAGACAGTTCAGTTGAAACACTAATTAGGTACAATTTTAGTTGGCCTTTGTAAACTGCATATTTTCTTCTGAAGAACTCTGGAATAATCTTGGCAAATCTGGGATTTTTGTATGTTAATATGTTGCTGCCTTACTAAATTTTAGGTTTTAGTTTATTTTTAGTTTTTGGGTGGCTAAGATCATTGGCTAATTTTTTAAAAACTGTGGTTAGAATAAGAAGGACATATTATGATAATGTAATAACTACAAATGGAGCCAGGTGGGCACCAGAAATATCAGGGGGACATTTCGTAAAGTGTATGATTGTCCAACCACTATGCTGTACACCTGAAACTAATGTAAAGTAATGTGGAAGGTAAACTGTAATTGAAAAGTAAAGTTTAAAACTGAATAAGAAGGACAGAGAACAGAATAAAGGAGGGGTGAGCGGAAGGAGGCATGTGAAAAGGTAATAGAAGGGAGCAGACATGAGGGAGTGAGCGGACTGGGGGGACCATCTTGTCAGAGCATGTGGCTAGAACCCGGGCTAGGGAAAAACTTCAAAATTTCTCTTCCTCTTTTCCAGAGGGCGGGTGCAAAGTGGGAGAGTTGTTTGCTTTCTTTTAAGTGTCTTACTGCTCTCCTGTGATTGCCCCAGGGACCAGCCCCCACCCGAGCTCAGCCCTGGAAGCCAGATTCCTTCACTTCTGGCGCAGTGTGACTCCACACAGCCCAGTGTCCCTGTGGTCCCACTATGTGGGGCACAGATTTGGGGGCGAGAGTGGGAACTTCTGAGACTTTGGATCCTGATGACGGCCAGAGCACGCCATCAGTCATCTCCATGGGAGAGGAAAGGGTACCGGAGGAAGAGCACCCTTGCCTGACCCCTCTGGATGGTGCGCACTGTGGTGAAAAGCCCTCTGAAGTTTCATCTGGGGGCAGCGGAGTCCATAGATTATGTTTCCCATGATTGTAAAGACAAAGATCATGCGTGTTTATCTCCCTGATAATGGCAGTGGCATATTGACTGTCTTCTGGTCACAAATTTACGTTCCATTTAAAAAGTTTTAAAAAACCCAGCAAATGGATCATTTCCTCTTTTCAGAGGTCTGTGCTTCATGCTGTTGGCAGTACAGACATATATGAAATGGAGTCTTCCCACAGGCAAAGAGGCAAGACACTGAATAACAAGTAGGCCAGTTAAATAAGAGGTGGGCCAAGGAGTGAAGATGGTTCCCAGGGGAGTGAGGAGGATACTCGGGTCGGGAGGGAAGTCGGCTTCCTGTGGACTGGGACTCAGGGAGCCCGTGGCGTCTGCACAGAGCCCTCTCTGCAGGGTGGGTAGACTGGACTGAGATGAGTGGAAAAAGAATACTGCAGGGACTGAAGGAGGAGGGGAGGGGTGGAAGGGGGGAGAGCTTGCACAAACACACGGCATGTGTGAGGACTAACTAGGTTGAAAGCACATAGGTGACGAAGTGGTCATGGACAAGTGTTCATTGCGACGGGACACAGAGAACCTTGAACTCTGGTCCAAGGAGTTTGTACGTAAACCTGAGTACTGGTAGCCTGACGCCCGCCCGTTGGAAGCCCACCATTCACTGAACTGTTAGGGTCAGAACATTTTCATCACCCTGAAAGGAAGCTCTGTACCCATGAGCAGGCATTCCCACTATTCACTGAACTGTTAGGGTGTGCACAGACTTCAGCAGCCATCCCACAGGCCGTGTCAGAACATTTTCATCACCCTGAAAGGAAGCTCTGTACCCATGAGCAGGCATTCCCAGTTCCTCCTGGCCCCCCAGCCCTAGGCAGCCCCCCGTCTCCTTTCTGTCTCTGTAAAATGGCCTTCTGGGCAGATATATCGTGTGGAAGAGATCCATATGTGGTCGGTCCTTTAGGGGCTGACCGGCTTCCTCCATTTAGCATGTTTTCCAGGCTCATCCCTGCTCATCAGTGCCTCACTCCTGTTGGTTGTCAGACGCATTCCCCTATACGGGTGCGCTGCATTTTGTTTATCCATTTGCAGTCGGTGGGCATTCGAGTTGTTTCTAGGCTTTTGCTGTTATGAAAAGTTCTACTGCAAGCATTGATGTGCATGCATTTGTGTGGATGTGTTTTCATTTCCAGTGTCTTTAACTTGCTCTTTCAACGTCAGTGCCTTCTGTTCTCTATTGATCTGAAGAAGCACCAAAGACAGGGTTTCTGTTCTGAACGTAGAACTTCTCTTTTTCCATCTGAAAAATTGGAATGATTGTCTGACACTATATAAAGACACTGTCTTCCTTATAAAGATGTTGTAAAAGTGAAGGGAATTGCATTAGTTTAGAATTTTTTAGATAAAGAAGATTCTAAGAGCCTGATCAAATTGGTTTGGTTTCAGAGGCTCCTTCATTTGTGTCTAACAGAAAACGCTGTCGGTATAATTGGTTCAGTAGTTTTCTACAGAAGATGAGTAAGAGGGTCTCAGTGCATAAACTATTCTTCTCTAGAGTGTTACTGTTGTTTGTTTCACGGGGCAGAAAATTACACCAAACATTAACAGTATGTCTCTTTCAAAGAAAAATTACGTGGTGGCCTGTGACTTCATCATAATACCCTGTCCATATTTGATCTGAACTTAAAACTGCTCTGGTTGGTTCACTTTTAAATGTTGATTATTATTGGTTCCTTAGTTTTGAATATTTATGCTGACGATTGGTTTTTCTTTCTCATGTGCGTACCCTTTCATTGATCAGGTTCATTATGGTGCCAAGCGGTAACATGGGAGTGTTCGATCCAACAGAAATACACAATCGAGGGCAGCTGAAGTCACACATGAAAGAAGCCATGATCAAGCTCGGTTTCCACTTGCTCTGTTTCTTTATGTATCTTTATAGGTGAGTGTTCCACCCTCCTGGCATTTCCCTGGACCTCATGCCTGCTTGTGGTGGGTGCGATGCTGCACCTCAGGATTTAGCATGGACATTGCAGAACTTGTGGGGATTGTTGAATGTCTTGCAGTGTGTAGGATTTTTATGTATGTCACTGAACCAGTTCTCTGTCTGACCTACAGTAGTAGCGTTACTCTGTGGTGTTAGTTATTTCTTAGCTTGGTTGTCACCATGCTTACACCTGTCCTTGCTACTCTCTCTTTTCCCCACCCTAGTATCCAGTAGCGAGGTCTCACTGTCTGTTGTGTGAATGGACTAAATGTGGCCAAAGATGGTCCCACCTGTGGGACGCCAGGCCGCTGGCCGCGGCTCCCAGCACGTCACATCCAGGTTGGGCTTTTGTCCCTGGCAGTAAGGAGTGGAGGTGAGATGCCTGTCCTTCAGCCTGCTTGGCGGTCAGCTCTGGAAACGTCGCCTCGGCCTCTAGGTCGTGACAGGTTGGAAGGAGGAGTCGATGTGAGGACTGGCTGTCAGACACCGGAAGCCTCGTGCAGTCCTGTTGTAAACTTAGATCTATTACCTTATGTTCTAGAGATAAACATGCCACTTTTAAAAAAACTTATTATAGGTCCACAGTTAAAGCAAAGGGAAACAATTGTCGTGTGTATATGACTTGATTAAATCTGTGATACTAGATGTCAGGCTTAACCTTTGTGTATAAGTTCAATTATTAAATCGATCATTTCCTGTTCTTCGCAGGTAAATTTAAATTTTTCACATAGGCGTAAGCACTACTAGGAAGAACTTGTACTAAACGAAACGTCTACCATTCAGAAGCAGGGTGTCCCACCCTGCCGTCCGCAGGCCACATGTGGCGCACGATGGCTGTGAAGGTGGCCCAACTCAAAATCGCAGATTTACTTAAAACCTTGTTTTGCTCATCAGTTTTCATGACTGTTTGTGTATTTGATGTGTGGCCCAAGACAAGTCTTCTTCCAGTGCGGCCTAGAGATGCTGAAACGTTGGACCCCCTGCCGTAGAAGACAGGGCTGTCCCATCAGGAGCGTCACGGAGGACTCCTGGTAATTAGAAACCGAGTAGAGATAGCAAGTTCACTTTTGTCTGAAATAGTTCAAAGTGTGCCATTTTAGCTCTCCTTGAATAAGCAGGTTTCCCGGAATCGTTTTGTTGTGCCGATTTCCCCCACTGGCACAGAGTAGATTGAGGTTGGAGTTCAGTTTCCTTTTCGCCATTTATCTTATTTGCTTTTCTGTATTTTAAAAACTAGGACAGAAAAAGCACATTGGTATTAGTTTCTGGTTCTCCTACCTCACTGCTAGTGCGATTAATTTTTAATTCTGGTATAAAAGATGAAAAATAAAGAGCAAGGAAAGTTCGTGTTAAGCACACGATGGCACACCTGTTCTCGTTTTTGTTACTTTTCAGAGGAAAACCATGTGAAGGTATCTTTGCCGTCACACACTGGCCCTTGCATTTGTTCCTGAGGAGACATAAAGCAGCTGCAATCAGCTCAGCTCGGGTGCTCTCGCTCCATGCTCCCCGCCCCTCTGGGTCTCACCCTGATGGAGCCAAGACGGAGCCACCCAGCCCCGGCCTTGACAGCAGGCGCTTCTTGAAACAGCTGTGGGTACAGCCACTGTGGTCACACTCCTGGAAGCAGATGTAGGGCCAGGGAGCTGTGCCTTGCTTAGAAGACCGGAAGTCTTAGCATTAAAAGTACACAAGAGTTTCTTAGCTCTTGGATGTTGAACTTGAAGCGGTGGGATGGTGGGCTGAAGTCGGGGCATTAGAGGAATCGGGAATCAGGAGGCGGGCTTCAGTGCGGTTCTTTACAGCTAAGTAAATGGCCGGGTGCCTGTGCCAGGGGTTTGACCCAGCGGCTGCATTTCTCCCCGGCTGCAGCCTTTCTTTTTCTTCTCTTCCCTCCCATTCCCTTTCCTCCTGAGCTTGTCATTTTTAGCCACATTGCTGTTACCCTTGGTGTCACTCATGGCTCAAGGGATCAGGATGAAATAGTAATTTCAGAAGATGTCCTGATAACACTTTGCTTTTAGCTTTTAGTTGCTGTTATTTAAAAAAGTGGTTTTATGTCCCAAACCATCCCATTTCCGATGCAGGAATTTCATGCTACTCCTCTGTGTCGCTGGTCATGGCTTGCTGGGTTTGTTAAGCAGAGTTAAAGGGGACACAGTGCCCCTCTCCTTTAGAGACCGAGAGTCTGTGCCTTTGGTTTCGATTAGGTGCTAATCTGGGGGAATCTGGGCTTTCCCACTTAACCATTCCCTGTGTGACCTGGGGCACTGTGCTCACACACAGTAAACTCTAGAAAAATCTTTCAAAACTGTCAGTTTCTACCAGTAATCTGAGCTCTGCACTGAGAACACCTAGTCTGGTTAGATTTGGACAGGAAATCCTTGGGCAGCAGCTCACACCACTAGTGGTATGAGGGTGTTTCTGTGTATTTTCATCATTTGGTCTCAGTGGAGCAAAGCTGACTGCAGTAGAAGGAAATGACAGTTTTGTTACTGAGTGGCTTTGACAGAGTGTTTATTGTGACATCACTGCGTGTCAGATGCTGTGGAAGACACTGCAGGTGACACAAAGGAGCAGCCCACACTCCTCTGTCACAGCTGGGAGCTGGGAGGGATCACAGTGGCCGGGGGCCACCCTGGCGTATGGACGTGACGCTGCCCGGATCCTGCACCTGCCTCGGAAAAGCTCACGGTCCAGGGCAGAGATGGAAGCCAGGCCAGCGGGAAGAGGAGGAGTCGTGGGCACGCTTGCGCCACTGCCCTGGGTTGAGAGGCGGCTTTCTGCAGAAGAGGGCCTGACTGTGCGGCCTGAGTGGGGATGTACTAGATTGAGGGGCGGGGCCGCAGGTGCAAAGATCTGGCTTAGAGAATTAGCTCCCCCCGCCCCCCCCAAGACATAGCTTGTTTTTTCTAAACTATAGCCCAATATTGGTTTTACGTTGTATTCCCCATCCCAGTAACCTTTTAATTTTTTTAGTGAAAACACAGGGCACTAGAGGCCTTAATATAGAATCTCTCTCCTTCCTTTGGGTATAAATGATCGTCTTTACGCCAATGAGTGTTCCTTGCTGAGCCTTAGCGATGCGAGTCTGACGGGTCAGACTCTGGGACACCCCGAGGAGACACGAGTAACCCGAACCTCTTCTCCCCGCAGTATGATTTTAGCCCTGATCAACGACTGAGGCGGGGCGGCCGCGGCTGAAGCCAGCCTACACTACCGTGCAGAGCGAGGAGCCGGAGACCACTCGAGTCACCCTTAGGACCGCAACCATAGCAGTATATTTTTTCCTCTTTGAACAAAAAGTATTTTTGCTGTATTTTTACCATATAAAGTATTAAAAAAACGTCAATTGAATTTTGTAGATTTCTGGTCCTCAACGTTAGCCTGAGCCCCAGCCTGTGAAGGCGTTTGTCCTGTCTATGTTGAAGATGGTTGTGTGTGGGTAGGAACAGGACTGCCGTCCCAGCCTTGCTTGCTTGCCCAAGAAATAAAGGACACGCTTCTAAGGGACACTTGAGAGATCAGCACAGCTGCTCCTCCTGGTGACGGCAGAGTCAGAGTGTGGAACAACCCTGGTCATCTGGGCAGAGGAGGGAAGCAAAGCACCCCTTGCCTGTGTGGCGGCAGCCTCGTGCGTTCAGTGTAACAAAGAGTTCATGGGACTGCCAGCCAAGTCTTCCCACGAGAATGTTAACGCAAAATGACATTTCAAAAGTTACATCTCTTTACAGAATTTGTGAAACCTTATAAGCCATTTGCCGAGGTATAATGTCATTTCTGCTTATAGGAAGGAAAATAAATAAGAAAAATTGAATCAAGAGCTTTCATTTAAAAGCCACTCTGCCCCCACAATCACCCTGAAACCTTTACAACCCCATTGCTTTCACCGTTACAACCCCACTGCTCTCGCCAGGTCTTGTGTTTGCATGCTGCTCGAACCCATTGTTTTTGATCTCTGATACATTTTTTAGTGGGTTCGGAGAGGTGGTTTGGTGGAAGATGCTCATCGGATTAGAAGCAGGAAGTAGGAATGGCCAGCCATTCTGCAGCAGCCTCATGCACTCGTGCTGGGTCCACTGTGTCCTGTGTAGCCACACTGACCACTCAGAAGCAGGAGGCCCAGCACTTGCCGTAGAAGTAGCAGTGTCCAGCCGGACTCGGGCCCCAGGAGCTGTGGGGACGCTCTGGCAGTCGGTGGGAGGAGCAGTGAGCCTCTCTGGCTCTGGTTGCTGGCTAAAGTGAACCTGGCAGTGTATTCTAAGTCCTCGTTTGTAACTTAATGTTGCTATCTTAAGTGCTGGCATTGAGGCAAAACATGATTGTGTTTTGTGGCAGAGGCCAAAGGGATTATTCACTCTGTTGAGGCAGAATTGGGTGTCTAAACAAGGTACACGGTTGCAAAAAGATCAAATGTTGCATGTTCTTTCGACCCTGGACTAGTCTAGCCTTGGCAGAAGCCAGGAAACCAGCAAATTCCCCGTATAGACAGGCCCATGTTTCAAGGGTGGATGCATGCCCTGGGCTCTGTTGAAAGGAACAGTGGAATGGTGGGTGCTGTGAGCTTGGTTCCGTTGGCCTCTTGGTGTCTCAGAAATTGCTCCTTGTGGTTATCTTGTATTTCTGCCAGGCAAAGAGCCAAGAAGCTGTAACGTAGGAGTTACTTGGCTTGCCTCTCTCTTAGTTACCTTTTCCTTCTGAGGCACTTTGTTTTTTTAAAGAAAACAGTCTCTTCACTCTACCTTTCTCCCTAACTTCCAGTGCCTCTTAGCATTCTGCTCAAGCTATTAAAGCAGTAGAAACTGTTGAATTGAAATCCTTAGAACTGAGAGACTACTTCAAAAAGCTCAGAGGTGGTGGAGGACTGTTGACCAAAACGCTCTGTCTTCTTACCCAAGTTTTTTAAATAACGAGACTCAAACCCATGCTGCTGAGGGTCTCTGGTTGTCAGTTTCCACATCGTCGGGCAGGCACTGCCCGTCAGGCAGGTGCCTGGTTTACAGCAAATGACGGGGGCTCTTCAGAAACATGAACTTCAGACAAAACCCGCATTCTCATGCTGCTTGTCTGCAGCAAAGCCGGGAAAAGGGTTAACTGTGGTTTTGTAATTTTTAGGCGCTTCTCTACAATGATATAAAGGGGAGACAAACACTTGACTTTAAAAGCTGTGGTTAAGATGTAAAGATTTACTTTATGCTTTTCACTGATAGGTGAGTTCTAGTTATTGGTGTGAAGTTAACCTCTCCAGCCAGACTTTATGCTCCTGGAGGGCAGAGTCCACTCTTCCTCCTGCCTCCTAGTGCTCCTGGCCCCTAACAGTGCTCTGCACCCAGAAACACAAGTGATGCCCTTCAGGGCAGGGAAGCAGTGGAGCAACACAGGCCAACCCGCCATCCTTGTCTTCAAGGCACTCGGAGCTACGTTCCAGGTCGCGCTAGCCTAGCAACAGAGGCTGCGAGGCTTGGTGCACTGGGGATGTGACACCAGCCTTCCTCACAAGTAACGTTTTGTCAGAAGTAATAGTGGTGCAAAGCATGGGTACTGGGTGTGATGAATTGACCCCCAAGTGTACATCATCTTGTTCTAATATGTAGAACCAGGCCGCAAGATAGAGAAGGTAAACTTGACATTCTGTGCATACCGTCTAGGTCTCTGCCACCTGAGTTTAGGTACTCCAAACCAAACACCGGTTTAGCTTCGTAGCGTAACAAAGGTTGGGATACTCTCATACAACTTCCCTTAACAAGGCTGTTCAAGGAATGTTCAAAGGGCTGTTTGGGCTGAGGCTTGCAGGTGAAGCCTTTTGGCTTTAAGCCATACTTTGTGAGAGGGGTGAGAGACAGCGCCCAGATTGTTCTGATTTAGTTAAATGGGTGCAATCTGACGACCAGGGTCCTTGAGAGCGCTGGGGCCTGCAGCAGATGCAGGAAGGGTCCCGCGGTAGCGCTGGGTAGCGGAACTCTTCACGGAGCCGGCTGGCTGCTGAGCTCAAGTCGCTCTTTACAAGACCTTCCCGGACAGGTCTCTTTTTCGGCGGTTTCCCTCTGAAGCTGGGTGAGGAAGAGTGAGGGTGGTGGTCAGATTGCAGAGGGCTCAAGAGGCTTGGCAGCCGCCCCCACTGCTGCTGGTGGGGTTTGCTGCAGCCGCTCTGGAGCACCCTTGGGTGCATCTGTGCGCCCTCCCATTCAGCACTGGAACCTTGTCCAAGGTGAGTCAGCTCAGCACTCACTTCCATTGCTGTTCTCTGACATGGCGCCTGCGTGTCAGACCCCGAGGGGTGCAGTGACAGTCGAGTGTGGCGCTGCTCACTGTGCTTCACTCCGCTCTCTGAGGCCGCACCTGACACTGCACAAGGGACACCAGCTGCATCAGTGTGATGGTCAAAGAAGCCACTAAACCCTCCCATCAACAAGGAAACGAAACCCGGGCAGGGCAGTCCGTTCCCCACGCCAGCTGTAAGCACGTGCGGGGTACGTCGTTAACCCGTGATCAGAACACTGCTGCAGGGCCCCAGCCTCACGGCAGGTGCGCCACTCAAGTTTGGAGAAGAGCCCGCTACCACCAAATCAACCTCGACACTCGGGATGCTTCGAAGTAGTGTTAGGATGATGGAATGCTTTTGTTTGTTGGATCTTAACAGTTTTATGTTTTCTGAAAAAAAATCCAAGTAGAAGTCATTAAATGATGTAACTCAAACCGTCAACTTTTTGACAGTGGAAGGGAATTGTTTCAAAACAGTGCTCTCTACTCTTGGATTTGTTAGGGCTGGGAAACATTTATTCCTGGTGCTGGGATCTGGCACAAAACCGTCAGTGCCGGTGAACAGTCCGAGGCAGCTAACTGGGCAATGCAGAGCGCGGTTTCAAGTGAACTGGGGGACAACTCCCTCTCTGGCCTGCTGACCAGACAAAGTGGCAGCAGGAAGGGCTGCCCCCGCTTCCAAGGCCCGTCTGTGCGCTCCCAGGACTCGCCTGTCCACAGTTTCCACACTTGAACCTCCTGTCCCAGAAAGAGCTCCACTCTTCGAGAAAACCTTAAAGCCCACTTCTGTAAGAATTCACCCCATGGGGCATTCAGTCCCCCATATAAATACAAAGGCACTATAGGTCTGTAAACAATGCTTTTCTCCAAGGAGATCTTTAAAGAATGATATGATTATTGATACAAACTTAAATTTCAAACTAGAAATATATTTTCCTCTACTAGTCAAAGTATCTGCTGCCTAATGCATAATTTCAGACGTCATACTGTTTTTGAAGAAAATGGGGTGTGTGATTCCGTTAAAAAGTAAATTTTTCTAAAATTAATCCATGACTTCTCGTAATAGCACTTTTTAAAACAATATTCCAACAGATAAAGCAAGTGCTTCCTTAGGCACCACTTTAAAAACTGCAGGTAAATATGTCAAAGTCAAGTTCAGCAAGTTGGTTGTGTCAGTTAAAGCAGAGAAAGTACTCCTTATGCATGCAGATTAATGGACACTACAAGACTCAACACGGCCAGCAGGACTTATCCATTCTGTTTATTGGGTTGGAAGGGAATACAAACGATTGGTTAAGTGCTACGCACTGACATGTAAAGGTGTATTAAAAAAAAAAAATCCCAGTAAGCAAATCAAAGTTAATGTAGCTTCAATTGAACAAAATTTTAAAGATGTTTAATATACTACACATTTATAAAATAAAAGTTAACAGAGTGTTTTGTAAATAATTAGTAGAACAAGTGAAAATAAATATCAGAGACCTGAAGATTTTTATGCTTTAATGAAATAATAAAGCAAAGAAATTTAAACTACTAAATATAATCTGAGAGGCAGTTAAAAAAAAATCCCCCAATTTAAGAACACAGTCCTTTGAAACACTGAATCAGTCCGTAGCAAGTAGTTATTACATACCAGAAGCTCTAATGTTAACTAGTCCCAACACAATGCCATGTAAATCTCGACAATTTAGACACCTTGAGATCGACACCCGTTCTCGTCTTGATCTCTACAGCTTGGTTTGTAAGAACATACATGCTCCTGGGGGTCTGCTCCCCTCGCCACACACACACACGTTCCCAAGGAACCGATAACATCTCTTCCATCTGTGCCTAAAAATGTTACGCTTCGGTTTTAGCACGTTGACCCTGATAATGAAAATGCTTA